CAAAATAGAACTTTTTGGTAAAAACTCAACTCGTCGTGTTTGGAGGACAAAGAATGCTGAGTTGCATCCAAAGAACACCATACCTACTGTGAAGCATGGGGGTGGAAACATCATGCTTTGGGGCTGTTTTTCTGCAAAGGGACCAGGACGACTGATCCGTGTAAAGGAAAGAATGAATGGGGCCATGTGTCGTGAGATTTTGAGTGAAAACCTCCTTCCATCAGCAAGGGCATTGAAGATGAAACGTGGCTGGGTCTTTCAGCATTACAATGATCCCAAACACACCGCCCGGGCAACGAAGGAGTGGCTTCGTAAGAAGCATTTCAAGGTCCTGGAGTGGCCTAGCCAGTCTCAAGATCTCAACCCCATAGAAAATCTTTGGAGGGAGTTGAAAGTCTGTGTTGCCCAGCGACAGCCCCAAAACATCACTGCTCTAGAGGAGATCTGCATGGAGGAATGGGCCAAAATACCAGCAACAGTGTGTGAAAACCTTGTGAAGACTTACAGAAAACGTTTGACCTGTGTCATTGCCAACAAAGGGTATATAACAAAGTATTGAGAAACTTTTTTGTTATTGACCAAATACTTATTTTCCACCATAATTTGCAAATAAATTCATTAAAAATCCTACAATGTGATTTTCTGGATTTTTTTTCTTCTCATTTTGTCTGTCATAGTTGACGTGTACCTATGATGAAAATTACAGGCCTCTCTCATCTTTTTAAGTGGGAGAACTTGCACAATTGGTGGCTGACTAAATACTTTTTTTCCCCACTGTAGATCTCAATGGGGACACACCAAAGAGATAGATAGAGGACTCATCATGGATATAACCAGTTTTAGCATGGACATTGCCACTGAGGGCCTCCACCATTTTAAAATAGTCAACTGGGTGGGGAATCCTATGGGTTGGGCGCAATCAGCTAATGATCAGAGCATTGTCTACTTCTTCAAATTGGGTGTTATTGTTTGTAAATGGCTTTAACCTATATAACCGCCATCTAGTGGCCATAATAAATGAATGACACAAAATTTGGTTCAAGACTCCAGCAATGCAGGTGACAATAAATCACCAATATTAGCTTCACACTTTTTTTTTTTACACAAAAGAAGAAAACTGACTACTTTAAAATGGAGATAGCCTCAATACATATGACTGTATATATGAATGGACAAAGCCATCGATCATGTGACACCATTAATTCGTATGTGAGTACTCAATAGCGCATTGAAGCCAAATGAAGTCGGTTAAGATGGCATCTCATGGAGACCTAACATACACAGTTTGAGCTACTCCAATAAGTCACATTGCAGTCTTGGTCAGTGCTGCCCCCTCTCATTGAGTAACTCAAGTTGAATGCCAACCGGGGTACTGCAGGCTGCCATTAGTAACTAAATTATCCTTATGACTTCTTCTGTGTGCGATTTTAAAATAATCTGTTAAAGGACATACATCTGATGTATTAGAAGCAATTATTGGTACCATGATTTTCTTCTAAAAACATTTTTATTTACACAAAAATTCACCACAAAGATTTTTCCATTCACTATAATGGGGGATCCTTGTTTTCTGCGAGAGGGGGCACTCATTCTCCCCTGGGCGCTGCCCAAGCTGTCACAGACGCTAGTAGCCTATAATGGCACAGATATAAGTCCTCTATGGGACAAGCGCCAAAGAATGGAATGGACAGCATTCCCGCGTTCCTGATATTCCAATCTTTACGGAGTACATTTTAACAGAAATCAGACATTCCTAAGTCAAATAAATAGCATAGTAAAATCACAACCAGCACCAAAACACAGTTTAGTTCCCGAATTCGGTCCTTTGTCATGATGACGATAACGTAGCCTAGTGTGCTTTCGCTCTGCCCTGTGTAGTCTACTAACTGTAGTGTCAGGTTAAAAAACCCTAAGTCCATGACACACCTTTTACTACTGCAGGGGTGTAATCATTAGTGCACACCTGAGTAAACAGTTGCAAACAGTTGCCAATACAAAACGTTTTTCCATCAAAAACGAGAGTTTCTATTGGGCAAATTCAGGTAGGTCACTACCAATGATGTGCGTCATTGGTCAGTATCCGTTTGTTCCGTTTGCTTTTGTTGGCTGTTTGGTTCCTAGCTAGTACACCCCAGGTGTAACACACCCTGAAAGTATTGCCCAACCCGCTTACCCTGGTATACGGCGCTAGGCCTACTCTTGACTGAAAAAAGACGCCGACCGCTGTCATCAAAATGTGTTTATTTAAATCTTTACGGTACAAAATGCTATCCAAACGTATATGAAAACGGTAAACGCATAGGCTTCAAATATATCTCCATATATTTTCACTTATTCAGATACATCCCTTGTACAGCAAGGCATCAAAACATAAAGGACAACACAAGGAAATCAGGCTGGTAAGGTAAGAACTACGTGGTTGTAAGAACCAAGTGGTTGTCAGCTTTCATGACAGTCACAACAATTAACAATGTCTGAGTAACATCTCACATTCTATTAGTGAATGTAATTATGTTGGCCAGCTGTTATTTTAATGTTATCCCCAAAAGATGGGGATAAAAAAACAATCCTGTCTATCTTAAATGGGAAATCTACAGTTGCTACATCCACTTTTGCACTTGAGCTTAGTTCAACTGTCATACCCCATCAGAACCCAAATTATAAGCTTGCTTTACTCCAATGTTTGTAAACAAAGTAAATGTAAACAAATACTGTATAGCCTCAACATGGTTAAAACTATAATTTAGAAATCATGGATGGTCAGTCCTTGCATCTATAGCTCTATGAATTTGAGAGTGGTTACATTTTCCCCTTGACAGGGCATGTACATTTCCGTCTTGATCTAGTTGGTCACAAAGAAAATTATCAGAGATTTCAGAAATGTTTATTTTGCTTAAAAGTGTTCAAGTTCGACTGATATTTGAAACGAGCTTCCCTTCCAAACCTCTTGAATGACAATAATTAAAACAGGTGAAGGTTTTAAGTTTCAGACCATGGAAGTAACATTTCAACATGGTTTTGAGGGTCTTGATTGTACAATGCAAGTTTAACTGCACTCCAGGACTCCTATGGATCAGGTTAGTGTATATGAGGAAGAAGGAGATACGTTTTTTTTTTATACAACTTCACATAATTGTGATTCTTTATGAGCCAATAAACCTTTTTTAAAAAAAGAAGAGTACTTTACTGAAAGTCGTGCACAGGAGGCACTGTTTCTCTACGATAGAAGAGAATGTATGAAAATGTATGCACTCACTAACTGTAAGTCGCTTTGGATAAGAGCGTCTGCTAAATGACTAAAATGTAAATTTCTCCTTTCTCAGCTTCTTACTGAAAGTGGCAGGCATGTTCTTTGTTATTGTTTTAACTGCAGATTTTTAGCTATACAATATAGATCCAGAGGTCTCTGTTTGCTGTGGCTTTGTTTATGTGAGAGGTTTGTGGTTGTGTGTATACAGTATACAGTGGCTTACGAAAGTATTCACCCCCCTTGGCAGGTTCCCGAGTGGCGCATTGGTCTGGCACTGCATCGCTAGCTGTGCCACTAGAGATCCTGGTTCGAATCCAGGCTCTGTCGTAGCCGGCCGTGACATGGGGCGGTGCACAATTGGCCCAGCGTTGTCCAGGGTAGGGGAGGTAATGGTCGGCAGGGATGTAGCTCAGTTGGTAGAGCATGGCGTTTGCAACGCCAGGGTTGTGGGTTCGATTCCCACGGGGGGCTAGTATTAAAAATAAAAAATATTATGTATGCACTCACTAACTGGAAGTCGCTCTGGATAAGAACGTCTGCTAAAAATGACCCAAACATTTTTTGGGGACCACTGCTCCACTCGGGAACCTGCCAAGGGGGTTGAATACTTTCGTAAGCCACTGTATACTGTATACACACAATTTTTATTAAAAACTATTTTGTTGCCTTACAACCTGGAATTAAAATTGATTTTTTGGGGGTTTGTATCATTTGATTTACACAACATGCCTACAACTTTGAAGATGCAAAATATTTTTTGTGAAACAAACAAGAAATAAGACAAAAAAAACAGAACTTGAGCGTGCATAACTATTGCGGCAGACATAGCGTTTTCCTTGATGGCCAAAAAGTTCAATTTTAGTCTCATCTGAGAGTACCTTCTTCCATATGATTGGGGAGTCTCCCACATGCCAAACGTGTTTGCTTGCTTTTTTCTTTAAGCAATGGCTTTTTTCTTGCCAATCTTCTGTAAAGCCCAGCTATGTGGAGAGTACGGCTTAAAGTGGTCCTATGGACAGATACTCCAATCTCCGCTGTGGAGCTTTGCAGCTCCTTCAGGGTTATCTTTGGTCTCTTTGTTGCCTCTCTGATTAATGCCCTCCTTGCCTGGTCTGTGAGTTTTGGTGGGTGGTCCTCTCTTGGCAGTTTCGTTGTGGTGCCATATTCTTTCCATTTTTTTATAATGGATTTAATGGTGCTCCGTGGGATGTTCAAAGTTTCAGATTTTTTTATAACCCAACCCCTGACTTTGCCCCTGACCTGTTTGGAGAGCTCCTTGGTCTTCATGGTGCCGCTTGCTTGGTGTTGCAGACTCCGGGACCTTTCAGAACAGGTGTATATATACTGAGATCATGTGACAGATCATGTGACACTTAGATTGCACACAGGTGGACTTTATTTAACTAATTATATGACTTCTGAAGGTAATTGGTTGCACCAGATCTTATTTAGGGGCTTCATAGCAAAGGGAGTGAATACATATGCACGCACCACTTTTCCGTTATTAATTTTTTTAGATTTTTTTGAAACAAGTAATTTTTTTCATTTCACTTCACCAATTTGGACTATTTTGTGTATGTCCATTTCATAAAATCCAAATAAAAATCCATTTAAATTACAGGTTGTAATGCAACAAAATAGGAAAAATGCCAAGGGGGATAAATACTTTTGCAAGGCGCTGTATGTGTGTGGTACCCTCGTGGTGAGCCTCTGGTGACTGTGAGTTGTTTGTGGTGTGTGTGATTGTCAGATGGAGAAGAGGAGCGGTCTGCGCCTGTGTCACTTTGGGACAGCCAGGCGGAGGCGATGGTGGGGTCTGAGGAGAAGATGGATTTACATTTACATTACATTTACATTTACATGGAGGATGCTGGGGCTGTTTAAGATCAACCAGGAACATGACTTCTGCAGCCTCACCTGTCTTATGAAAGAGGGCCTGCATGCTGCCCTACAGACCAGCAACGACACAACAATACCTGTGAGCAAACCTATAGACTACACAACAATATGCACACTATTTCAACTGTCACATAGAATACATTTGTATACCATAGGAACTTACTGCATTGACCCACCTCTGAGAAAATTGCTCTACATACAGTATTTGCATTGTACATAGCTTTCCCTACTTATATGACAAGAAACCTTTCATTGCGGTTTGATAATTAGTTGATCTTGTTTCAATCAGGATAAACTTTCTGCTGAACATTACAAATTGGCGGAGACTCAAGTCCACAAGGTGCTATTTAATCACTATTCAAACAAATATGTTAAACCAATCCCGACAGCATACTGTCTATTTGAGTAAATGTTTTTTGGGACACGTCTCAATTTTGACCCGTGGTCCTCTGTTGCCTCCCCCTGCAGGACTTGGAGATGCAGACGTTTGCAGGGCCGGTGTTTGCCAGCCTGCGGCGCTCCCTGGATATAACAGAGGAGGAGTACCAGAGGTCCCTCTCTTCAGACGGCTGCTATCTACAGTTCATCAGCAACTCCAAGAGCAAGGCTGACTTCTTCCTCACGTGAGTCCTGCTGGAGGACACCATAAACATCATAAATGTACACACAACACACCTAATCTATGTCAACTCTATATAGTAGCATATGTAGTAAATGTCTTTTTTTCTTCCTTAGGAATGACAAGAGGTTCTTCCTAAAGACACAGAAAACACGGGAGGTTACCTTTTTCCTATCCAACCTGAAGGCATATATGGATCACTTGGAGAAATACCCCCACTCACTGATGGTCAGATTCCTGGGTGAGAGAGAAGACCAACAGCTTAAGATCAAAATATCACATGACAAATGGACTGTCACCTTTGTCAGATGTTCATATTCTTATTTTCTTATTCCAGGTCTCTATAGTATCCAAATTCCAAATAAAACAAAGGTAATTTTAATGAAGCACAAATATTCACAAACACAGTTGTTTTTTTACTCTGTAAGTAACTTTTCTCTCACTCTCCCTCAGAAGTATTTCATTGTGATGCAGAATGTGTTTTACCCGGACGAGAGGATTAATACCAGGTAAACATTGTTTGTATTGTAGTTATGAAAGATAAAGTTGATTAAAAAAAATATCTTTCTGGATTGTTTGTTGCCAATTTTGGCTTTGTCTCTTAGATATGACATCAAGGGCTGTGAGGTGGGTAGGTGGACTGACCCTGCATCTACGGGAAGCCCAGTTACTAAGATTCTGAAGGATAACAACTTTGAAGGAAAGAACATCATTCTGGGTAAGAGTCTGGTATGCCCTATATCTGTCAGCACCTGAGGGGATGGATAAAGTAATATTGTATTGTGTTCTTTCCTTGTGTCTTATCAATTGAAAGGTAAATCCCCACATGTTCCCCTAAGAAGTAAACATTTATCATGTGTTGACAGATCAGCAGCGCTCCTGGCTTGTGGAACAGGTTGAAATAGACTCTGCCTTCCTCCGTAGCCTCAATGTGCTTGACTATAGTATCCTGCTGGCCCATCAACCCTTGCACCAAGACGAGCAGGACAGGAAGCACTCCTTTAGTAACCTGACTATGCGCACTGCAAAGTAGGTGTTCAGTGGAGAACAATAATCTACTGTATGACAAAGTATGAAAAAAAGTAACACAATAGTTTTCTTTAGTGGACCTTCCAGGCAAGCAACTAATGTAAAGTAACAGTGAGAAGATAATTAGAAATCAGGGCTTTTACTCTTAAGCTGAGTTATTGAATGGTCTTTCCTCTGCAGGTCCATGGACCAAGACAGTCCCACAGAGGAAGATCCCCCCGCTATTCCGTTGTTGGAGGGGGACTCTGCTCGACTGGCATCAGATACAATAGACAGTGGGTCAAACCACATCCAGAATACAGGGGAACACTCTGGCCATGGAATCCCCCTCCAGGAGATAAACCTACACTCAGTAAACCGTACAGATGCAGAACTCCATGAGTTCCATGCTCATCACCGTAGGCTGCTGCCTAATTTAAAAAACTCAGTGCATGTCATAGACGGACCAAAGCTGCGCTACTTTGTGGGTATTGTAGACTTTTTCACTGTGTATGGTGTGAAGAAAATGCAGGAGAACCTGTGGAAGAGTCTGCGCTTTCCTGGCAGAGCCTTCTCCACTGTCAGCCCAGCTACCTACTCACAGAGGTTCTGCCAGTGGGTAAAGGACCACACCAAGTAAAACGGGGACACTGTGAGAGATAGATACATTGCTAGAAACACAAAGTCCATTGAAAGAAACAGAAGAGAATGTCAAGTGAATAATCAAACTGGGCATCATTTTTTTTTTTGTTTTGTGAACAGCATGAACAGTAGGTGGCATCAAATAGCTTCTGTTGCAGTGGAAGCCTATTTCAAAATACATAATGTACAAACAACTTGTCATGTAACTTATGTTATTCAATTTGTTCATATTATGGTATTCTATGTGTTATATTATATAAAAAATGATCTAGCGGAATTTCACTGAAGTGATATTTAGCCCAAACAATTATGTCAGGTTTCTCAAAAATCATACATGAATGTGTATAAAAATGTATTGGAATAAGTCGTGAATAGAAAATCAATAATAAAACCTGTCACTGCATAAGAAACCATAAACTCCATAAATTGTAAGATGGGTAGACGACCATTCATATAAGGATTCCAGGATGATGTGTAGATACCAGAGACAGATACCGCTGACTGAATAACATCTGTCGCTGGACATAGCTAGATGTGTGTTTAGCCAGATACTTCCTACATAATGGATTTCAACGTGAAGAAATTAGCTTCGGATGCAGGAGTGTTTTTCACACGAGCTGTACAGGTAGGGTAGTTTATTTCGTGTCTCCTATACATTGACTAACGTTAAATGCTAGCTAGCTAATGTTCGCTAAATAGCTAGTAGCGTCTGGCTTCAGTAAAAACTGGAAACGTGATGATTTGGCATCATTGCCAAAGTCCTTTAGCTTACGTTATTGACAGAATACCCTCTATATCCTATACAAAACACTGGTTCAGCTGACGTTATCCTCCCTTCTTCACAGTAGCCATCGTACAGTACTGCTAGCTAGTTTGCCTGGCGTGCACTATAGCCAGATATATTGGAGGAAGGTTTCTATGCCGTCTGTTATAGCCACTGCTAACTTGATGCTATAGCAGAAGTTCGCTAGTTGTGTTTTCGCAGAGGTCTTTCTTTGCCTTTCAGGTACAGTGTAGAGTGTGGGGTCAGAGGTGGCCTATCGTGTCCCCTTTGTCCAACCCCCAAACATTCCAAAGCAAGATAAATCTTTCATTATTGTGACAGTGTGTAACAGGTCATGATAAAAATGTCACCAGGGAATGACAGTGGGACTGATTTCCTAATGACAGTAACGTTGCAAGGAAGCAATGAATGTCTGCTCAGCCCATCGAAATTCTGGTGAAACATTAGACAGGGACTGGGAAACTAGCAGGTGTAGTGTTTCATGGCGTATGAGGGCTTGGTATTTAGTTAGATGGTTTCCAGTAGCCTATGAGGAGACGCATGACGTGAAGAGCATCTCAAAAGCAGTGATAATGCTGAAGCTTCTAGTGACATGGCATAGGGCAGCTCCACAGGCACTATAGAAAAGTACAATGATACACAGAAACAGTGGAAATCTTGAGTCAATGCAATAGGCCTACTGCAATAGGCCTTGTTCACAGACAAGTGAAAGTGATGCTGTCATTGTGTATTTTGCCAAAGTTCACAGGGGAAAAGTTTGGACAGGTAGAGAAGACTGAGCTGGATGCCCATTTTGAGAGTCTGCTCAGCCGTGCTGATTCCACTAAAAACTGGACAGAGAAAATCTTCAGGCAGACAGAGTGTCTGCTGCAGCCCAACCCAAGTAAGGCCCGGCATACACACTGAACTCCCACCCCTACTTAATGCAAACACACACACATATACACAGGATAGAAGGACCAAAAACACATTAGATTAAAACTGTAAAAAAAAAAACGTTTTATGTGAAACATGGTGGTTACATGGTGATAGAGAGCAGGGAGCTCTAACCTGTGACTTTCTGATTTTCCATGCTACAGTTGACCACACTGGTGAGTATCCCTCCCTCCCATAGTGCCCTGTTGTGGAATCTTTTCATCCGTATGGTCTGTAGTGCAGCTCTATGCAGTATTGGGCATTTTCAAGCACCAGTCTGTTCTAACACTTGGTCTGTGGGTATGAAAACCTGTTGATTATCCTCTATGGCAAGCGGTAGCCTACTTATTAGTGAGCAGCTCAACAGCTGTGTCAGCTGTAACATGCAGCAATTCATTCCTCAGAAACATGCATTTACCATGTTTGGGATAAATATGTTAGTCTCTCTACAAAGGCATTATCTGAGTGAAATAACATTTATCTCCACAACGACTTCATTCTACACCTCGTTCCCACCATGTTGAATTACAATACTGTACATTCTCATTTTGGCCATTTTCTTACTTTGCTTTGGCATTCTTCTCTCCCACCAATTTCCATTCTCAGACTAGGTTTCATAGTGTCCATCAGTGACAACTGTTTTTTGCCAGGCCTCTCTTGAAGCATGCCCCCTCTTTCTATCTGCAGGTGCCAGGATTGAGGAGTTCCTGTATGAGAAGCTTGACAGAACGGTTCCCTCCAGACCAAATAATGGAGAACTACTGGGTCATTACATGCAGGATGCGGCAAAAGATTTTGGACCTGGAACTCCATATGGTGTGTGACTCAGGCTTTGTGTACACTTATTCTTCCCAGGTGGTCTAAATCTGGTTTGTTTGAGCGGATTGGCCAGTGATCATTTCATTTTTGAGAGAGGAAGCCGACACCGTGCCTTGGGCCCCATTCAAATCCATTAATACAATTTTCTGGAAAGTGCGTTTACACACTTACCCAATACATCTTCACTCTGTGACCTCACCCTTATGCATGCTATAAGAAAAGCTCAAACCATTTGTGGTATATCCCTGTGAGAAAAGATCTCCATAGTTGATACAGGATATTGATTTTAGATTACATTAGAAGTCAGTCACAGGTTGCAGGTGTAATTACAGGGTACAGTGAAAATCTTAAGCTCTGAGCTCCAACATATGGTATTTTTCCAATAGTTTGTAGTGTATAACTCTTTCGAAAGCCTTTGTTTATACTGATGATTTCACCGTAAGGTGAGTGAGCAGTGAGATTGGTGATGATAGCTGTTGTGAGCGTTAGTGAATTGGTCTCCTCCCACCCCTTCACTTCCCTGCCCTCCAGGCTGTCTCATGTCTGTCAGGCCAATAAATCGGCCTCTCTCCTTCACTGTCCTGAGGATCAATAGTTCTCTCTCTCTCACTCTCTCTCTCTTCTATGTGGATGTTGTTGAGAGCTGCAGGCTTGGCTCTGATGCGCAGAATGTTTATGCAGAAATTAGTTTATTAGGTGTTGTGGAAAATAACCACTATACTGTATTACAAATAAGGTCTTACATAGTTTTTGTTGCATCAAGAAATGACTTTATTAAAGTTTCAACAAAGCCGATACCAGTCTGCAGAGTGGCACCCCGTTCTCTCTCCCTTACATCACATTATATACCATCATCCCCAACTCTTCTAGCTCTAAATCCCTCCCTCTTCAGTTTCCCGCTCTTTATCACTCCACGCCCACTTCCTTTGTCTCTGAGGGGGGCTAAACCTAACATACACAAACCTCACCCCATCATGCTGTAATCAATCAAGAAGATACCAAGGAGACCAAGGTCTAGCCCAAACTCCATTCAACCCTGGTGCCACTCCCTTCACTGTGTTTGACGAGAGAGACAAGTTTCAGTCTCTCATCAGATAAGACAGCCATGGATTTAAGTAAGAGCAAGCAATTTGACCCTAGGGCAGATTCCCTCTCTACTCACCCACACAGTGAAATTATGACCCAATACAATTCCTGGCCCAGTAACAAAGAATTCTAACTTTATGCTCTTGATTAACCCAGTTCTACCTCATAGTCCATTAAACTCTACAGTTCATTACTAATAATTCACCACATAGGCTGCCTGTCTGTGGTGCTTTTCTCCTTCAGTTGAAGAAATGTAACTCAGTCACAGAGACCTGAGTACTGGGCCATGTACAGTTTCATTTAGAGCTCTGCAGTACTGCTGCTTAGCAAGGATTTGATTTATAAATTAATTCCATTATTTTAGAATGATTTTAAATCATTTGTTTTCTAATTAATTAATTTGTACATCATGTCACAAAGCAGACAGCTGTGTGGAGCAGTGGAAACCCCTGTGGAAACCCCTTATTGGCATACAGATCAATACATCACTCATCAATCCCATTCTCTCCTCTCCTGCAATAGTAACTAGATGGGCACTGAGCTGCTCTAATCAGGTCGTTAGTGGCCTGTTTCTCAGTTGTGGGTTTTAGTGATGCAACCTTCTGTGTGTGGGTGTAGTAGTGGCTCCTCAAAGCAATGACGTGTAGAAAAACAATTATAGTTCCTCAGTATAAGAATGCAGTCTGTCCATGTTTTCCAACAAATAACCTACACAGATATTCATACTTCAAATTACACAAGTAGTAGGCCTGTTTGATGCTATTATCCTTGCTATGTGGTATTCAGCAGGTATCCCTGTACTCCTTTAGTCTGTTTTACATCTGAGGAAACCACAACGTTCAAAGGGGGAATTTGAGTTTCTGCTTTTTTTGATAGGTCATGTCAAGAATGTTGCTACTCTGGAGGTTCCCTCTCTGTTTCCTTCCCACTTTCACAGGTATTAAGTAGTTGGGCATGTAAAAGACACAGAAACGAAACTTAAGAACAGGAAGCATAGAAATAGCGCACATTGAACAGATCTACCGCTTCTTAGACTTGTTTTCAATGAGAATGACAGATCTATTACACACATTTCTATGTGAATTTGGGTGACCCAAAAAGTTGCATATTGCAGCTTTAATGTTTGAGATCCTAAACTGGTTGTGTTGCACTACCAAGTCCTATTGGTCTCGACTTTGTCTATCTGTATTCCTCTGATAAGTATTAAGTCATTTCTCTGATAAGTATTAAGTCATTCCTAAGTAATAAGTCAGACACTTAGACCTATATTTCACATATTGTGTGTGGGTTCATCATATGCTCATTGTGTGTGTGTGTGTGTGTGTGTGTGTGTGTGCTATAGGTAACACCCTGATCAAGGTAGGCGACTGTGAGAGGAGACTAGGCGGTGCACAGAGAGAGTTCCTACAGACCTCCGCTATCAGCTTCCTTGCCCCACTCAGGAACTTTCTGGAAGGAGACTGGAGGACCATCTCAGTGAGTCTGGCTTTCTGGCCTCAGAGGGACATCTTGGGATTGCATGCAGACCAGTGTATAGACCAGGATTGAATACAATGCTAATCAACACCTTGGGATTTACTTTACTACTTATTACTGTATGGATGTAGCAGGACTTAAGGGCCTAGCCAAGTTAAACATAGCCTGTATGTGTGGGGTTATGCCGTGCAGAGAGTTGCTGATCTTCTCCTCCCTGTCTCAGAAAGAGAGGCGTCTCCTGGAGAACCGCAGACTGGACCTGGACTCCTGTAAAGCACGGCTGAAGAAAGCCAAACTAGCAGAGTCCAAGGCCGCGGTGAGTCCCCCCTCTACCCCCTGCCCTCCACCTCTCCCTGTGCCCCTTCAGCTGCATCATGTAACCAGCCTCCAGTTCAGCGTGAACTGCTACTGCTAACTAACATCTTTCTCTGTTCTAATTATGTTCACAGTGTGAGGGAGAAGTGAGTATTAGTGTAAAATATTGTCCACTTTAGTTCTTTATTTTCCCTTTTTCTTTCTGACATGCTCATTGCCACCATGAAATCCAGTTGAATCCATGTTTGTTTTCCAAGCATTGCTCAATGAGAAGCCAAGAGAGGAAAAAAACAAAAACAGACTAGAGTTGTCTTGAAAGTGAATGAAATTAACTTGTGGCATGGTACACTGGAGCAAACCCATATATGACCCTAGAGTCAACAAAACTGAGTAGTACACAAAAGTATTTGGAAAATGCCTTTAAATTGGACTAGTTTATGGTTCCAAAGTGACAAACTGCATCCAATTTCCAAATCTATCCCCTCATTAAATCACAAAGGCCTATTTGAGACCAGTAGTGAGAGGAGAGGCCCTGTCCCATGTGAGTGCAGATGACTGGGGTTGAGAGTCCTGATTGCTAACATGCTTGCGCTATTATACCATGACCAGTGAATGTCTAGCTTCACCTCACATTCCCTGCTCCCACTCAGAGCATTTGAAATGTTTAGATTTTTGGCTGAGTTTTTCCTTCAGCTCAAAGATCTGATTTGATAAGCCATTGTATTAGCCATTTGAGTAGTTGTTTTTCTGTAATAACATGAGTAAATAAACAGATATACAGAGGAAATACATTTTCTTTCAGTTGTAGACTAATATCAAATCAGATATTTGAAACCTGTATGCATGGTAATTGCCACATGAAGGCATGCTATTTTTGAAATATGTATTTGTTTGTTTAGCCTACTTACACTATATATACAAAAGTATGTGGACACCCCTTCAAATTAGTGGATTTGGCTATTTCAGCCACAACCGTTGCTGACACGTGTACAAAATTGAGCACACAGCCATGCAATCTCCATAGACAAACATTGGCAGTAGAATGGCCTTACTGAAGAGCTTAGTGGCACCGTTATAGGGTGCCACCTTTACAACAAGTCAGCTCGTCAAATTTCTGCCCTGCTAGAGCTGCCTCAGTCAACTGTAAGTGCTGTTATTGTGAAGTGGAATCTTCTAGGAGCAACAACAGCTCAGCCGCGAAGTGGTAGGCCACACAAGCTCACAGAACGGGACCGCTGAGTGTTGTAGCGCGTAAAAATCGTCTGTCCTCTGTTTGCCACACTCACTACCGAGTTCCAAACTGCCTCTAGAAGCAACATCAGCACAAGAACCGTTCGTCAGGAGCTTCATGAAATGAGTTTCCATGGCCGAGCAGCCGCACACAAGCCTAAGATCACCATGCGCAATGCCAACCATCGGCTGGAGTGGTGTAAAGCTCACCGCCATTAGACTCTAGAGCAGTGGAAATGCGTTCTCTGGAGTGATGAATCACACTTCACCATCTGGCAGTCCGACGGACGAATCTGGGTTTGGCGGATGTCAGGAGGACGCTACCAGCCCGACTGTAAAGTTTGGTGGAGGAGGAATAATGGTCTGGGGTTGTTTTTCATTGTTCGGGCTAGGCCTCTTAGTTCCAGTGAAGGGAAATCTTAACACTACAGAATACATTGACATTCTAGACGATTCTGTGCTTCCAACTTTGTGGCAACAGTTTGGGGAAGGCCCTTTCCTGTTTCAGCATGACAATGCCCCTGTGCACAAAGCGAGGTCCATACAGAAATGGTTTGTCGAGATAGGTGTGGAAGAACTTCACTGGCCTGCACAGAGCCCGGACTTCAACCCCATCAAATACCTTTGGGATGAATTGAAACGCCGAATGCGAGCCAGGCCTAATCGCCCGACATCAGTGCCCGACCTCACTAATGCTCTTGTGGCTGAATGGGACCAACTCCATATTAATGCCCATGATTTTGGAATGAGATGTTCGACGAACAGGTGTCCACATACTTTTGGTCATGTAGTGTATTTCTTTCCTGCAAAACATTTGTCTTTTGATACTTTATTTACTTTGGGATTTTCCACATACTCATACATTTACATAAAATATACATTAAAGATCAAACCAACAACTCATCACCCAGATATAGCATTCACAGTTCCAGTTCCTCTATACTCCATTATATTATAGCTTAGCCTCTGTGAAGACAGGAACTATTGTCCAGGTATACTGATGGTGAATGACATGATGGTTGAAGGTTGGCTTCCTTTATGGGCTATGACACATGACAGGCTGTGTACAGATAATGATCTCACATCCTGCTGTGTTTATTTACACATGCTGCATAACCATTAACATTCTAGTCTAACGTGGCTTGGGACTCCCCAGGAGATATGCAGGTGTTGAAAGATATTTGGACCGGTCTCAGACTTGTCTCTGTATATCAGCAAGCAAAGAACAAAGGGTTTCGTTTTTGCTATGTGTGCTTTCCTGTCACATGACATTCTTAATTTTTTTGTTTTGTTTGTTGATTTGTTTCTTTGGTTTGGTGCACACCATACTGTATGTGTAAACTCCTCTGCCATGTCTGTAGGCTGTGCCTGATTTTCAGGAGACCAGACCCAGGAATTATGTCCTCTCTGCCAGTGCATCTGCGGTAAGGAGCTTAAACAGCCAGTCCACTCTACACTAACACTGTACATGTAGCCTACTCTCACTGACCCTCAGTGTGCTCATACCCTCGAGCAGCCTCTCCATACACTCAGTGTACACATGCGTCATGTTGCAGGCAGATAGAGACTACAGCCTACTGTTGAGAGTGCAGCTCCCCCTAGAGGTCCTAGAGCAGTGTTTCCCAATCCTGGTCCTGGGGTTGCCTCGCGAGCCACCCTGATCTAACAAGCTTTCATGAATTGTTCACTACACAGACAGAGATCTGTGTAGCGAACCATTCACGTAAACTCGCAAGATATTCTCTACACAGATACAGATATGACAAAGTTGGCTCTTTTACAATGGGGTCATTGGAAAATAATGTTTGTTTTCCCCTATTTGTGGGCGTGGTCCTTCTTATGACGTGAATATCGTCTTGGAGTATAAGTCACTATAATGTTAATCATGTCTGTCTTTGTGTTGTCACCCATGACAACCAGGGTTGTATACAAGACACACCATGAGACATATTTATTAACATCACCAGATTGCTTTCGGCATAGTTTTACGGTAGTCCATTATCTATCTATGTGACACTTTTCGGACACACCCACAAAAGTAGTGTAAATATCTTCACAGGTGTTTCACTTCAAATTATCCAGATAAAATGTACTCTGAACACAGTACCAGAATATTTGGCAAAAGCTGCTGTTCTGAATGCACTCTTGGGTTGAAAACGTATGTTTCTTAACTGTCATGTCATCAGTCTCAATCCAATCTAAGAATGTGTGTGTCTCCCCTGTGATGTCATCAGAATGTGTCTCTCTCTCCCCTCTCTTGTTGTGCTGTGGCTTTTCAGCTCTGGAGTGAGGAGGTGGACAAAGTGAGTATGACATGTTTGGACACCATCCTCACGTACTGTCTAAATAAATTATTTATTTACTTTTTATCTTTGTTTCTAGATAGTGTCTCTTTCCACAAGTTATCACCCCCAGAGTTCACACAGGTGGACACAAAAACAAAACAGCTGATAAAGGACAATGGGGTGATGTAATATTACATGTAGGTGTTACCGCCACACCAGCGGTCACGAGTCATGAAGGCAGTCAAATTGAACGTGACCGTTTGGTCACGGTAATTAGGCTTCTCCAAGCTCTGATGCTGCTGATCGTCATTAGTAGCATAACAAACTTGATAACTGGCTGTTACTCAGCACTCTGTTGTCCCTCTAATCACTCTGACATCAATGCAAATGTAATCGAAATTCTAATGAAACGCTTCATGAGAGCCCATGAGTTCATGTTGCGCAACATTTCTATAGTCTATGCAATTGCACGAGATCCCATCAGCTTTCTATAGGCTAGGCCTACTATATTTATTTCTCAACTTTCCTAATATTAAGCACATTGCTTATCTTTACAACAGGAGTATAGCCTACCTGGCTGGCATGAAAATGAACCATGGGAAAATCGTCCTCCATTTGCTATTTAAGTGCATAGATTACATGTATTTTTTCCCACTGCCCCTGTTTCGAGACGGGTGCATGATAATATAATAATATAATATGCCATTTAGCAGACGCTTTTAACCAAAGCAACTTACAGTCATGTGTGCATACATTTTCATGTATGGGTGGTCCCTGGGTTCGAACCCACTACCCTGGCGTTACAAGTGCCATGCTCTACCAATTGAGCTACAGAGGTCCATTCTAAATGAAAACAAATTTCACACATATATTATTTAGATTAAATCAAGAATAGTCTGATGGGTGACAATATTAGCCTATCACTTATGAATGATATATTATCATTTGTGAATGATGCCCAGCACAAGGCAAGAAACAATGCCTTTTATTGCAACTTTTTAAAATCATAGTCGCACACCTCATGTAGCCTAGCCCATAGGCCTATATGTTTTAATAAGGATTGTATCACAACTAAAGCGGCCAAATAACTTCTTAAAATTAAGCACATTAATCCGCTTTACAGGGGTGTTAAGCCTAACTGGCATACATAAACTCCAGAGTGGTCTAAGGCACTGCATCTCGGTGCTTGAGGCGTCACTACAGACCCCCTGGTTCGATTCCAGGCTGTATCACAACCGGCCGTGATTGGGAGTCCCATATGGCGGCGCACAATTGGCCCAGCATCGTCCGGGTTTGGCCGGTGTAGACCGTCATTGTAAATAAGAATTTGTTCTTAACTGACTTGCCTAGTTAAATAAAGGTAAAATAAAATAACATAAATAAAAATAAGCAGCGTGTGAGTTTCAAGTTTAGGGAAGATAATTTCCACCATAAAAATGCACCTGTGCGCTTTGCTGCACTTATAATGTGAAGAAATAGCCTAATAGTTTATCAACATTTAAAGCTAAACATTCTGATCTGTTGTGTCAGCCACATTGCGTAAAAATTAATTTGGGATCTATCGCATCCCACAACTGTCCCAGACTATGTTTGGAATATTTATTTCTCGCATAGAATAGGTCAACTTTTGTACTATGGGGGATAGTAGATTGACATAGGCTAGTGCTTTTGCTGTTCGTTAGGCCTACTCATCTTGTTGGCTGACGAAAAGTAAATGTGGACAGTTCTTCCAATATCTTCAATATGCACCTTGGAATTGGATAAGGACATGCGCAGTTGCGTCCCCGATGTGTCTGTCTTCACTTGTAGCCTGTGAGAAAGACCCGATCACGTGATGGAGAGCCATGTGAATGAGAGGTGCTTCGGAGTTCGCAGCACTCCGGGCCAAGGGCACAACGGCCACTGGCCGCAAAAGGCATGGATTTTGTTTAGGGTGCATTACGGCCACACAAAGGGGATGCCGCCGTGAAATTCAAGGCATTATCAAGTGCTTGTCAAATTCTGAACGAGAGACTGATAAAGTGTGTACAGCCTGCGCAAAAAAACTGCAGAGCTCATGCCTTTCAAGCAACTTTTTTCAAATCATCATTAGAGTTGCCTAATTTATAAAAAATCTAAACATATAGCCCAACGTTTGTAGAACACCTGAAGTTACATAAATAACTTTAAGCATAAAGGAATACCTATTTCTTTGTTAACCGCTCAACACAAGAATAGCCACATGTGCGCACTCAAGTCATTTGGAGAAAATATCATTTATATTTTATTCAGCTTTGTTCAATTGTATTCTACATACTATAAAATAATGCAAATCTTGTCTGCTAAATAAACCAGTGTAGCCCACAGTCATTTGGCATAGCCAGATCAGGACCTAACATAAGGACAACTCATAGTATGCTATTTTGTTCTTCTGAAATAGACTACATTTTCTTCATATCTTGCTTCTTTAGACATGTATAAAATAAATAATGGATTTATTGTGAAGGTGTAGGCTATTGAGGGAAAAACGTTTTTGATCCCCTGCTGATTTTGTACGTTTGCCCACTGACAAAGAAATGATCAGTCTATAATTTTAATGGTAGGTTTATTTGAACAGTGAGAGACAGAATAACAACAAAACATCTAGAAAGACTCATGTCAAAAATGTTATAAATAGTTTTGCATTTTAATTAGGGAAATAAGTATTTGACCCCCTCTCAATCAGAAAGATTTCTGGCTCCCAGGTGTCTTTTTATACAGGTAACGAGCTGAGATTAGGAGCACACTCTTAAAGGGAGTGCTCCTAATCTCAGTTTGTTACCTGTATAAAAGACACCTGTCCACAGAAGCAATCAATCAATCAGATTCCAAACTCTCCACCAGGCCAACACCAAAGAGCTCTCCAAGGATATCAGGGACAAGATTGTAGACCTACACAAGGCTGGAATGGGCTACAAGACCATCACCAAGCAGCTTGGTGAGAAGGTGACAACAGTTGGTGCGATTATTCGCAAATGGAAGAAACACAAAATAACTGTAAATCTCCCTCGGCCTGGGGCTCCATGCAAGATCTCACCTCATGGAGTTGCAATGATCATGAGAACGGTGAGGAATCAGCCCAGAACTACACGGGAGGATCTTGTCAATGATCTAAAGGCAGCTGGGACCATAGTCACCAAGAAAACAATTGGGAACACACTACGCCGTGAAGGACTGAAATCCTGCAGCGCCTGCAAGGTCCCCCTGCTCAAGAAAGCACATATACAGGCCCGTCTGAAGTTTGCCAATGAACATCTGAATGATTTAGAGGAGAACTGGATGACAGTGTTGTGGTCAGATGAGACCAAAATCGAGCTCTTTGGCATCAACTCAACTCGCCGTGTTTGGAGGAGGAATGCTGCCTATGACCCCAAGAAAACCATCCCCACCGTCAAACATGGAGGTAGAAACATTATGCTTTGGGGGTGTTTTTCTGCTAAGGGGACAGGACAACTTCACCGCATCAAAGGGACGATGGACGGGGCCATGTACCATTAAATCTTGGGTGAGAACCTCCTTCCCTCAGCCAGGGCATTGAAAATGGGTCGTGGATGGGTATTCCAGCATGACAATGACCCAAAACACACGGCCTAGGCAACATAGGAGTGGCTCAATAAGAAGCACATTAAGGTCCTGGAGTGGCCTAGCCAGTCTCCAGACCTTAATCCCATAGAAAATCTGTGGAGGGAGCTGAAGGTTCGAGTTGCCAAACGTCAGCCTCGAAACCTTAATGACTTGGAGAAGATCTGCAAAGAGGAGTGGAACAAAATCCCTCCTGAGATGTGTGCAAACCTGGTGGCCAACTACAAGAAATGTCTGACCTCTGTGATTGCCAACAAGGGTTTTGCCACCAAGTACTAAGTAATGTTTTGCAGAGGGGTCAAATACTTATTTCCCTCATTAAAATGCAAATCAATTTATAACATTTTTGACATGCGTTTTTCTGGATTTTTTTGTTGTTATTCTGTCTCTCACTGTTCAAATAAACCTACCATTAAAATTATAGACTGATCATGTCTTTGTCAGTGGGCAAACGTACAAAATCAGCAGGCGATCAAATACTTTTTTCCCTCACTGTAACATGGATTTATTATACTTTTTAAAATGTAGATGTTTCAAAGGTCTGCATCAGTGGCTTGTAGGCTATGTGTGGAAGCCAGGAGATGCTAAATGTGTTTATGTTAATTAACGTCAATTACGGTGAGACCGACAGTTATTTGCTCGACAATCACCGGCTGACGAAATTTCGTAACCGCCACAGCCATAATTACATGATATCTCGTTCTGTGTTTTTGTTGTTCTGTAGGCAGCGCATGAACTTCGAGTGGCCCAGACAGAGTTTGACAGACAGGCAGAGGTCACACGGCTCCTGCTGGAGGGCATCAGCAGTACACACGTGAGTCATGATGTCACACATGTGGAGTGGACAAACATGACCACTACACAAAACCATTCTCTTTAGCATATGCACTGTTTACCATGTATTATGCTGTTTTAACATGGTGGTCACAGGGTATGTTGAGGTTGTCTTGTCTGTGTTTTGGATATGTTGTCTGTAGGTGAACCACCTGCGCTGCCTGCATGAGTTTGTGGAGGCGCAGACAGCCTATTACAAGCAGTGTTACCTGCACATGCAAGACCTGCAGAAAGAGCTGGGCAGGTGAGGACTGGCTCTGGGTAGATGCAGAGCATTTATATTGGGCACACTTAGCTGGGGTGTCTATGGCTGGCTTTCATTTGCTGCAAGCTGTTTATCAATGACCGTCTCCACTGTTATCTCTTATGCTTTCAGTTCCAATGGAGATGTGTAAGTAACATTTGATGACGATTACAGTTGAAGTCACCTTTACTCAACATATTTATGTTCACCGTTTTTCTAAATCAAACATGAAGTCTTATTATTCCTTAGGGAATGTGCTGTGTACCTTACGACTGTCTTCTCTCCCTAAACCTCTGCAGGTTTCCCAACGCGTTTGCTGGTAACCCGGGCCTCTCCATGGCCTCCGGTGGCTCCTCTCCCCAGGGGAATGCCACCCTACCCCTGGACACTGCCAGCGCTGTGGAGACAGACACACTGAAAATCGAAGAGGTACAGGCTCCTGCCACGGGCACACGCAAGGCCAAGGTCCTGTACGACTACGACGCTGCCGACACCAGTGAGCTCTCCCTACTGGCTGACGAGGTGAGCACACAATCCTTTCTTTCTGCACACCAGTGATTAGTTTAATCAGGTGTGTCCGTGAAAGGCTAGAATATGTGGACTGGTTGCTGGCTCATGTACAGTTGCATTGTATTAACACTGCTGAAGCACTATTAATACACTACTGTATGTTATTTTGTCTTTTCCCAGCTAATCACAGTTTACACAGTGCCAGGCATGGACTCTGACTGGCTTGTTGGAGAGAGAGGGAACCAGAAAGGGAAAGTGCCTGTCACATACCTGGAGCTGCTCAGCTAAAGAAACTACACTCAAAGAAATACATGGACAGACAGACACACACACAAACACACACACACAAAATTGCACTCACATGCCTTCAAACATGCAGACATCGACAAATTCAAACAAGCAAACACACCCACTGTACATTCTTTACGCACGAGGACTGCATGAAATCATTGGTGATTATGAAGCCAAATGCACTACATTGAATATGGATGAATGGTTACCATGACAACTTGGCAGAAAATTCTGAAGTGTAAGACGTTTACAGATTATCTTAATTTCACCCTGCTTCTCACCGCAGGAAAATTATCCTGCAGCAACAAGAAATGTAAATGATTATGTGGATTATAGTTAAGGGACATTTTTGTAGGGGCTGATAAATTTTTTCAATAGGGCAAATCAAGTCTGGCATTTTAAAATGGAAATTACAAACTTTAGAAGCCTTTTAAACCTTGAATACACTACAATTTGCATTTCCTGCTGCGCTGGAAAATTCTCTGCGACAACAGAGTGGTCAAATTAAGATAGCAGATCAGTACATACTGAAATCCCCTGTATTATTCAGACTTTTTGATTTTATTTTAGGTGACCTAAAGCAGGTGTGAAGCTTCTTACTAGCGTCATAGCCTACCCACTCAGTAGCACCTGTTTAAACTATATGCACCAATGCATGCACCAATGCACCAATCTTTTCCATTCCAAATACTATTAGGGTACTGTACGTCTAAAACATATTCCATACACCCTGTGCACCTCTGGTTAGTCCACATTCCTATGGCATTTCCCTGCACAGCTCTACCACTACCTGGCACTGAAACATTTCATGGCCGTATGCCCTGCTTAGTGACTAACTGGAAATGTACTCACTCTCACAGCGAAGATTTGAAGCACTCCTAGTCGTTTACTAACTGCCTTACAATGATGGGAGAGAGCTGTTTCCATCTGCTATAAGTAATAGAATGTATTGTACACACCACAATGTCCACACTCTCCTGTTTGCTTGGACACTTCTTTTGAAGAAGAAAAGCCAGATCTAACATAGAACATACATTTTGGCATGCAAGACTATAACTTGTTATCATTTAAGTATCTGTGGTGAGCAAAATTCCCATTTGTGTCCCTTTTTTAGTTTGCTCTTTTGCTCTTCTGTTTCTTAAACATGTTACTGTTCCTTCAGTTGTCTTTCTGTGATCTCAGTGGCTTCAGACAGGACCTAGGCTGCTGCATGTTATGTGATACTGGCAGGAGTTGGTCAGACTACTCTGTCCACTGCAAAGCCTCTTTTAAAAAATTGTAATCCAAAGTTTTAATGGCTGTATATTTATTGCTCAGACCTTATTAGTACCAAAGCAAACACAAGTATACACATGCATGCAATTCTGAGCCCAAACCTGGTTTGTACCATTGCTGCTGTGACTGTTTTGGCATGTCTTGTTTTGACCCTTTTCTGCCTTTACTGTCAATGTATTTATTGCCTGTTTACAAGCCATGCTGAGTGAATGAAAATATGTAGGATGTAATAAAAAAGTATGCTTTATTTGGACACAATCCGGTTATGTGGTCGTCAGCTCAAGTTGTTCTTAAGCTAATATTCTGGTGTAGCAGTCAGTCAGATCGAATGTAATCATTCTCTTCTTTATGTAAGATTTAACTTTATGTCCAACATCCTGTAACACATCAAATAAAAGTTTATTGGTCGCTTACACAGATTTGCAGGTGTTATAGCAGGTGCAGCGAAATGCTTATGTTACTAGCTCCAACAGTGCAGTAGAATGTCTAGCAAATACACAAATAATCAAAAGATCTAAATAAGAAATCAAGAAATGTCAGAATGAGTCCAATTAACAATCCAAGTAGATATATTAGAGTGAGCAGTGTCAGAATCCAGAATATAAATAAGTGGTGTGTATAGACAGTATATAACTTGGAAATAATTGTATGTACAGTAGTAGGTATATTAGGATGAGCTATGTTGAGAATACAGTATACATACACAGTTAGTAAACAATATAATATATGCCACACAGTCATGGGTGTACAGGGAGTACAGGAGGGGGCTGGGCACACACCCCTGGGGAGCCCCTTCTTGAGGATCAGTGTGGAAGAGGTGTTGTTGCCTAACCTCACCACCTGGGGTCAGCCTGTCAGGAAGTCCAGGATCCAGTTTTAGTGGGAGTTCAGACCCAGGGTCCTTAGCTTAGTGATGAGCTTGGAGGGCACTATGGTGTTGAAAGCTGAGCTCTAGTCGATGAACAGCATTCTCACATAGTCATTCCTCTTGTCCAGGTGGGATAGGGCGGAGTGCAGTGCGACGGCGATTGTGTCGTCCGTGGATCTGTTGGGGCGGTATGCAAATCATAGTGGGTCTAAGGAGTCAGGTAAGTTGGAGGTGATATGATCCTTAACTAGCCTCTCAAAGCACTTCATGATGACAGAGGTGAGTGCTACGGGGCGATAGTCATTTGGTTCAGTTACCTTAGCTTTCTTGGGTACAGGAACAATGGTGGACATCTTGAAGGAAGTGGGGAAAACAGACTGAGATAGGCACGAGGTTGAATATGTCTTTAAACACTGCTCCGAGGATGCAGCTTGGGATGCCGTCTGGGCCGGCATACTGGTAATTCACTGTTTGACACAACATACTCTCCTATTTCTAATCGTTTTATGAGTACGGCATCGACATGTTCATGCGTATAAAGTATTTTATCTGGCATGCTTGGCATTAAAATTATGATTTCATTTCAAATAAACAAAGAAAAAAATAGCTTCAAACCGCATTTAAAATAAGTGCTATAGGTCATTTGTCCAGCAAATCGGGGAATATACGTACATGTTTATGTATATTTGAAATGTCATTACAGTTATGTTTATCTATAGTGCCTGTACATTCTAGAGGGTGCACCACGTACTCTCACTACTGGCGTCCCCTAGGGCTCGGTTCTAGGCCCTCTCCTTTTCGCTCTATACACCAAGTCACTCGGCTCCCTCATATCCTCACATGGTCTCTCCTATCATTGCTATGTGGATGACCTTAAACTACTTTTCTCCTTCCCACCTTCTGACACCCATTTGGTGACATGCATCTCTGCATGCTTGGCAGATATCTCAGCTTGAATGTTGGCCAAACACCTCAAGCTCAACCTCAGCAAGACGGAGCTGCTCTTCCTCCCGGGGAAGGCATGCCTGCTCCAAGACCTCTCCATCACGATTGACAACTCATCGGTGTCCCCCTCCCAGAGTGCAAAGAAACTTGGTGTGACCCTGGACAACACCCTGTCGTTCTCTGCAAACATCAGAGCAGTGACTCGCTCCTGCAGGTTCATGCTCTACAACATCCGCAGAGTACGACCCTACCTCACACAGGAATCCAGGCACTTGTCATCTGCCGTCTGGAATACTGCAGCTCGCTGTTGGCTGGGCTCCCAGCTTGTGCCATCAAACCCCTGCAACATATCCAGAACGCTGCAGCCCGCCTGGTGTTCAACCTTCCCAAGTTCTCCCATGTCACCCCGCTCCTCCGCACACTCCACTGGCTTCCAGTCGAAGCTCGCATCCACTACAACACCATGGTACTTGCCTGCGGAGCAGCAAGAGGAATTGCCCTTCCCTACCTTCAGACTATGCTCAAACCCTACACCCCAACCTGAGTAAAAAAAAAAGCCTTTTGTGAACTAACACTCGCAATTGACTTTTCCCCCCTTACTGAATTTGCTGATAGCAACTTTATTGAGGAAAGATATACTTATTATAACTGAGATACACTATATATACAAAAGTATGTGGACACCCCTTCAAAATAGTGGATTCGGCTATTTCAGCCACACCCGTTGCTGACAGATTTATAAAATCGAGCACATAGCCATGCAATCTCCATAGACAAACAGTGGCAGTAGAATGGCCTTACTAAAGAGCTCAGTGACTTTCAACGTTGCACCGTCAAAGGATGCCACCTTTCCAGCAAGTGAGTTCGTCAAATTTCTGCCCTGCTAGAGCTGCCCCGGTCACGTCTTGCAACACACACTACCGAGTTCCAAACTGCCTCTGGAAGCAACGTCAGCACAATAACTATTCGTCGTGAGCCAAGCAGCCGCACACAAGCCTAAGATCACCATGCTCAATGCCAAGCGTCGGCTGGAGTGGTGTAAAGCTCGCCGCCATTGGACTCTGGAGCAGTGAAAACGTGTTCTCTGGAGTGATGAACAACGCTTCACCATCTGGCAGTCCGACGGATGAATCTGGGTTTGGCGGATGTCAGGAGAACGCTACCTGCCCCAATGCATAGTGCCAACTGTAAAGTTTGGTGGAGGAGGAATAATGGTCTGGGGCTGTTTTTCATGATTCGGGCTAGGCCCCTTATTTCCAGTGAAGGGAAATCTTAACGCTACAGCATACAATGACATTCTAGACGATTCTGTGCTTCCAACTTTGTGGCAACAGTTTGGGGAAGGCCATTTCCTGTTTCAGCATGACAATGCCCTCGTGCACAAAGCAAGGTCCATACAGAAATGGTGTGTCGAGATCGGTGTGGAAGAACTTGACTGGCCTGCACAAAGCATTGACCTCAAATCCATTGAATACCTTTGGAATGAATTTGAATGCCAACTGCGAGCCAGGCCTAATCGCCCAACATCAGTGCCCAACCTCACTAATGCTCTTGTGGCTGAATGGAAGTAAGTCCCTGCAGCAACGTTCCAACATCTATTGGAAAGCCTTCTCAGAAGAGTGGCGGTTGCTATAGCAGGAAAGGGGGGACCAACTCCATATTAATGTCCATTATCTTGGAATGAGATGTTCGAAGAGCAGGTGTCCACATACTTTTGGTCATGTAGTGTATGTTGTTGTCCCACCTAGCTATCTTAAGATGAATGCAATAACTGGAAGTCACTCTGCATAAGAGCGTATGCTAAATGACTAAAATATAAATGAGTAGATGTGTATCAGGTGCAAATCGAAAGTGGAGGCAGGGCCTTACCGTGTCGGCTATGCACAGAGAGATATCACTACATATATGATCCAGCCCACACAAACAAACACCCCAAACATTAGGCTGAACAGCACCAGCAGACGGGCCTTCTGGGAAGCCCTCTCTGCCTCCCTCATGTCCCCTCTGGCCAGAGCAGCACGGGTCTAGAGCAGAGGGGAGACACAACCAGCTCAGTCAGGACATGGTCTGTAGCCAACAGGCATATGCATTGTTTGAAGATGTCTGATAGGGTACAATTGAAAATCAAAAGAATTGAACTTTCCATAACTTTCCTTCTACTGAATCAGACATCTTGTTATGTCATCATTGGCGTAAGGAAGGCCTTGATAGTATCACTGCATTCTTAGGATTCTACTACACCTACACTGAAACTCATGCCCACTCTCTGCCTTAATTCATTTCACAGCCAGGCCTTTGTTAGTGCACTAAGGATATAGTGTACTTGAGTTACCTCATATGAATACATAAGGGCAATGAGGCCACTCATGAGGCAGCAGAAGATGGTGACCAGCAGGGACTCCACCATGTAGTCCTTGGGCAGGGGAGGCCGCTCATCCCCCAGTGGAGGGCCGTTCATGTACTGAAACACAACAGAGGCAAACATGCATGGACACAATAACCCATTAAAATAGTGGACATTCTTGATTTTGAATCGAGATTTAAAATAGAAATGGCACACTGTCGATCCAAGCACATTACTTTCATTACAACACAGGAAAATATTTAGATCTATTGTTAAATCCGGAAGTAGTCTCGCGTGGCCATAAGGGAATACATTTTTGAACCGTACGTGAATCATGTCCTGTGATTCAATAAAGCTATGAGGAGTAATTTAATGTGCAAATCTGTTATAAACTTACTGTATATCTAATAAATTTCCCCCCTTCCACCACCACCACCACCACCACCACATGAAAAAGTATGTGTGTTTGACAGCACATTTACACTTGTTTTTTTTTGTTGCTCTATACTGATACTCTGATACTCTCTTACTATGGTGTAGGGAGGGTAGCTGGGTGAAGGCATGAACTGGGCCTGGTAGAAGGCTGGCTGGTTGGGTCCTGGCTGGCAGGCTATGACAGGGGGTCCTGGGTAGTGAGGTGGTTGTGGAGGGTAAATAATGTAGGCCATCTTGGGGTCAGGTGGGCTGTAGGGTGGGGGCTCCTCTGATGGGGTAGATGCTGTCATGTCTGGTTGGACCAAGGAGATCTGTGGTTGACACACAGTCGAGGGCGTCCCTCCTGCTAGGTCAGTCTGGCCTAGCAGCTCCTCCCTGGTTAACCTCCCATCACTGTCACTGTGAGCTCTGTATGGCGGACAGGCAGCAAAAGTACTGTCTGCCTTAGGCACTGGAGGACAGACAGTGTGGACACTGTCACTGATGGATGACAGATGGGTGGTTTGGACAGGTAAACTTGTACGTCCAACATGGTCTTGGGTTCCTGAGTTTCCCTCCTGCACTGCTGTCCTCCCACTGGACATGGCCTGGCTCTCAGGGCCGGATGGTTGAATGACTAATGAGTAGAAAGAGGAAGGATAGATATGATGACGGCTGACTGTAATTCTTAGTCAACTGGCAATGAAAAACATGACTGAAAGTTGGTTATCTACAGCGATTATGTAGCCATGAATACATTACTAACTTTATTCATGAATGACTTATTTTAAAGGAAATGGTAATGTGATCTGTAATAAGTAAATAGAGGAACTCTCACAAGTTTCTCTGGGAAAGTTGACTGACCCACTTTGGGTTCTACAGTGGAAAACAGTGTATCTGATTAACTAAAAGGATCAGGCAAAATGAGTGTGGTTATTCAGTGTCACTCTCCAGCTGCCGGTGTGGTTTGTCATGGCTTATTGAGTTTCTGCTCGGGGGGGAGGAGCTTGCCGACTGACTGAGACCACAGAACAAACAGCAGGGCAGAGCCCCAGCCAAGGCATCCAGGCTGCTCTAGTGTTGCATGCCTAGGAGAGAGAGGGTTTAGACTTCGGCCCACAAAGATAGATTTGTAGATTTAAAACCAACTGAGATCCTGTAGAATCAATTTGTACTTGTAGATGGGTCAAATAATGTATAATGGACCTGTGCATCACTGAACATTCTGCAGGTTAAATAGAGCAATAACAGCAACCTAATTTCTCTTCATAACATTGTCATGACCCATATATTTACACCTGTTGTGACATTAATTGCATTATTTTATGGCTGATTATGACACCCACATAAGAGTGTCAAAACCCACATTTATTCAAATTAGTTTTTTCTCTGCCAAGAAGTTTCTTTTCACTTAAAATGTTGTTTCTTAAATCTATTGTTGTTGTTGTAATCAGTCATGTTTTTTTCATCATATTTTAAATAACTTGTAGAAAATACACTTTATGACACTGTCAAGAAGCATTATGACCATCCTGTGTCACTTTACTTGAACTAAGAAAATACACTTTATGACACTGTCAAGAAGCATTATGACCATCCTGTGTCACTTTACTTGAACTAAGAAAATACACTTTATGACACTGTCAAGAAGCATTATGACATCATAATCATATAAGCCAGATAGGCCTATCACATACATGCCCTTATATCAGTCATCAGTCAAAAAGAGGGTGTCTTGTCCTGCTCCTGAAATCTGCTCCTGCATTCATCCCAGTCATCAGCAACAGAGCATTGGGGTAGGTGCATGTCTGACATCAATGTGTGCAATTACAGTGATCATTTAATATGGTCAATTAAAAAAAAAAAATATATATATATATACAACATAAACATACTGTTGACATGTAGGCTATGGTGTAATGGAATGTTTTGTGGGTTTTGACACTCTTATGTAGGTGTCATAACCAGCCATAAAATAACTACCGTGGTAGGTTTTGTGGGTTTTTACAGTCATATGTATGTGTCATAACCAACCATAAAATAATGCAATATATGTCACAACAGGTCTAAATATATGTGCCATGACAGTGTTATGACCATATTATAACAGGTTATGACAAGTTCTGTCAGCTGTTGAGACATATTATGACATGGTTATGACCGTGTCATAATGTGTTATAACGCTTGGTGTCAAGTAAAGTGTTGCTGAATATTCATTGTTTTATACAATCCCATCTTCTTTTGTTTTAAATAAACTCAATGCATACAGCTTATCTCATTTTGTAATGTTTGTTGTTTGTTTCTGTGTAATCCTAATCATTCAATTTAAATTCCCATTTCTCCCAAAGTACACTGTTTCACACATTTTATACAATAATAAATTACCATTTTGGTTTGTAGGACTAAATATGCCTTAGGGCATGAACAGAGACTAACCTGGGTCCATTTTGGCAGGCAGCGTACAGTACAGGGCAGTATACAGTTGGAGAACGGTAGAGAGGAGGATTCAGGTGGTCATCTGTAGAAAATGCCTGATCCAGACAACAGAAACAGAACATGGGACAGTTTGCAGCAGATATCCCATGGGCTCCCTCAAATGGCTACTGATCTTGTGCCTCCTCTCCACAAGGGGAGAAATAGTATCGTGTTTGTTTAATAATTGAAAGGCTTGTGTGTGGTGTGCATGTGTGTGTGTGTATGTGGTGTGTGTGTGTGGGGGGAAACCTAGATTGTAACATAACATGGAAACAAGAACATCACAGTCTCTCTGATCACACCAAAACCAATGTAAAAAATAAGCAACCATGTTTTAGAAAAGGTTGAGCTCATCATCATGAATGGGAACTGTGATAACATTTGCTAAGAAATCATTATAATGTAATGTTTAGACAATAATAAAATAAACACTGTAAACCCGAGTGTGACTCAGTAATCAGAAATCTAGAGAACTGTACTTCCTCTCCTCATCCACAACAAAGGTGTGCTCCTTTCTTGTGCTCCTCAGGGTGACTCAATTAGTTGGTGAGCCTTTCTTTTTGCGTATCCTTTTGCTGACAGTGAACTCAAATGCCATGGGATTACAGTGCCTTCAGAAAGTATTCATACACCTTGACTTATTCCACATTTTGTTGTGTTATAGCCTGAATTGAAAATTGATTAAATAGATTTTTTTTCTCATTCATCTACACACAATACCCCATAATGAAAAAGTGAAAACATGTTTTTAGAAATTTTTGTATTGAAGGTGAAATACAGAAATATATCATTTACATAACTATTCACACCCCTGAGTCAATACACGTTAGAATCACCTTTGGCAGCGATTACAGCTGTGAGGCTTTCTGGGTATATCTCTAAGAGCTTTGCACACCTGGATTGTACAATATTTTCCATTATTCTTTTCAAAATTCTTCAAGCTCTGTCAAATTGGTTGTTGATCATTGCTAGACAACCATTTCTAAGTCTTGCTATAGATTTTCAAGCAGATTTAAGTCAAAACTGTAACTCCGCCACTCAGGAACATTCACTGTCTTCTTGGTAAGCAACTCTAGTGTAGATTTGGCCTTTTGTTTTAGGTTATTGTCCTGCTGAAAGGTGAATTCATCTCCCAGTGTCTGGTGGAAAGCAGACTGAACCAGGTTTTCCTCTAGGATTTTGCCTGTGCTTAGCTCCATTCTGTTTCTTTTTTATCCTGAAAAACTCCACAGTTCTTAACGATTACAAACATACCCAAAACATGATGCAGCCAACACTGTGCTTGAAAATATGGAGAGTGGTACTCAGTAATGTGTTGTATTCGATTTGCTTCAAACATAACACTTTGTATTCAGGACAAAAAGTTAATTGCTTTGCCACATTTTTTGAAGTATTATCTTTAGTGCTTTTTTACTAACAGGATGCATGTTTTGGAATATTTTTTTTCTGTACAGGCTTCTTTTTTTCCACTCTTTCAATTAGGTTAGTATTGTGGAGTAACTACAGTTTTCTCCTATCACAGCTATTAAACTGTAACTGTTTTAAAGTCACCATTGGCTTCATGGTGAAATCCCTGAGTGGTTACCTTTCTCTCAGGCTACTGACTTAGGAAGGACGCCTGTATCTTTGTAGTGACTGGGTGTATTGATACACCATCCAAAGTATAATTAATAACTTCACCATGCTCAAAGGGATATTCAATGTCTGCTTTTTTATTTTAACACATCTACCAATAGGTGCCCTTTGCGAGACATTGGAAAACCTCCCTGGTCTTTGTGGTTGAATCTGTGTTTGAAATTCACTGCTCGACTGAGGGACCTTACAGATAATTATATGTGTGGGGCACAGAGATGAGGTAGTCATAATAAAAATCATGTTAAACACTATTATTGCACACAGAGTGAGTCCATGCAACTGTTTACTCCTGAACTTATGTAGGTTTGTCATAACAAAGGGGTTGAATACTTATTGACAAAAGACATTTGAGCTTTTCATTTTTTATTAATTTGTAAAAATGTCATAAAAACATAATTCCACTTCGACATTATGTGGTATTGTGTGTAGGCCAGTGACAAAAAATCTCAATGTAATCCACTTTAAATTCAGGCACACAACAAAATGTGGAAAAAGTCAAGGGGTGTGAATACTTTCTGACGGCACTGTATATTGGTCAGCCTGTGTAAACAGGAAGCAATGCATCATTTAATCAACATTTACAACAATGGGTGTTGTCTGTCACACGATGGTGCAATAGCATGCATGCCATACATTCTGAAGTAAGGTTACGTTGAGGTGGTAAACACAGTGGCTGCTCATTCTGTTGTTTATCTGCTGGAAACACACTTCAAGTGTCACTTTTACTTTTTTTATACAGTAGAAACACTATATGAGCTTTAGGGACATTTGTAGCTGACACAGTACCCAACCCCACAGGACAGGCTGGGAACACCACAGGGTCAGCCGTAGCGAGGCACTCATGGAGCAGTTAGGATTAAATGTGTTGCGCAAGGACACAACTCATAGATTTTCCTCATCAGCCCTGGGGTTTCAACCAGCAACCCTCTAGTAACTAGTCCGCTTCTCTTACTACGAAGTAACTGTCACCCCAAAAAAAAGACCTTCAACGGTCCAGGTCCGACTGTACTTATGGCTAACATAAATTAAGTTGTATACCACATACCGGATTGTGTAAGATCATCAATCTAATCTAAAGTTCCCTATTTGTCTGTGTGACAGACGTCACTGTGCTTGCTTAACTCTACTTCCTCCCCCACCAGCCCACACTGAGACTGGAACTCGGGACCTCTGTCCTGCAAACACATGTGACCACCCTTGTGTCTTCCCCACTAATCCAACTAGCTGACTAGGCATACATTTCCCAGATTGTACTTGTCCTAGGCTACACTTACACAGACAGCCAATTCTGATCTTTTGCCAAATGATTGGCAAAAGAGCTGATTGGTCAAAAATATCAGAATTGGGTTAACCCTATAGCTATGTCACTGTTTTACTGAATAACAGTTATTTATGGCCACACTTGAGAGCATAATAACACTGCAATGTTGTACTTCAAATGCTCTCTCACCCACATTCTCAAATCATTCTCAAATCAAAACTCCCCAGAAATAAATAAAGTATATAGTGAACAGACATTAATTTGTCTAATAAGTGATAGTGGTTACAATCATTTCAACAAAGTTATGCTCTCATTATGTAGCAGTTGACATATTCAATAGAAAACACAAACATAAAGCAAACATATATACAGCTCTAAAGTCCATTATTATCCCTGCACCTCAAATGAGATGTGCCCCAAAAAATGTATAGTCTTCTCGAAGGAGCATCAACTCATGGTACCTGTCCTCGTTACTCACTCTAAGCCTGTCCCCAGCTTTTAGTTTAAACACCCCGGATGTGCGGGTAGATTTTTCCCAGTATGGAGTCACTGAGTCAGGGGGCTGACAGCAATTTGATTTGGGCATGCATTCCACTGTGTCAGATGCTGTTAGGAGTTCTCTGTTCTTCTGGTAGTTAATTGCAAACAGGATCACCTTCTGGGAGAGGATGAACACAGGGTCCTCTTTGCTACACACAAAGTGACTAGGCCTTCGGAAGGTGATCTGCAGGTAAACCTCGTACATGCCATCTTTGAGCACGATGAGGTTGCCGTCATCATACTCAAAGCCGCTGAGGTGAGCAAGTCCAAGTTTGTCCTCCCATTCAAGGTATTCCCTTTTTGAATTACTAAATGAGGCTGGAGCTGGAAGAGAGACAATGAGGACATTACCTTTTAGCTTAGTCTTATAGATTGGTCTTTCAAGCAATAATATCATGAATAGTATCATAACTGTACCTGTCAGATGGGCACTTGGATTGGTTCCAACTTGCTGCTGCTGAACACTGCCTATATGGAGGGATAGAATAGACAGTGTGAGGATGATGATGATGATTATAATAATAATAAGAATCATAACAGCCATAATAATAATCAGAATGTACCTATAGAATCGCTTCCCGCTGAAGTGAGCTACAAATGAAAACACAAGATCCATTCAGATTTACTGTGTATAATAGTCTGCAAGATATATCACAGCCCTCTACAATTAGAATGACAAGCGTTTTCTGATCTCTCTAATAATTATACACATTTACTCTAGGCTACAGTTTCGATTCTTATCACACACAACACTATCCATAAATTAATTATTTGCAGATAACAGGTTGATTTTATGGATGGACACTTGTGCGCCGTTGAAAAAGAAGCTCACCTGGTTGTCTGCTGCTGCTGCTGCTTTATGTTGATATGCGTTTAGCAGGAGTGCCACACACGACAGAAGTATAGAGGCAAACGCAGCGAACCGAGTGAGGCACAGTGAGCGCCCTTTATCGCTGCCGCTCACCCGGGAATAAAGGATCATGTCACTCGTCGCATGATGACACGGGATCTCACAGCGAACCTCTTCATTGCCAGCGGGTGTCATGATCAGCATGGAGGGAGTACTACTCAATGGATTTTGCAGTTCATGTCCGACTTTTATAAATCTTGTCGCCCACGTTCCACCTACAGTCAGGGTATCGTGTAAAGGTGTTGTCTCAAACTGAGTTTCAGTGTAGTCCCTACAGTTGCCATTGTTAATTTAACACTTAACTTCCTGTTTACATTGAACTTAAAAATGAATGGGAATCTAGCCATACTATCAAGCAAGATACTGTTGTAAATATTGTAACTCAATAACAATGGATTTAAGGTACGTTTATTTGTTTTTCTCAAGTTGTTACAGGATTCAAATTTCAATCAAGTTTAAAATATAATCAATCATTCAATCATTCGAAATGTTCAATAAATAATAGACAATTAAATAAACCCTTAAGAAAAAAGACTGCATTCAGAGTGCAGTATAACTGCAGAACACTATGCTGGAAATACTGCCACCAAAATAACCCCCAAAATGTACTGCAGTAATTTTGCAGTAAAACTGCAGTTACAGTGCAGTATAACTGAACTGCAATACACTGCAGTTATTCCGCAATTACTGTGTCCAAAATACCACAGTGCACTGCAGTTACTGCACTTTTACTGCAGTTTCAAAACATAAGTCATCCAATCAAAGCAAAAATAGACAGATCAAATCAAAAGGCAAATCAAACAAATGGTCAGCAAAAAGTAAAAACAAGAAAAATAAATAAAAGTGTATTTTCAAGGTTTGTTTTTTGTTTGTTTAAGTTACAGCTCTTTATTGACCATAACTGGCAGTGGACATAATCAGTCTTCATTGTCACAACACCAGTGGTGGCTGGTGGCCCTTAAAATGGGGAGGACAGGCTCATAGTAATGGCTGGAACGGAATAAATGGAAGGGTCTCAAACAATTCAAACACCTGGTTTCCATGTGTTTATACCATTCCATTGACTCCATTCCATTCATTATTATGAGCCGTCCTCACCTCACCAGCCTCCTCTGAACAGAACACATAGGTCGCATTCCCCTGCTCAGACCTGCACGCATGACATTTTAGTCATTTAGCAGACGCTCTTATCCAGAGCGACTTACAGTTAGTGCATACATTTTTTTTTTTTTTCCCATACTGGCCCCCTGTGGGAATCGAACCCACGACCCTGGCGTTGCAAGCGCCATGCTCTACCAACTGAGCTACACGGGGCCCAATCATTGCATCAACCAATGATTGCGTGTGCTGTCGGGCACCAGATTGCTATAACATATGATGTGATTAGCCAATACTTAAAATACCTATCTGCCCATAAACTGGCTGACACTCTCATGGTTGCAAACAAATATTCTAATGAGCCATCAATCTAGACCACCTGGCCAGGCTGGAAGGACCGGTGTTATGACACTGATAGCTTCTCGGAACTGATGGCTTCTACAGTTGTGGCTAGATGGAATACAGGTCCATCCAGTTGTTGCTTTCGAGGACAGTTGTAGCATTATAGTTAAGCCAAACGCTAACTATTTTCCTATCCTTAACCTAATTCTCCTAACCTGCTATGTTAATTCTCCAAACCTGCTACTTAAAGTCACTTCAGCCACAACCGTAGAAGCCATCAGTTCCTAAGAAAACAGCAGTATCACCACACCGGCCTTGACCACGGTTGTCAGTCACTCTCCTCTGCTTGATTTTCACCTTCAACACACAGCACTGAGTGCAGATGTGATGACAGCAAACTCAATAGAACTTCTCTCAGGCGTTGGAGGGTCTCTGTCTTCTGGGAGTGACCCTCCCCCACTGCCTCACAAACAGCTCGAAGGACATGGGCTCGAAGGGAACTGGGTACAAGGAACTGCCAGACCTACACCATCACGCGTCATCTCCTTCCATACCCGAAACACAACCCCATTGTGAAGGGCCAGGCAGTCCCATTGTGAGTAGTAGGCCTTGGCCTCTGGGCCAAGGGAGGAGATACTACCCCAGGCAGATTCTGGCCAACCTCCAGTCATCCCCACACGACTGCCAACACTAGGTCAGTTTCCTTGTTTTCTCTGAAAGTCCTGCTCATCCAAAACCTCCAAGGGGATATTCACCCTGTCTGCCCATCTGCTGGGAGACACTCAATTCTTGGGCCTCTAGCTGCATGGTCCTCTCCTGGCGGTCATCACTGCCGGCTGCTGCCCGGGCTGGCAGCTCCCACTGACGGTGCACCAGCTGAGGTGGAGCTACTGCTACACAGTACCGAACCATGTACACATTACACTTTTTTGCAGTGTTGCCGCTTATGCCCATAAAAAGGAAGCAAAGTGAATGAAGTTATGCTACTTAAAGCTAGAATTCTTAATTGAAACAATAACAAAGCACTCCCCGCCACTGTTTTGCTAAAAAACTAAGGGATGGGGGTGGAGAAATGTTGCCACTCTCAAATTCATAGACAGAGCTATGGATGCAAGGACTGACCATCCATGATACACTAAATGACCAAAAGTATGTGGACACCTGCTCGTCGAACATCTCATTCCAAAATCATGGGCATTTATATGGAGTTGGTCCCCCCTTTGCTGCTATAACAGCCTCCACTCTTCTGGGAAGGCTTTCCAATAGATGTTAGAACATTGCTGCGGGCACTTACTTCCATTCAGCCACAAGAGCATTAGTGAGGTCGGGCACGGATGTTGGGCGATTAGGCCTAACTCGCAGTCGGCGTTCCAATTCATCCCAAAGGTGTTCGATGGGGTTGAGGTCAGGGCTTTCTGTGCATGCCAGTCAAGTTTTTCCACACCGATCTCAACACACCATTTCTGTATGTACCTCGCTTTGTGCACGGGGGCATTGTCATGCTGAAACAGGAAATGGCCTTCCCCAAACTGTTGCCACAAAGTTGGAAGCACAGAAATGTCTAGAATGTCATTGTATGTGCTATAGTGTTAAGATTTCCCTTCACTGGAACTAAGGAGCCTAGCTTGAACCATGAAAAACAGCCACAGACCATTATTCCTCCTCCACCAAACTTTACAGTTGGCACTATGCATTGGGGCAGGTAGCGTTCTCCACCAAATCCAGATTTGTCCGTCGGACTGCCAGATGGTGAAGTGTGATTCATCACTCCAGAGAACGCGTTTCCACTGCTCCAGAGTCCAATGGCGGCGAGCTTTACACAACTCCAGTGTCACGACTTCCGCCGTGGCTGCCTCCCCTCCTTGTTCGGGCAAATTTCGGCGTTCGTCGTCACCGGCTTACTAGCTACTGCCAATCCCATTCTCATCACTCCACTTGTCTTGTCTTGTCAATCACACACACCTGGTGCTCATTCCCCTAATTAGTATGTGTATAAGTGTTCCCTCTGTTCCCCTTGTCTTTGTGAGTGATTGTTTCATTGTGAGAGCGAGTAGCTCGGTTGAGCTTGGTTATTGCCAAGGTGGAATATTTCCCTTGTGATAGTTTCGTTTTGACGCTGGGTGCGTTTTATTTATGTAAACGGAATAAACTCTGGACTTCGGTGTTTTACCTCCTGTGCCTGACTCCTTCATTCACACCTCATCACATCCAGCTGCCGCTTGGCATTGCGTCTGGTGATCTTAGGCTTGTGTGTGGCTGCTCGGCCATGGAAACCCATTTCATGAAGCTTCTGACGAACAGTTATTGTGCTGACGTTGATTTCAGAGGCAGTTTGGAACTCGGTAGTGAGTGTTTCAACCGAGCACAGGCGATTTTTACACGTTACGCGCTTCAGCACTCAGCGGTCCCATTCTGTGAGCTTGTGTGGCCTACCACTTCGCGTCTGAGCCGTTGTTGCTCCTAGACGTTTCCACTTCACAATAACAGCACTTACAGTTGACCGGGGCAGCTCTAGCAGGGCAGAAATTTGACGAACTGACTTGTTGGAAAGGTGGCATCATTTTACATTTACATTTTAGTCATTTAGCAGACGCTCTTATCCAGAGCGACTTACAGGAGCAATTAGGGTTAAGTGCCTTGCTATGACGGTGTCACATTGAAAGTCACTGAGCTCTTCAGTAAGGCCATTCTACTGCCAATGTTTGTCTATGGAGATTGCAAGGCGGTGTGCTCGATTTTATACCCCTGTCAGCAACAGGTGTGGCTGAAATAGCTGAATCCACTCATTTGAATGGGTGTCCACATACTTTTGTATATATAGTGTATCAAATGTATAGTTTTAACCATGTTGAGGCTATACAGTGTTTGTTTACATTTATGTTGTTTACAAACATTGGAGTAAAGCAAGCTTATATTTTGGGTTCTGATGGGGTATGACAGCTGAACTAAGCTCATGAGGCATTTATAAGTTATCTTCTTCAAGAATCAATAGGTATATATATCATTAACTTATATGTCCAAAAATGGATGTAGCAACTAAGGATTCTAGCTTTAATTGCTATTGATTAATAAGAAAGAAATGAAAACATTCAGACCAGTCTTCTCTGTTGAACTTAGGCTGCACTTCATTAGCACTGAAACGACTCAAACACAGAAACACAGCCACTGTGAAACAATATAACAAAATACATCTCCAGGTAGGGTAAACATGCAAATATAAAGGAGTTAAACACAGTTACAGACTAACCAAGAAACCCTCTTTTATTTAGCATTGTGTGTGACATTTTCAGTTTGTGGTATTTACACAATTGCCATGAATAATTCAACTGAAAACAGTAGTTAGGGATGATGACATGTATCCTGCAAGACAATACAGAGGGTAGGTCTATTTATAATTCATTTCCTGTGTGGACTGTGCCCAGACCATATTGGAGCCTTTTAGTGTACGGGTACCGACTGTTCTGAGTGCACTCTACCTGTACAATAATAATGATCCTATTCACATTCATCTGTACAATGTCCTACTCTTATTTACAGTGATCACACTGGGGAAAGAGGCAGTACCTGAGGAGTGAGTTCCCTTAATAACTTAACCCATTAATTATACTTTTTACAGAAACAAATCCTAGATATCATTGTAGTTTATAAACAACATAAAAGCACGAGCAGGATTAATAGTGATGCTGCCAGCAATACATTACCAAGATCAGTCTATTTTGTACTGATAAGACTACATAAGAAATTGAGGCTGGCATAATTTTGTCCTAGAAGTGGATTACTTAATGAAACCTGCTTAAATAGACTAGGACTACTTTTTGAGCAAGAACATGTTCAACAACTTCTGTTGAGGTAGACATTTCTCAAACCAGCAGATTAGCACACCATCAGTAAAAAGCTCAAAGTGATGATCATAACAAGCAATGGGACAGACTGCCCTGCACAGTACTGAGTAGAGAGAGGATACAAGGTATGCTTGTTTTATCATCTAAACACTCCTTGTTAATACTCAAGGTTAGGACCTGGCAATTCTTCATCCAGGATACAACCGAAAACAAAAGACGAGGTCATTAAGCCAGCAGCCGTCACTTTTCCCAATAACTAACAAAAAATACATATACATGAAATCATTTTGCACTTCTTAATATAGCACACAAGTTAAAATAACATGTTCCACCTACCATGTACCATCTTACACGTGGAACATTTATCCCAAGAACAAAACTTGAAACAATAAATACAATTAATTAAATAACAATCATTGTCTGGACCAGATCTCTGTTCAAGTTATAACTTAAACTATTAGTCTGTTTTAAAAGGTTCTGAAATGCTCGGTCTCCTGATGAGTGGTCTGATGTCCATTGAGCTGCATAAGGAACAGTGTCCATACAACAGAGACATGGTCCTCTACTCTTGCATGGGCAAACACCCCATTACCACAACCATCCACGTCTTTAACAGTGCCCTCTGCAGGCACAACTGAAGTAAAACAGTCTACTCTTCTTTGGACCCTTCATTGACTTCTTCTTTTACATGAATCACTTAAATCTGAAATGGAGCCCAAAACGTAAAATAATCTTGTAATCTTTTGCCAGGACAAAACCAACAGAAACATACCATCCCTTTTTCCTCTGTCAGTCTGTTGGTTCAAATGGCCTTATGCAGAATCTCGAGTTACACATTGGCTTTGGGTTTGGTGTCCGGCAGCTTTGAAAGTCTTTATCCATTTCATGTCTCTGTCCTGTGAGGCAGGCAGCCAGGCCGGAAGCCTCTCAGTGTGTCCAGTCTGTACGCAGTGTGCAGTCTGTCTGCCCTGTGGGCTAGGCCTTGTAGCAGTTGCCCTGGGTGGTGAGAGCCAGCTGGCCGTTGGGTGCCACCTCGTTGGCCTCGTCCTCCAGCAAGCCCGATACGTCAGCGTTGGGAATGCTGTCATGGTAACTGCTGCAGCTGATGTTGTCCTCCTTCAGCTCGATGGTCCAGAAGGGAGCGTTGAGCTTGCGGTTCTGGTACTCTCGGTAGGTGTACACCCCTCCCACAAAGCCCAGAAGCACCACCACCACAAGGATGATGACGGCCAGGACGATGATGTTGAACTGGGTCCAGGAGACCTCTGTGAGGGCGGCTGTGGTGTTGTCTGAGGGGCTGCCCAGGCTGGTGAGCAGGGCCTGGGTGGTTGCTACGCTCAGCAGGGTGCTGGAGTTGGTGGTGGAGGGGGGAAAACTGGTGGGCACCGTGGAGGTCAGGCCCTTGCTGCTGGGGGTTGGAGCAGGGGTGGTGGTGTTGGTTTTAGGGGCCTCGGTTGTTGTCACAGGCTCTGGCGTAGGAATTATCCGTGATGCTAAAAAACAAATTATTTACAATGTGAATGGGCATGAATTGAGCTACTCATGGCTCATGCAATAGCTTCACAACTACTAATACTCCTCTGCACCAAATTATTGGATGACACTTACCTGGGCGGGTGCAGTTGTGGGCGCGGGCGTCCCCTGTGAAGCCGGCGGCACAAAGCTGGCATTGAGGCCCCGTGGTGTTGTTGGTGCAGCTCAGGCAGTGGCCAGTGTCAGGGTGGCAGAGCTGGGCCGGGCCCATAGGGTCTGCGTTCCCACTGCAGTCGCAGGGGACACACCCACTGTTGGCACTGTAGAAGCCAGCCTTGCACCGGTTACACTGCTGACCGCTGTATTCAGACAGGCACTGGTCACACACTGGGAACCCATCAGAGTCTAGGTAAACAAAAACACACACAAATATATGTCAATCATAAATCATAAGAGACTTGGCTGATGTACTACCACTAGGTGGCACCAGAATGCCAAAGACAGATTGGTTTGTAATACTGTACAACGCAAAAGGTAAGCCCTATGGCAGTGTCTCTAGTCTACTATAGGCTACTTAAGGGCTACACGTGGGCTATATAAGAGTACCCTAGCTAATAATACAAATGTTTTCTGTTGCTCAGACGCATTTTTAACCTACCCCAAAAGTTTCAGAGAAAAGATTCAACGATAATAATAATATATGCCATTTAGCAGACACCTATACAAAGAGTTTTTGTATGGGTGGCTCCAGTGGGAATTGAACCCACAACACTTGCCGTTGCAAGCACCATGCTCTGAGCCACACACGACCACCGATGTAATCAGAGAAAGATATGGCTTAAGTGTGGAAAAAAGACTGTTCCACAAACACGCGTCTTTACGGGCCGGAATCAAATTCACTTTAATCGTTTCTAAAGACTGATCCCTTGTATCAGAGCATCATCATCACTCCTCATTATCATGAGATGTCAGTCTCCTCCAGGGTCAGCTTTCTCCTCCAGCCTCTGGTCCTTAGTAATATGATGCTACTATACAGTGGCCTTCCTTCTCTCCTAATGGCATCACTAACTGTTATATATCCCCTTCTGCTGTAAGCACATCCATTAAGTACCAGGAGGTCTGACACCAAATATTATTGAGCACAGTAATCAAGCTTGCTACATGTCATTAGCGTAAGTGTTGATCCTCTCCTACTAAGCAACGTAATAGAGAAAATAGCCACATACTCAATGGTACCCTAAATGTGTGCTGCAGGCTTAAGTCTGCTCAAGATCTTTCCGACTTATGGACCAATAATTGTGCCCACAACAGACACACTTTTAAAGCGACAATTAAAATCCTAGATGAGCGCTAGACCAATGAAGTCTAGGAGTGATAACACCTCTTATCTATAGGCAGTGTCTGATTGGTCGGGTTTAACCCTGGGCCGTTGTCAGTGGAAACACTGCAGTCAGAGTGAAACATGTTATGTCACCAGGAGAGAACATGACCCAGTCAGCACGGTGACGGCTGGGGGCAAAGGACCTTCACATATGGATACTGACTCAACAACCTGACCTGGATATTTATCCAATACCATCCTCCCTCGCTACTGCTATACAGCCAGCTCAGCCACTGACAGGCCTGCACTTCCTTTTCATGCACACACAAATATACAGTACCAGTCAAAAGTTTGGACACACCTACTCATTCAAGGGTTTTTCTTCATTTTTACTATTTTCTACATTGTAGAATAATAGTGAAGACATCAAAACTATGAAATAACACCTATGGAATCATGTAGTAACCAAAAAAGTGTTACACAAATCAAATATACAGTGGGGGAAAAAAGTATTTAGTCAGCCACCAATTGTGCATGTTCTCCCACTTAAAAAGATGAGAGAGGCCTGTAATTTTCATCATAGGTACACGTCAAATATGACAGACAAAATGAGGAAAAAAATTCCAGAAAATCACATTGTAGGATTTTTTATGAATTTATTTGCAAATTATGGTGGAAAATAAGTATTTGGTCAATAACAAAAGTTTCTCAATACTTTGTTATATACCCTTTGTTGGCAGTGACACAGGTCAAACGTTTTCTGTAAGTCTTCACAAGGTTTTCACACACTGTTGCTGGTATTTTGGCCCATTCCTTCATGCAGATCTCCTCTAGAGCAGTGATGTTTTGGGGCTGTCGCTGGGCAACACGGACTTTCAACTCCCTCCAAAGATTTTCAATGGGGTTGAGATCTGGGGACTGGCTAGGCCACTCCAGGACCTTGAAATGCTTCTTACGAAGCCACTCCTTCGTTGCCCGGGCGGTGTGTTTCGGATCATTGTCATGCTGAAAGACCCAGCCACGTTTCATCTTCAATGCCCTTGCTGATGGAAGGAGGTTTTCACTCAAAATCTCACGATACATGGCCCCATTCATTCTTTCCTTTACACGGATCAGTCGTCCTGGTCCCTTTGCAGAAAAACAGCCCCAAAGCATGATGTTTCCACCACCATGCTTCACAGTAGGTATGGTGTTCTTTGGATGCAACTCAGCATTCTTTGTCCTCCAAACACGACGAGTTGAGTTTTTACAAAAAAGTTCTATTTTGGTTTCATCTGACCATATGACATTCTCCCAATCCTTTTCTGGATCATCCAAATGCACTCTAGCAAACTTCAGACGGGCCTGGACATAAGCAGGGGGACACGTCTGGCACTGCATGATTTGAGTCCCTGGCGGCGTAGTGTGTTACTGATGGTAGGCTTTGTTACTTTGGTCCCAGCTCTCTGCAGGTCATTCAGTAGGACCCCCGTGTGGTTCTGGGATTTTTGCTCACCGTTCTTGTGATCATTTTGACCCCACGGGGTGAGATCTTGCGTGGAGCCCCAGATCGAGGGAGATTATCAGTGTTCTTGTATGTCTTCCATTTCCTAATAATTGCTCACACAGTTGATTTCTTCAAACCAAGCTGCTTACCTATTGCAGATTCAGTCTTCCCAGCCTGGTGCAGGTCTACAATTTTGTTTCTGGTGTCCTTTGACAGCTCTTTGGTCTTGGCCATAGTGGAGTTTGGAGTGTGACTGTTTGAGGTTGTGGACAGGTGTCTTTTATACTGATAACAAGTTCAAACAGGTGCCATTAATACAGGTAACGAGTGGAGGACAGAGGAGCCTCTTAAAGAAGAAGTTACAGGTCTGTGAGAGCCAGAAATCTTGCTTGTTTGTAGGTGACCAAATACTTATTTTCCACCATAATTTGCAAATAAATTCATTAAAAATCGTACAATGTGATTTTCTGGAATTTTTTTTCTCAATTTGTCTGTCATAGTTGACGTGTACCTATGATGAAAATTACAGGCCTCTCTCATCTTTTTAAGTGGGAGAACTTGCACAATTGGTGGCTGACTAAATACTTTTTTTCCCCACTGTATGTCATATTTTATTTGAGATTCTTCAAATAGGCACCCTTTGCCTTGATGACAGCTTTTCACACTCTTGGCATTCTCTCAACCAGCTTCACCTGGAATGCTTTTCCAACAGTCTTGAAGGAGTTCCCACATATGCTGAGCACTTGTTGGCTGCTTTTCCTTCACGCTGCCGTCCGACTCATCCCAAACCATCTCAATTGGGATGAGGTTGGGGGATTGTGGAGGCCAGGTCATCTGATGCAGCACTCCATCACTCTCCTTCTTGGTCAAATAGCCCTTACACAGCCTGGAGGTGTGTTGGGTCATTGTCCTGTTAAAAAACGAATGATAGTCCCACTAAGCCCAAACCAGATGGGATCGCTGCAGAATGTTGTGGTAGCCATGCTGGTTAAGTGTGCCTTGAATTCTAAATAAATCACAGACAGTGTCACCAGCAAAGCACCCCCACACCATAACACCTCCTCCTCCATGCTTTACGGTGGGAACTACACATGCGGAGATCATCCGTTCACCCACACCGCGTCTCACAAAGACACGGCGGTTGGAACCAAAAATCTCCAATTTGGACTCCAGACCAAAGGACACATTTCCACCGGTCTAATGTCCATTGCTTGTGTTTCTTGGCCCAAGCAAGTCTCTTCTTATTATTGGTATCCTTTAGTAGTGGTTATTTTGCAGCAATTCGACCATGAAGGCCTGATTCACAGTCTCCTCTGAACAGTTGATGTTGAGATGTGTCCGTTACTTGAACTCTGTGAAGCATCTAATTAACTTATCCTCTGCAGTAGAGGTAACTCTGGGTCTCCCATTCCTGTGGCGGTTTCATCATAGTGCTTGATGGTTTTTGCGACTGCACTTGAAGAAACTTTCAAAGTTCTTGACATTTTCCGTATTGACTGACCTTAAAGTAATGATGGACTGTTGTTTCTCTTTGCATATTTAAGCTGTTCTTTCCATAATATGGACTTGGTCTTTTACCAAATAGGGCTATCTTCTGTATACCCCCCACCTTGTCAAAACACAACTGATTGGCTCAAACTCATTAAGAAGGAAAGAAATTCCACAAATTAACTTTTAAGAAGGCACACCTGTTAATTTAAATGCATTCCAGGTGACTACCTCATGAAGCTGGTTGAGAGAATGCCAAGAGTGTGCAAAACTGTCATCAAGGCAAAGGGTGGCTATTTGAAGAATCACTCTCCAAGAAGGAAGAGTGATGGAGTGCTGCATCAGATGACCTGGGGCCTCATGTATCAATCTTGCGTACGCACGAAAACACGGCGTACGCCAGCTTTCACGTTCACGGTCAGATGTACTAACAGTGAAATTAACGTAAGAATGTGCGTTCTTCCACGTAAACTTCAGGCCTGGCGTATGTACATTTTTGTGATGTTTGTCCGTTGGCGACTCATAGAGGCAATAAAGTGAAGTGGCAAACATTACACTACGAACTGTTCTATCGCACCTGCCAGATATTGCTTATAATTTGTAATTGATAAATGATTTGCCATATTATTGTCACACGAGTCTTATTAGAATATTCTATTAATTATGCAATTAAGTAAGAACATATATAAAGGATGTGAAAATTGATACAACCCGTCTAGCAATGGCAGCTTTGGCTTTATTAGAAGACATTTTTTTAATTATTATTACTGCCCATCAGGAGACAGTGGTTATCCACTAAAGACGTGGCTGTTAACCCCCTTCACCAACCCACAAACTGACCGAGAGCGCAGATACAATGATGCCCATTCCCGCACTCGGTCAGTTGTGGAGCGGGCGATTGGGCAGCTGAAATGTCGGTGGCGCTGCCTTGACAGGACCGGGGGGATGCTGTTATACCGCCCTGACAAGGTTTGCCGCATCATACTGGCCTGTGGAGTGCTGCACAATGTCGCGCACAGGCATGGCATACCCCTTGGTGAGGTGGGGGCACCGCCAGATGACCCTGACCCAGGACCAGTATATGTGCAGCACAATCAACAAGCCATTCAGGCCCGTCAACGTGTAATTGCGACAATATAAATGGTACTCAGACACAAAGTTCATTTTTTGACCAATTCTTTTAATGAATGGCTTATTTCTGTGAGTGCGTCAGTGACATTTTTAAGGTGACTGTTCATTTCTTCAATGGCCCTAACAATTTGTTGTTGTGACTCCAGAACAGCATGCGTCAAGACACGGCCAGATGGATGGGCTTCAGCACTGGGGGGAACATTAGAGACACGGGAGACGCTGGACTGAATGGGCTCTGGCTGCTCAGGTGGTGCGGACTCTGAGTGCGTGCCAGTGGACGTTCCTGCGGTTCCTAAGTCCAATTAAACACAGGCACATCTTAACAGTAATTTGAGTCTGTTCCTTATTAATGGGTACACGCATTTGCAATAAAAGCAGTGGATACGTGAAATCTCTGGTGTACCTTTTGCTATATTGCATGCATTTTAAAATTAAACGGTGGCTGGCTATGTATATCAAAGTTAAGGAAATAAATCTGAGTCACCTTGCTGGCAGTCCTGTAGTATATCCGAGTCTCCTACATCAGCGGATACGATTCCAGAGATTAACGTGTCTCCTACAATAGAGGCAACTCTCTGATCAAAGGGTGCAAGTTCATCGGTCCCTGTACCACCGCCTGTTCTGCCCACACTTTGTCGGTGCGCAGCAGTTCTCCGCTTAACTTCCACCTTTATGTCTGACCATTTCTTCTTCAGTTCATTTACGGTGCGACTCTCAGATCCCACCGCGTTGACGGCATCAGACAAACTCGCCCACTCTTTTTTCTTTCTTTTGTTATTAATTCCAGAGGACAGATTTCCAAATAAAATATTTTTTCTTGTTTCTACCTCTGATAGTAGCACCTCTAATTCGTTTTCAGTGAAATTTCGTTTCTTGCTTGCTTTAGCCATGTTCTTGCAGGTTTCTTTTGCCAAATTGGACTAATTACCATATTTAAATTGATTTAATTGAGGGAGGAGACAGGGTGTGGTGTGGTGCTCGTGCATGTGCGCTCAATTTCGCGTTGATTGGGATGTACAAAGAGAATGTATGTGGAATGCTGCGTACGCAGAGATTCATACATCAGATTTTTTTGGTGCGTACGCACATTTATGGCTTTGTCCGTACGCAATGTTTTAGTGTGAATTCAACGCAAGTCTTTGTACATGAGGCCCCTGGCCTCCACAATCCCCCGACCTCAACCCAATTGAGATGGTTTGGGATGAGTCGGACGGCATAGTGAAGGAAAAGCAGCCAACAAGTGCTCAGCATATGTGGGAACTACTTCAAGACTGTTGGATAAGCATTCCAGGTCAAGCTGGTTGAGAGAATGCCAAGAGTGCGCAAAGCTGTCATCAAGGCAAAGGGTGGCTATTTGAAGAATCTCAAATATAACATATATTTTGATTTGTTTAACACTTTTTTGGTTACTACATGATTCCATCTGTGTTATTTCATAGTTTTGATGTCTTCACTATTATTCTACAATGTAAAAAATAGTACAAATAAAGAAAAACCCTTGAATGAGTAGGTGTGTCCAAACTTTTGACTGGTAGTGTAAGTCAATGTTTTATTAGCCTTAGGATGAATGAGTCAGGCCATCGTTTACCTTTGAGAAAAGAGAGGCTACACACAGATCATTTAATATGAGTGACCCATCTCTCTATCGATACTGCATTGTGGATTTGTCACTGTTGCCAGGGCAACCTCTAACTGAGGCTTTTGTTGATTACTCATACACCACATTATCACCCTACTGCTGCCTTGTTAATTCCAGGAGCCGTGGTGTGGTGCCATCCCCCCTCTGTTCTACTGCCTGACTAGCTTGCTGTGAAGTGGCCCGGCTGTGCTCTATGTTCAGCTCAACCTCGGCCTGGTGTGTGTGTCCCCCTTCCCCTCCCTGTCCAGTGACATAGCTGTTCAGCTCAGCCCCTTCGGCACTCGACCCTGGCTGGGCAAACACAACCTGACAGGCCTCAGAACCCTCTCCACATGGCTGTTGCCAGGCTGCTAGGACCCAATGGGAGGCTGTCAGCAGTCACATGGCTGCGGCTGATTGGTCAGATCAGAGGTGGGGAGGACTGTGAGAGGTGAAAGACGGTGACAGATAGACAGACAGGGACTCTACGTATGTCTGTGGCTCCAAGGCTCAGGCCTCATCTGCTGAGTTACCAGGTTATGATGGGTACAAACCAATGCTGGCTTGCTTGGTTAAAACATAATATCGAATACATGTCTACATGAGACATTTGTGATTTTGCTGATGTGAAGAGACCCATCCACTGTGAAGAAGCCTAACTGTTAGGCCCTAACATACCAACACCAGCAGGGAGAAGACAGATAGGTGGGATTAAACATTGTCAACCAGAGGGTCCAGATATCGATGCTTTGGCAAACCATCACAAGTAAATTGCAATTATCTGTGAAAGACAAACAGTATCCTTGCGAATGGGGTTATAGTAATGGGGACCAGAGCATTCATCCCTGGCAGTGACTGTTGATGGTGTTTTGCTGTTGGAGAGTTCACAATAGTGGGGGTACGCTGTACCGGTTGAATATTAACCTATCATAATAATCCAAAACAAAAACCTTAGGCTATTACACTATTATTTATAATTTCCTCATGTCACCCGCATGAAAAATGTACGAATGGACTTGAAAACGTGTGGAATATGTTCCAAAATGTGGTATGGTTCGACATTAGGCAGAGATGAGTGGCCGAGACGCACGCGGACAGTGGATGCATCAATTCAGGTTACAAGTGTAGGCCTAATGAATGAAAATCAGCAAATGTTTTGGTGTTTTGTTACAGATGTCTTTTTCCATTCCTCAAATGGCGTGTGCACAGTGCACTGAAGCCTATGGATGCAGGGATTATTTTAGAGCGGACGAACGTGCGCAGGTAGCCAGGTTTACAAGAGCATTTTGTAGTGGTGGACAATCAGATTAAAACATCATGTTAATGTAATACATTTTGAAAGTTAAACGACAAATCTTCACTATTAGGCCCACAGAGATTGTATTAGACTAAGTGATTCTACATTGGGTGTACAAAACATTAGGAAAACCTGCTCTTTCCATGACAGACTGACCAGGTGAATCCAGGTGAAAGCTATGATCCCTGTTAAATCCACTTCAAATCAGTGTAGATGAAGAGGAGGAGACAGGTTAAAGAAGGATTTTTAAGTCTTGAGACAATTGAGACATGGATTGTGTATGTGTGCCATTCAGAGGGTGAATGGGCAAGACAAAATATTGTCTTTGAACAGGGTACGGTAGTAGATGCCAAGCGCTCCGGTTTGAGTGTGTAAAAAACTGCAACGCTTCTGGGTTTTTCACGCTCAACAGTTTCCCGTTTGTATCAAGAAAAGACATCCAGCCAACCTGAGTCAACATGGGCCAGCATCCCTGTGGAATGATTTGAACACCTTGTAGAGTCCATACCCCGACGAATTGAGGCCAAAAGGGTGTGCAACTCAATATTAAGGTGTTCCTAATGTTTTGTACACTCAGTGTATATGTAATTCTGTTTAGGCCCCCCCAGAATTCTGGGTCAATCCCTTCTGTGGTTACTCCCTCTTGCCCAGGCAGAGCACACCAAGACATGTTGACAGGTACACCAGCCTAGCAACCAGACTGGCAAGAGTACTAATATGTGACCTAAGAAGGGCACTACTGAGGCAGGGGATAGTGGCTACTCACCAGTGTGACAGGTGCCAGTGGAGGTGGTGTTGGAGCAGGGGCAGGGGACACAGGCATCGGTAGTGGCAGCACCAGAGCTGCAGTAGAATCTGGGCTTGCATTCCGCACTGTTGGGTCCTTGAGTGTTGCCCTGGCAGTTCAGACAGATGCCTGTGGAAAAGGAGGGGAAGTTATGGTTAAAAGTTAATGACCATTTCCTATGCTAACATATTTTGAAAACAGGGGTCTGTTTCTTCAATGTAGGGACTATGATATATGCTATTTATTGACCACACCTGAACATTGGTGCTTTTGTTTGTATAGTATAGAAACCGTTAATCCAGCAAATACTACTATCCTGCCGATTTGAATTTGAGCCCCAGACTGTTTAGTTGCCTGTTACATAGTAATGGAGTTGAGGGGTTTTTGTGGAATAGGAACCAATACTTCTCTATGGGATATGAAATTATTCTGTATATTGGGGCATTGCAGATGTTCTCTAAATGAAGGAATACAGTAAACACTTGTTTTCTCTGTCCTTCTCGATAGAGGACACCTCTATCACTCTTATCTAAAAACAATGACCCTATAGAGGTAGGAACAAATCAGCTTGATTTTCCAGTATTCAGATTGAAATGGAACAGGTCACTCTCATGTTAATCTGGAAGAGACAGTCTAGTGTGTTTTGCATACCCTCATGTTTCTTATGTAACGCTCCCTGGCTGACAGAGGGTCATTGTCGATGATGTCAGACCTGAGCAAGGAAGTACAACCACATTATTTATCATTCTTCTGCATCACAATGGCAGACAGATGGGTTCTACAATCCCATCCACCTTGACCCCTCCAAACCTCTCAATAAGTGTCCACTCATACAACAATACCCAGGATGGGGGAACGGACACACACACAAACAAACAGGATTATTGTGTAGCAGGGAGAAGAAAATGTGATTGTTATGGTTGTGGTTTGTAGATAGAAGGTGTGGTGTAGTGGATGACTCACCAGATTGCGGGTGGCAGTAGTTACTAAGGCTGTTGCACTGGCAGGGTTGGCACCCAGTGCTGCTGAAACGGAAGAAGCCTGGGTGGCACTCGTCACACTTGGGCCCGTACACTCCCGTCTTACACACACACATCCCTGAGCTGAAAGAACAGGAGAGCACAGTCAACATACGATCACATCACATATTTGATTATCCAGCCTTTAGGTTTTGTAACAGCCTAGCTGTAATGCTGGGTTTGAGAGCTCTCTACAGTCTGACAGTGAAACTGCACTATTTGGTTAGGATTGCATTAGCCATGACATTCTGTGCCCAGATTATTCTAATGGTTTCACACATGACATCCTGCAGGTTCCCCCTGAGTGGTTTCTCCCATCAATCCATCTGCTACCCATAACTCCCATAACACTCCCTGCCCTTTATGTTTTGATTGAATGAAGAGATTGTTGTGGTTGTAATGTTGAAATTTGTAACTTGTAGTTTTGTTTAAAAAAATAAAAACCAGATCCTTCCCTCCGTCGTGAACAGAGCACAGCTACTCCAGACGGGTTCAATGGCATGGGTTAGCCTCCCATCCTCCACAGTTCAAAGCTGTCTATTTAATTCCACTAACATGGTTGGCATGTTCTGGGGGCAGGGAAGCATGGTAGAGTCTGGACCACAGATTGGAGCACTCTAGGAACATCTGGTCCAAGGCTGGAGACTGAGAGGCTGCCTGGATCCCACAGCCTACAGGCCAGGCATGATAACTCAGCCTCACAGGGCCTCTTTCTGACAGGTTTTCCCCTCATATACTCTATTAGACAGTGACCTTGAGGAGTGCATAGGTCAGGGTACCTGTGGGACCCTCTTCAAGCATTCAGCACGTCTCAAGCGCTCTCAGCAAGACACAAAAGGACAAACCCCCTCCTACACAGCCCTATCTCCTGCTGGGTAGAAAGAGAAGCTATGCCCAAAGAGAAGGGATTATGAAAGGGTTATGTCTCAAGCAATAACTAATTCACACCCAGTGGTCTCTGGTCATCATGGACTGACATGCAGCTCATAACTAACCCTGAATGGTACAGTGAGGCTCTGCAGGGTTGGGCTATGATCTAAAAACAATAGGCAAGTAATTCATTACAGATAATTCACTATGGTTTTGATTACAGTACAATCATTACAGAGAATTCACTGTAGTTTTGATTACAGTACAATGCCTTTTGGAAGGAGATGAAAGTAATCAATGATTCCAAATTAAAGAGAAGAATAAATACAGTTTGTCATCTGTTTATTGTCTATGTAAATTTGAGGTAATAAAATTGCGGGCTAAAACCAAACAATGTGTTAGTGTGCTGATGATGATGATGATGCGTATGATTGCTGACAGCTGGAACTACAGGGTGCTTTCTATTTGATTATCCAGTCTTGCTCTAGCCCACTTAAATCCAATTAAACTTCAGCTCTTTAGCACACTGTCGAGCTTTGAACACTTATTTCATTCGCTAATGCGTTCTGTCCTAATGCCTACACACACCACTGCATTTCACCTGCACATTCCACATACTGCTGCGTGGCCAGCCTGCAAAACATACAAGCTGAAGCTTATATTGAATTGTACAGCACATGAGACACTGGGGGGAAAAGGAATGGGGTTGTTCGTTCACAGAAAATATGTCAGGCTGCACATCTATAGGCTACACACACACGCTCTCTGATTCCAATCGTCCTGTGTGCTGATCCCCGAGTCTCAAAGGAAAAACACACAGAGAAGAGTCATGCCTGATCACTCCCTTTCACCCAAAACAATCAACAGAATAGATCTGTGGACTACAACGAGCAAATAACAATCAAGCCCAAGAAATGACAGAGCAGTTGCCTCAATGCCTTCCCATGAGTGCGTGGGCCTTGTTCAAATGAGGCAGTATTAAAACACTGCTATTGATGCAAATGTTATGTTGATGGTAATGCTTAGTGGGCCGTGTGTAGCCTGATGGGAAGAACAAGGCTAGGAGTTAAGCAGCTCGAAATAAACACAGACAGAGACACACATTCAAACAACCATGAACCCCCCCCCCCCAAAAAAAAGACAAAAACACACATGCACCATCATATGACTCCATGGGATTGGAGGCGGAGAGGAGAGTGAGCCATAGGAATGTGACACAGTAGAGAAGTAATTGCTATTTTCTGTTGCTATGGTTGCAAAATTCCTGTAACTTTCTCAGGTTCTTCAGAAATCACATTTGAAAGACTCCCAGAATCAGGAGGGAATAAGCAGGAAATCTGGAATTCTCCAACCAGGATTTCTGGAAAACCTGCGAATTTTGGGAAAGTTACCAGAATTTTGTATCCCTAAATGCTGCATAATCAACAGCACTGCTTATATAGTACGAATATTCCTGACACCTTGCTTATTTGGTAAAAAGCACACAAGAAATTTGGAGGCAGGTTCCCAGTATCACTGTCAGTGATTCAGTCTCTCTGATGTAAGAAGCTTTTCTTTTCTCGCCAAAGAGAGCAGATGGTGAGAAAATCTCATAATTTAATATGTTTTTGGCGAGACGTAAACAGTGTTGTACGACAGCACTGATCTCATCCTTGGTGGCCCAATTCCCCGACTGGTATCAAACCAACCACCCCAAACCAACCAGTGATGACACCCTAGAAGCCACCATCTGTGATGGTATCTGCTGAGCCACAATGAAACGTTTAAATGTAATCTAATATGTTTGATGGAAGATGACCTGACAAATACTTGATATTGTAGCTGGGAAAAGCATTCTGGGAGTAGTTATTGTGACTAGAGGAAATAACAACCCTAGGATCCATTCAAACAGACATTCCCAGACCAGGGCACAACAGAGATGAGCAAGGTTGGTAAGGCTGGGTTCTCTATGGAAATGTATCCTAAAACCAGGATATGGTTGAAATGCTAGTCATTCACTCACAACTACCACCCACCTAGTGTCACCAGGGGGAGGAGGGGGTTGTTTTGGTGTGTTTTCATTGGGCTTCAGACTGTGTAGCCCAGCCACTCTGCTCCGTGTTATAGACGCATATTAACTAGGTCAGTATTACATGGCAACCAGGCTTAGCTTAACCCTGTTCTGCTGCTGCCATGGCGATGCCGGCCATACATTGCTTGCGCATGACTGGGGAATCACAATAGACTGAGCACATATCTGTGCTGCAGAGCTGACTGCATCCTCTTTAACCACTGGGAAACAGCAGTCAGAAATGCAACCTAAGTGTTCTCATATACACCATGCGGGAGGAGAATGGTCGCCAGTCAGGAAAGACATGCACTGTTCTACACTAAGCATGTTTTAGAGTCAGGGCTCACACTGTCAGATCTTCAGAGAGAGAATGTTTAACAACAACAAGGGCCAAGAGTGGTGATCCATTCCAGAGCGCTCCTGGCTCAGGATCACACATTGGGCCAGTTATGTAACTCAGCTCAGAGTAAAGCCTGGCACAATGTGCTAGCAGTCATGGCCACTGCACTGCACTCCAGCCATTAAAGCAACAAAGCCTCCCCACTGGGTCCTTGCCACTAATACAGCATGGGATGCTGCCTCCTGCTAATGTGAGTGTTGGGTTGGTCGCCTGCGGTGGCCTGTCACTCGGCCTCTTCCTACACAGCACTCTACCCTTCGTTCTTCCTCCCCGTCAGAGAAGGCACACAGCTGTGCCGGTGTAGCATATACCAGGAGAGTCCTGTCAGGTTTGGATACCATGCATCTACCTACTACCTGCACTTCGGAGCAAACTGCATGCACCACTAGATCAAGAGGCTAGTATGTCGCTCTGGAGAAAACAGTAACGGTTAATATCAGGTGTGACAAAAGGATATCAATGCATGAACTGATACATCATTTTGGCTCCCCCGACAGTGCTCTGTTAAACTGGTTCATGATGACATGACCCCATCAAAGGGAAGGGAGGATATTGAGAGGGATCTCCCCGGGTTTCCATTGATTGCCCCGGTAATTCTAACTTGTTCAATCAAACCCACATGAAAAGGGAGAGGTTTGCGCCGGAATCGTTGAAAAGAGAGTGCTTTTTCAACTAAATATCCCAAAATAAAGACATTAAAGCACCCGAAACACATTTACACCAAGTCGTGTTTTCATATTCATACAAAATGGCTCGCAATCTCTCAATTCCTTCCTGACAAGAAATATGCAAACATAAAACAGTGTTATTGAAATTTGTTTAGGCTACTGTATTAGAGAGAGAGACTAAAGAAATAGGAAACATCTGCACCCAAATCAATATTTCATTACAGACTGTGTTCCCATTCCATAGAGGACGAGGGTGAAAAATAAATGTGCAACTTTCAAAACAGTGCCCCTAAGGATTGGCCCAAATAAACTATTGATATAACATTTATGGCGAAAGGAAGTAATTTGAGCTAGAACATAATTGTTTTTGGTAGTATATTGACATAACTGTGGAGCTAAATAATGGTAGTGGATTACAGAGCAGTACCACATCATATCAGAATACAATCATTAATTTAGTTGCTAAGATACAGTAACATGAAGCCTCCTACTATGTCATCTGGGGCTCAATGCTACTGTCTCTTAGCAACAGCTTGTTTTTCCCACAGGCTTGAGATTAGTCCCATTTCTATCAAACTGTTCCTGTACAGTTTATCTGTTTGTCAAGCCCCCAGCCTACACAGAGAGACAGAAAGTGCAGTCGGCACTGATTCCAATGCTGCACTCATTATTATTTTGTATTGAGACCCTAGATTAATCAGACTACAGGAGAGAGTCAGGAGTACAAACTGGTACAAAACCCATCCTGTTAGGCTGAGGATTACCATCAAATCACCTTCACATGTTAAGGTTGTTAACACAGATCATGATTTAAAAAAGGGCTCAAGACGAGACTGGCCAGGTTCACCTCCTCCAGTCTGCGGTCTGTAAATGCACACATTCTGTATGAGCATATTGTCATGAACTATCAGCCTAATGGGCAGAGGTCAAGTAATTATCACTAATCATCACGCCTGAAAACAAATGATCAACGGAAGGCGGAAGGCTCTGAGACGAGCCTACAGCTCAGTAACTTTTGTTTTGACTGATGGATCTATTTCCATGTTTGTTGTTGGACCCCTGTGGATCTAGTTTGGTAAAGAGCACAGCGGGACACAGTAAGACATAGCTTCTTACAGATGAGTGAATTAAAAAGTAGCAACTTCCTACCAACATGGTCTAGTAGGCTGGGAGCCTAGAATATTCTTATTGCTACCAAGAGGAGCACATCCTTCCTATGCAAGATAACAGCAACAACAACTGAAACCAAAACAGTACATCTCATATCGTGCTTCAACCACATCGAATAGCTCATCCTCAACAACTTTCATTTGATTTACAGTTTGTCTGAAGAGAACTGTGGCTCTACTTTAAGATTATGGCACTATACAGATCAGAAATATGCTCATGCTTAACCTAGATCCGGTCAGTTCATGTCCTTGAGGAAATGTGAAGAACAAAGAGCTCAAGTTGAAATCCCAGGCAGGCAGCTCTGATCTAGACGTCTGCAAGCCAATGACATCCTGGTCCTCTCTCAGGTTCCAGGCTGGATCAGATCAGAATTATGCTGTGATCTGGAACCAGTAGGTAATTAGTTTAATCCAAGCCCTCTGTTCCTGGCCATGCAATTAAATAGACCTAAGCGAGAACACACAGACACCCTTACAGAGTTCCAAAAGCAAATGTGATAGAATGCCAATTTGCCAAAGTAAAAGATGAATATGACTATGACTGTAATACGAAAGGCTGGATGGTCCATCAGTATATGAGAGGCATCCTCTAAAGCATGAGGGAGACTGGGGGGGTCTGGGAGCCAGCTAATCTGTGTAAATCACAGTGCTTACCCGCTGGGAGAGAGCTGGCCTCGCCTGGGTTAGACCAACGCTACGCTAGCTGGGTTTGCACTGTGTAGGCTCAGACTGTCTGAGCAGGATCATTTTATGTGTGCTAGTGTTACTGCGTGAGGGCAGGGCTAGCCCCATACGCTCCTGCCCTCAGAATAACCCCCTGGCCTAGCTGCCCCTTCACCCGCTTCTCACTTGATCTATACTCTACTCATTCCGTTTTTGTGGTAAATGAGGGAATGAGGCAATAAGCAGTTTTCTCCCTGAATTTGAATCCTACAGCTTGAGCCCCATGTATATTCCTACATGAATGTATAAAATGTTTGTCATAAACTTAATTTGGCACAATACAACATAAGCTCTAGGTTATCTACCTGCTGTATGTTGACGGTTGATTCACTGCCACTGGGCATTAGAAACATCACAAGGATGTTCACTCAGCTTTCTGACCAGACACATTCCTTCCAAAGGTTTAGAAGCCAAAATACAACAGCTATTTTTAGCGTGTTCCTAAGCCAAACAAGCTGCCTCTCTCCAAGTCACACTCTTTCTGACAAACTGTAAGGCTGCATCTGGGACAGTGTGTTGTTTAGCTCAGGATATGAGTACCAATCTGTGGTCCTCTGTAGCTCAATTGGTAGAGCATGGCGCTTGTAACGCCAGGGTAGTGGGTTCGATCCCCGGGACCACCCATACGTAAAAATGTATGCACACATGACTGTAAGTCGCTTTGGATAAAATGATCTGCTAAATGGCATATTATTATTATATTATTATAACCAACCGAGGTCTGGCAAACCAACTGTCTCTCTCTACAAAGGCCAGGGGGATGGTGGCCTGGTCGGCCAGGCTGCTGAACAAGACCAGGAGGATAATGACTACCACAAGATGGCTCCAGTATATCATAAACACTAGAGATTTGGAGCCGCTCTAACTCTACATCATCCTGTGTGACAAGTTCATGTATATTTCAGAGCAGTGTCTTTATGCACAGTGTCTGCTAAATCAGTTATTCAAACAGATTTGATACATTGTGATTTCTAAACTACATCTCAAAGATGCAGTAGATATGAACTAAAAAATGACAATTTATTCTGGTTTGGTTGGTAGTACGCTATACTGGATGTATAGTGTTTAATTCCCAGTGCCATTAGTGCATTAGAGCTCTTACCTGTCACATAGGTGGTTGACAGCGCCGTAGGAGTCACAACCGCAGGGTATGCAGCCAGTGGTGCCATTGGTGAAGTGTCCTTCCTCACAGTCCTCACACAGCAGCCCAGTGTACCCTGACATGCAGACACATTGACCTGTCTTCTTGTCACAGACATCCACGTCTAGAACACCCTCACTGCTGCAGTTACACAAAGACTCTGCAGGAACAGAGAGGAAGAGATTGTTATGAAACGGCACCACTAGGATATTCTGTATACACACACATATACTATGAGAAGTGCCAGATCTGGATGACCGTGTAGACTCTGCTGAGTGGCCATGTATTATTTATTTGAGCTCAAGTACGATGAGCATGGAGTCTGAGTGTTCCTTCCACCTCTCTCCAGACTGTTTACAAGAGAGAGATGGAGGAAGAGGAGGGGTGTCACACCCTGGCGCTGGGACTCTATATGTTGAGCCAGGGTGTGTTCGTTCTATGTGGTGTATTTCTATGTTGGGAGTTCTAGTTTGTTTATTTCTATGTTGGCCTGAGTGACTCCCAATCAGAGGCAACGAGTGTCAGCTGTGGCTGGTTGTCTCTGATTGGGAGCCATATTTTAACTGTCTGTTTTTCCCTTTGTGTTTGTGGGTTCTTGTTCCAGTTGGTTTTGTGTTTGTACCGTGGACTTCACGAGTCGTTTGTTGTTTTTGTTTACTGTCCGTGTTTATCGCTAATGATAAATAAACATGTTCGTTCATCACGCTGCGCCTTGGTCTACTTCCTACGACGATCGTGACAAGGGGGACGCAGAGGATGAGGAGATAGGATAGAGACCGACTGCTGCTGCATGAGACTACTGCGGTTTTTCCAGGAGACAAATGGGAAAACAGTCAAAACTGCCTCATGACACGCAGAGGAAATACCAAGCTGCCATTGGTGTGCATTGAGCATGTGGGCTGTTCTTCCACGAGACAGGTTGCTGCTACTAACACAGCCTAATTTACAAGAATGATGTGGGAGGCTGGGGGAGGCAGGGCTGCTGCATTCTGTCATACTGTAAACCATTATACAATACTGTACATTGAAAGCTGAGAACAAAAAATAGGTTTGGGGAATAATGTTAATTGCTGAATTTGTGTCATATTATGCACATGACTAGAGCAAATGAAGAGTTGGAAATCCAGTGTGTTGACAAAGTTGCTTGTCCTTTCAGGTCCATGTAGAGGTTGAAATTGAAACAAATGGGTGTTGAAGTACAACAGTGTGTCCTATGATCCAATATGGTATTGTGCTACGTTTGCTATTAGCACAGTACTGTATTTTCTGTACAGTGAGATAGGAAGGGTTTGACCTTAACAGTACATTTTGTCCAACGTTACTGCTCTAAACGTTCAGAACACGTTGTTGTGCCGTCTTCTCAGACGTCGGCATGGCCATTAGAGGGGATTTCATGTCATTTTCTGCAACAGTAGCGTCCTCCTCAGATTAGCGCTCTCCATCTCTGGCCACTGTTCCAGCTTTATGTAACAGTGAAAGGGCATGGTTATGCAAGCCTGGAGAGCACTGTCAGCTTTCCATTTATTCACTGAAGCCATCTTCCCTGCACAACTGTCAGCCAAGATCACCCCCCAGACTGTGTGAGATCCTGGGCCGTGTAGCTGCCAATCTCACTCGCACGCTCGCTCGGGCATACGCACAGGGTTTCACTCTGTGTTGTATTAGATTTGACCCAAACCTGTAGTTTTTAATTTAGGCCAAAAAGTGTCTTTGCCATATTGTCTTACAATATTAAGGCTACTACAAGCTTCACTCCGCTGATCTACGTGCGTGCGTGCACGTGGGTGGAGTGGGATTTTGGGTGTAGCAGACACCTTTTGGTAATATGATATCCTCGCGGGTCCCACTCCCATTCACAAGGGGGTGATAGCAAAGTGTTTTCATTTTTTATTTAGTGAAGGCAAGGAAGTGTCACCTTCCATTGCTAGGTAGTAGCACAGATTGAACAATGAGCCAGATGTTTCAGCAGCTGTATAAACCTGAAGCAACCGGTTGGCATTTCCATTTACCACCAAATATGGTGATGAGAGGAAGCCCAGTGTCCGGCAGTGGGAGAAGGATGGATTTTGGCCAACATTTTTTCGTGGTTGAAACATTTGATCTCAATACTAATTTTTTTAGAAATTAAAAGCTGAATTGTCTTGAGCCAATAAGTATTAATGCCCTTTGTTATGGTATGCCTAAATAAGTTCAGGAGTAAAAATGTGCTTAACAAGTCACATAATAAGTTGCATGGACTCACTCTGTATGCAATAGTGTTTTAAATTATTTTTGAATGACTACCTCATCTCTGTACCCCACACATACAATTATCTGTAAGGTCCCTCAGTCGAGCAGTGAATTTCAAACACAGATTCAACCACAAAGACCAGCGAGGTTTTCCAATACCTCGCAAAGAAGGGCAGCTATTGAAAAAATTATAATTTGAATATCCCTTTGAGCATGATTACTTTATTAATTACACTTTGGATGGTGTATCAATACACCCAGTCACTACAAAGATACAGGCGTCCTTCGTAACTCAGTTGCCGGAGAGGAAGGAAACCGCTCAGGGATTTCACCATGAGGCCAATGGTGACTTCAAAACAGTTACAGAGTTTAATGGCTGAGAATGGATCAACAACATTGTAGTTACTCCACAATACTAACCTAATTGACAGAGTGAAATGAAGGAAGCCTGTACAAAATAACAAGGCACTAATGTAATACTGCAAAAAATGTGGCAATGCAGTTTACTTTTTGTCCAGAATACCAAGTGTTATGTTTGGGGAAAATCCAATACAACACATTACTGAGTACCACTCTCCATATTTTCAAGCATAGTGGTGGCTGCATCATGTTATGTGTACGCTTGTAATCGTTAAGGACTGGGGAGTTTTTCAGGATTAAAAAGTAACGGAATGGAGCTAAGCACAGGCAAAATCCTAGAGAAAAACCTGGTTCAGTCTGCTGTGGTGGAGATGAATTCACCTTTCAGCAGGACAATAACCTAAAACACAAGGCCAAATAGACACTACAGTTAAGTGGCGGCTGGTGGGAGGAGCTATAGGAGGACAGGCTCATTGTAATGGCTGGAATGGAATTAATGGAACAGAGTCAAACATGTGGTTTCCATGTGTTTGATACCGTTCTATTTATTCCATTCCAGCCATTACTATAAGCCCGTCCTCCTATAGCTCCTCCCACCAGCCTCCACTGCTGGAGTTGCTTACCAAGACCACATTAAATGTTCCTGAGTGGCCTAGTTACAGTTTTGACTTAAATCGGCTTTATGATTCATTTGGAAACGACAGGCTGTGGTCTATCTTGGGTTAGTTATAAAAAAATTATTTGGTAGTAGTTAGCTGGCAGCCTGGCTAGCTGGCTTTAGCCTGGCTAAAAACATAGCAAGCTAGCTAGCCTTTTTAACTTCCAACATCTCCATGTGAGATAATCTGATTTATAAAAAAAATATGCCCTGGCCTCCCGAGTGGCGCAGCGGTCTAAGACACTGCATCGCAGTGCTAGAGGCATTACTGCAGACCTGGGTTCATTCCCGGGCTGTGCCATAACCGGCCGTGGCCGGGAGTCGGGGGGGCTTTACTTGGCTCATCGCGCCCTAGCGACTCCTTGTGGCGGGCCGGGTGCCTGCAGGCTGACCCCGGTCGCCAGTTGAACAGTGTTTCCTCTGACACATTGGTGCGGCTGGCTTCCGGGTTAGGCGGGTCATGTTTCGGAGGACGCATGGCTTCGCCTCTCCCAAGCCCGTTGGGACGTTGCAGCGATGAGCGATGAGACAAGATTGAAATTGGGTAGAAAAAAGGGGGGTTAAATACAATAATAAAAAATTATGCCCTGGCAAATATTCTTATACTTGCCGGTGTAACCTAAAACCTTATCCAAGTTTGATATGCTGCTTGTGTATTCATAGAGTACCACAGTATGAGTCATAATACCCATTAAACCTAGCGGTCAAACAGGAAAATGGTTCCAATCGTTTTTCCACCATTCATTTTTCCCAAAGGGATTTTAGAAACACTCAAAATAAGGGCTGTGTTTCGTGTAGGCTTACCCTGGCATGACGTTTTGATAACTGTGTAAATCTCTCTAGGACAAGATGACTTAATATATTCACCTGTATATTTTAAGTGTTTCTAAAATCCCCTATGGAAAAAATGAATGGTGGAAAAACGACTGGAACCATTTCACTGTTTGGCCGCTACGTTTTATGGGTATTATGACACCTCCACTGTGGGGCTCTATACCCATATCAGCTAAAAATGGAAGGTCATCATGTTTTGGTCATGGAGAAAAAAAGCACATGGATAGCTAGTTTGCTACAGCAGGTTCTACCATTTCACAATAGCCGGAGCGTATTACAAGGAGCCGCCCCTTTTGTGATGAATAAAGGCATTGCAACACTCCGAATCTTGTGTTTGCATAGAGCTTGTAGTAAGCTTTACTTAACGGCCTTGTTGCAAACAGCATGGATGATTTGGAGTGGATTTTTTAACACAAGCTTCCTTCTTTTCACTTTGTCATACAGGCCAGTAATGTGGAGTGAATACAATGTTGTTGATGTCTGTGTATTTTCAAGTATTGTGGTGGCAGCATAATGTTATGGGTAGGCTTGTCACCGGCAAGGACTGGGGAGTTTGTTAGGATCAAAATAAATACGAAAGGAGCAAAGCCCATGTAAAAAGTTAGAAGAAAACCCGCCCAGTCTTCTGAAAACCTACCCCTGGGATAGAGTCTTATTTTTCTGTGGGGCAATTACACAAATTGTAATGCCAAAGACACACCAGAATGGATTTCCAAGAGGTGTTGAGTGTTCCTGATTTAAATCTGCTTAAAAAACTCTGAAACAAGGTTTGAATATTGCTGTCCATCAATTAATCCCAACCAAATTTACTGAGTTTAAGCAATTTTGACAAAAACAATGGATATGTTTCCCTAGGAGTTGTGCAAGGTTGGTAGAATCTTATTCAAAATGATTCACAGCTGCAATCAATATATTATAATTTTGTATTTCTTAGTAATTAGGACATTTTTACATAATTGTTCTTTCTCTTTGAAAATGTTGCCCACCCCAATCTCTACATAGGCTCTGTCGGAACGTTTATCGTCATGCAAAGCACTTGAACGCAGAACAGCGGGGCCAGTGACGAGAGAGGAGGGAGACAACATAAACCGCTAAGGTTATAACAGTGCTGGCTCATTCATGTCTTGGTCTGCTCATTTTGATTGGATGTGGGGTAACATTCCCCTGTCCCCCCCTCCTTGGTCTAAGGATGTTGAATAGACACAAAGGCCACGGGGATCACTGTCCAAACGGACGCGTTGTCTGCTTGTATGAAAAATAAATAATATCATGGTGGCAATTATATGCAGACATGGAGAAGTCTGTGTGGATGGATGAATAAAAACAAGGGATAAACGCCCTCCCCTCCCATCCAATCACCATAATATCTGACACACTTATGCATGTCACATACATAGCCTACCTCAGAATAAAGGCCCCACCATCTCTGGGAGCGCCAAACGTAGCTTATAATAATATTACTCTTGAACCGGTATGTTCTAATTCATATGGATAATTTAGTTATGTCTGATCATTTTGCAAGGAGAAAGCCGCCGATGGTTTGAGGACCACGATCTATTGTTTCTACAATCTCCGTTTCTTCGCCTGCCTGCGCTCTGCGTCAAGACATAATGCGGACGTTTTGGTTGTGCCTTTAGTTACATATTAATAACAAAAATTGCATGAAAAGGGACATTTCTGCAAATATAAGTGAATGTGTGAGGTGATTAAAAGGTCAGAGAGTAAAATATCATATATGCTATCAGTCTATTAATGAGGTGTATCTATTGCGGAGGTGTGGCAGAGGATATTCTATACACAACACAAGATAAAATGACAATTGATGCGCCTTGGAACATTATATATTTTATTCTTATCACACCTAAGCGCCAACATAGGCTCACCTTGACTATTCTCGGAGGTAATCGATGCATCGATGTTATCTGAAGACCATGCATCATTTGTCGTCCGCTGAGAAACCATGGAGACCATGGTCTGCAGCGTTTTTTCTGGAGGAAAATCTGATTGCGCATCAGTGGATCTTTTGCTTGAATTTGATGTTCTGGAGCTCAACGCCGTTATTTGTTGTCTAGGGGTTGAAATAATTTCTATGCTTGGCCTTGGGGTTGTCGGAAGCTGAATTGTGGTTGCGGTTGGCGAGACAGGAATGGTGGAGACCTGTATCGTTTTGCTGGTCGCTCCGGTGGAGACAATTGTGGGGGACGGCGTGAGCCCCGTTAGTAGGCCGAGCACAAACCTGTCCTCAGGTAAACGATTAGGCAAGGTGGTGTAGAGCTGCTCCAAGCTCTCGGATGCTGAGCGAGGCTTCCTGGAGATAGGCGACGCATTGTAGGAGTTGATGCGAGGTCCAGCATCAGAAAGTCCAATATACAAAATAAATAGCAACGCCGGGGATATGTACATCATTAAGGTCGTTAACCTCATATTCAATTTCAGCTCTCCATGTAAAGCCTTAGTAATGGTCTGTCTCAGACCTTTCCCTGAATGGACTAGCCTATGCTGTTCGCAATTGCTGCCCAGTTATTGCGAACCGAACTACCCGCAGCTTCTTAGCTTCACTTTCGGTTCAACCTAGCCCAGCGCAATGAAACTGAACGCTGTGGATTGTAATACTCTTCAGCCAATCAGGGCATTGAGGGGGGGTCTCGTGGTATGGTTAGGCGTTTGTTTTTCCATCGCAAAGGCATTTGATTGGTTCAATGCGTAATCGTGAGCCAGTGCGCAATGAGAAGTCTGTTTGACTTTTCTCTTTAAGTCTACGGACCACATCATTTGACACACTTTAATTGAACAAATATAAAGAATCTAAGATTACATAATTTTATGATTATAGCCTAGACTAAACATTACATCCATTCGATTATGGGACATTAGGCCTTGGCTATTCATGAAATAACATATGCCCCTCTTTAATCGATTTACCCCCTACAAGCAACAACATGTTGAAAAAGTAAGCTATCCAGGACTGTGGGCCTAGACTCGAGAAAAAAAGATGGTGATGTTTATTATGCCTACGCTGTAGGATACGTGCGCGCTGTAGCCTAATCACCCATTGTTTCTACTGTGTGCGAGCGACACTATGTGGCTATTGGCCTAAACACCTGCCGTCTACAGTCATTCATCAGCAGTGACATGAGCTGCCCAACAAGATCAAGATCAAAGCTACAGAGCTGTTACACTCAATAATTAATCATTTGATTATATGATTAGACAATCCTTAAAGAGCCCACAATATACAGTGTCCGGGGATCTGGGGCCTATACAATCTAAGGCCTAAGTAGTGCATAACCCACACAGCAGATGGCAGCACAACGCAAACTATTCAGTAAATCCGCTAGACGGAACCAAACATGTAGGCTAAATAGGCTAGAAACATTATCGCGAACAGCTGATACAATGGCGCCAATGGACCTGGATAAATACAAGGAGATTGCCAAGCAGTGTAAATATTTACCTGAAAACGACCTCAAGGTGAGAGTCACTGCCTTCGCAAAGTCGATCACCGAAATAAGCCTGATGAGCAGCACATATAGTAAGGAGCCTACTAATCAGACCTAAACAATGGCAAAATGGCTGTCACTTCTAAATCATAGACTATCTAAACTGACCTGAAATCACACAGACAGACTGTGATGCCATTATAACCAAGAATTTGAATTAAATGGATGCCATCATCATGCTTGACGAAATTATTGGTATGATATAAAATCCCAGTTTTTAATGGCTATGAATAAAATGTGCCATTTACAGTAGTTGTCACTAGTTTATGGATGTTCTATTATGACATGCATTCATTAAATCATTGCTTGGGCATTGCATCACATATCACACAGCACATTACACTGCTCCTTATTCTAAGGGTGTGTGTTTTTTTCCTCAGAGGTTATGTGACTATGTATGTGACATATTGCTAGAGGAATCCAATGTCCAACCAGTGTCCACCCCAGTGACAGTGTGTGGGGATATACATGGACAGGTAGGCTACTTCATTGACCCTCACAGCCATACAGCATCATTGCTAAATATTTGTCTTTGAAACAGATTCTGTTTCTTTCCATTCTTTAATTTCCAGTAATTCTGAAGTTAACTTGCTTGTTTCTTCTTCATTCAATCAGTTTTATGATCTGTGTGAACTCTTCAGAACCGGAGGACAGGTCCCAGACACAAACTATATTTTCATGGTGGGTATAAACTCAACTATTATCCCCTCGTCCACTCCCATTTATGTTATTGTTGTCCCCCATGATGAAATCGGGGAGGGGACTGTGGATCTGTCTCCGTCTGTCCGTTCATAAGTTAAAGGCGCTACATGGTCAGTCTGCATTGGCCGTACAGCATTTACGTGACACAGCCTCTGCAGAAGTCAGGGCATTCATACTTCTTGCGCTTCGCGGAACAGTGCAGAGCTGTTGTGAAGGAAGTTGTCTTCTTCTTCTTCTTCTATGATATAATGGCGGTTCCGCAAACAAACGTTAAAGGTAAATGCCGCCACCTACTGTGCTTGAGTGTGTGGCAAATGACGGATTTACAACATTACTAAATCCTCCTACCTAACTCAGTACTTCTGAGAACAAAAAAAAAGAGCCCTACTAACTTCTAATAGACCCTCCCCATCCCCCAAAATCCCTTCCAACCCCCCCCCCCCCCCCCCCCCCCAACCCTGTCCAACCTCAATGACCCTACATTTCAATCTTTCCCTCTCTTCAACATACTTACAACAATATAACAACACATGCTCCACCGTTTCATCGACCATACACTCCAGACACAAACCATTCACATGCTTGCTAACCAGATGTAATGACGAGTTCAATGTACAATGTCCTAAACCCAATCGCGCAAACACCACCTCTTCCTTCCTAATCTGACCTTTGAATCTTGGTCCACCAACCTTTCTTTGGAGGGCATATAAATGCCAGCCCTTGGGCTCAGAGTCCCATCTCTTCTGCCACACATCTATCAAAATGGCTCTGATCTTACATTTGGCCTCACCTCTACCCAGTGGAACATTAATATCAATTATATCTAGTTTCAAAGGTCTTTTGGCTAACTGGTCTACAATTTCATTCCCTTCCACACCCGAATGTGCTGCAATCCGAAGGAAGTTGTCAAGGAAGTGACTTTGTGTTTATACAGGATCTTTGTGTACTTACCGTCAACCAATCATGTCAATGCGGAGCTATTCAGAGCACACCGCATTGCTACAAAATTTGAGAGGCACACGGCGATGCGGTACGAAGCTCATTTTGGCCTCTGCATGTCTCTGGAGGCTCCGCAATTGTGTCACACCATCCATCCATACGGTGCCTCCAACCATATTTTGGGATCAAACATAAATTGGCTTTAAGTCACACAAGATATCTCAGACAACTGGGCCGATTTTGACGAAAGGTGGGTGAATGATGCGTCTTGCCATAAAGATCCGGCCTTTACAAAATTACACGGATTGGCCCAAGGCGGGAGCTATAGTATTTAACTGAAATGCGTTAGTCACACGCTGCATCATTTGTGGGGGACTACATGTTTGCTGTTACATTTTAGAAGACACTCTTATCCAGAGCGACATACAGTAGTGAGGGTACTTTTTCCCATACTGGTCCCCGGTGGGAAGCGAACCCACAACACTGGCGTTGCAAGCGCCATGTTCTACCAACTGAGCCACACAGTTGCCTTGTTTTTCATAGTGTTTACAATGTCCATCAATAATGACCCCATCAGGATTATGTGTATTTGTGTCTCTTCAGGGTGATTTTGTTGACCGGGGATATTACAGCTTGGAGACGCTCACATACCTGCTGGTGTTAAAAGCGAAATGGCCTGACCGCATCACACTTTTAAGAGGAAACCACGAAAGCAGGCAGATAACCCAAGTGTATGGATTTTATGGTGAGATTTTCTTCATTAAATCACCATATCCAACCCAACCAAATGTTGTATTAACACATTAGTAATTGATGTACAATGCAAACCCTTAACTCCAGGTGCTCTGGTTGTAAATGGGATGTTCCTGGTCTATGTTGCCTTTCAGATGAATGCCAAACCAAATATGGAAATGCAAATGCCTGGCGCTACTGTACCAAAGTGTTTGATATGTTAACAGTTGCAGCAGTGAGTATAACTCTATTGCTTTGTATTTCTGATTTCCTGCAGTAACAACCCCCATGTCACAATTTTACCATATCAAGCCAACATGGGGATATTTTCTACTGTCACAGTAACTCGGCATTCTAATGCTGTGCTGTGGTTGTTTTCTTGTGCCAGCTGATGGATGAGCAGATTCTGTGTGTTCATGGGGGCCTCTCCCCGGACATAAAGACCCTGGACCAGATCAGAACCATTGAACGTAACCAGGAGATCCCCCACAAGGGAGCATTCTGTGACCTTGTGTGGTCAGACCCCGAGGATGTGGACACCTGGGCCATCAGCCCCAGGGGAGCTGGGTGGCTGTTTGGTGCAAAGGTCACCAATGAGGTGAGTACATTGTCAATTTCACACTGTAAAATATATATATACACTACCAGTCAAAAGTTTGGACACACCTACTCATTCAAGGGTTTTTCTTTATTTTTACTATTTTCTACATTGTAGAATAATAGTGAAGACATCAAAACTATGAAATAACACATATGGAATCATGTAGTAACCAAAAAAGTGTTAAACAAATCCAATTATATTTTATATTTGAGATTCTTCAAAGTAGCCACCCTTTGCCTTGATGACAGCTTTGTACACTCTTGGCATTCTCTCAACCAGCTTCAACTGGAATGCTTTTCCAACCGTCTTGAAGGAGTTCCCACATATGCTGAGCACTTGTTGGCTGCTTTTCCTTCACTCTGCGGTCCAACTCATCCCAAACCATCTCAATTGGGTTGAGGTTGGGTGGTTGTGGAGGCTAGGTCATCTGATGCAGCACTCCATCACTCTCCTTCTTGGTCAAATAGCCCTTACACAGCCTGGAGGTGTGTTGGGTCATTGTCCTGTTGAAAAACAAATGGCCCAAGCATGTCTCTTCTTCTTATTGGTGTCCTTTAGTAGTGGTTTCTTTGCAGCAATTCGTCCATGAAAGCCTGATTAACACAGTCTCCTCTGAACAGTTGATGTTGAGAAGTATTTATTTAGGCTGCAATTTGAGGTGCAGTTAACTCTAATGAACGTATCCTCTGCAGCAGAGGTAACTCTGGGTCTTCCTTTCCTGCGGCGGTCCTCATGAGAGCCAGTTTCATCATAGTGCTTGATGGTTTTTGCAACTGCATTTGAAGAAACTTTGAAAGTTCTTGAAATGTTCCATATTGACTGACCTTCATGTCTTAAAGTAATGATGGACTGTCGTTTCTCTTTGCTTATTTGAGCTGTTCTTGCCATAATATGGACTTGGTATTTTACCAAATAGAGCTATCTTCTGTATACCCCCCCTACCTCATCACAACACAACTGATTGTCTCGAAATTCCACAAATTAACTTTTAAGAAGGCACACCTGTTAATTGAAATGCATTCCAGATGACTAGCTCATGAAGCTGGTTGAGAGAATGCCAAGAGTGTGCAAAGCTGTCATCAAGGCAAAGGGTGGCTACTTTGAAGAATCTCATATATACAATATTTTGATTTGTTTAACACTTTTTTGGTTACTACATGATTCCATATGTGTTATTTCATAGTTTTGATGGATTCACTATTATTGTACAATATAGAAAATAGTAAAAATAAAGAAAAACCCTGGAATGAGTAGTTGTGTCCAAACTTTTGACTGATACTGTATATGAAATGGGTAGTAGTTTTATTTCTCACATTCACATTTATCTCACTGTCTTTCTTTTTTCATTATATATTGATGTGCAGTTTGTTCACATCAACAACTTGAAGTTGATCTGTCGGGCACATCAGCTAGTCCATGAGGGTTACAAGTTCATGTTTGATGAGAAGCTGGTCACAGTCTGGTCGGCTCCTAACTACTGCTATCGCTGCGGCAACATTGCCTCCATCATGGTCTTCAAAGACGCCAATACGAGGGAGCCCAAGCTGTTCCGGGCGGTGCCCGACTCAGAGAGAGTCATTCCACCCAGAACAACGACACCATATTTCCTGTAAACACTGCACTAACTATCATCAGCTTTGGCCGCAAACTTCAGACGGGCCTGGACATGCGCTGGCTTGAGCGGGGGGACCTTGCGTGCACTGCAGGATTTTAATCCATGACAGCGTAATGTGTTACTAATGGTTTTCTTTGAGACTGTGGTCCCAGCTCTCTTCAGGTCATTGACCAGGTCCTGCCGCGTAGTTCTGGGCTGATCCCTCACCTTCCTCATGATCATTGATGCCCCACGAGGTGAGATCTTGCATGATTGACCGTCATCTTGAACTTCTTCCATTTTCTAATAATTGCGCCAACAGTTGTTGCCTTATCACCAAGCTGCTTGCCTATTGTCCTGTAGCCCATCCCAGCCTTGTGCAGGTCTACAATTTTATCCCTGATGTCCTTACACAGCTCTCTGGTCTTGACCATTGTGGAGAGATTGGAGTCTGTTTGATTGAGTGTGTGGACAGGTGTCTTTTATACAGGTAACGAGTTCAAACAGGTGCAGTTAATACAGGTAAAGAAAAACTAACAGGTCTGTGAGAGCCGGAATTCTTACTGGTTGGTAGGTGATCAAATACTTATGTCATGCAATAAAATGCAAATTAATTACTTAAAAATCATACAATGTGATTTACTGGATTTTTGTTTTAGATTCCGTCTCTCACAGTTGAAGTGTACCTATGATAAAAAATTACAGACCTCTACATGCTTTGTAAGTAGGAAAACCTGCAAAATCGGCAGTGTATCAAATACTTGTTCTCCCCACTGTATGTTGTGGATGTTGTAGAATCTATGAAATATCCCACTGACAAGATCTATATTAATGATATTTCATATCAGAGGTACCCAACTCATGTCTATGAGCGTGTTTAGGGCAATTCCATGGTCACAGAATGATCTTTCACTTTAAAATGTATGTCAAACAAAAAACAATGATTTCAAATTTAAACAAACCATGCAACTCTATGCACAAGGACTACTTTTAACAATTTACACTGAACATTTTACAAAAACTTGAAGAACAGTGCAGATGCAAAGTTTGGTAACAGAATGACGGTTTGTGCGTGATTTTACTTTACTACAAATTTAATGAGGGATAGCCTACCAGGTGATTGGATCTTATTACCAGTCAATTACTTAAATAATTCAAAATAGTGCAAATGACAAAGGAAAGACGCATCAGCCCCAAGACACTGGATCTGAGTAACACTGTAAGAAGAGCCACTCCATTCATATTGTCAACCGTAGGCTGGGGGGGGGGGGTAAAATCACAACTGAACTGATTAACACTTCTGACGCTTTCCAATAACATCAACAAAAATTCTGTATCTTATGATATTCTGAGAGTAATATAATATCTAACACAACAGTGCAATGTGGAATAACACCATCACATTGTCTACTGATTAGCCTCAAAGATTTAAGCGGAATTGTCTCTACATACAGTATGTTAAGCTACCTTCTCCAAAAGAGAAAAGGAACAGTGTGTGTTCTAGTGCCTACAAGTCATGTGTGGTCAAGTGAACAGAGCAGGGCAGATCTGACACCCGAGCAGGGCTTCATATTACACAGGTTTGCACCTTAAGACTCAACAATGCATTAAAGGGATAGTTCGGGATTTTGGCAATGACTTCCCCAGAGTCAGATGAACTCGTGGATACCATTTTTATGTATCTGCATCCAGTATGAAGAAATGTATGGAGTTTCGCAAGCCAATGCTAACTAGTGTTAGCGCAATGACGAAGTCTACAGGAACAGCTAGCCAGGAACAGGTAGCATACTTGCTGTTCCCATAGACTTCCAGTCATTACGCTAACACTAGTTAGCAATTGCGCTAACGCTAGTTAGCAACTTCCTTCAAACTGCATGCAGAGACATAAGTAAAGAAAGGGCCTCATTGAAAGGGTAAGTACAGAAAGGGCCTCATTGTCGAAATCCTTAACTATCCCTTTATCCTGCTCTATGATGGGGAATATTTCTGAATTCATGTCATCATTGACAAAAGAGTGGTGGTATCACACTCGTACATTTACACACTTGACCATGGAATCCACTGGCTTCTGGATGCCAATCTCCAGACACACCTAACCATATAACAACAGGATAGCTGACTCACAGACCCAAATCATAAACCAAGAGGCAATGTCAACAGAATATAGGCAGCCTACTTGTACAGTACCAGTCAAAAGTTTGGACACACCTACTCATTCAAGGGTTTTTCTTTATTTTTACTATTTTCTATATTGTAGAATAATAGTGAAGACATCAAAACTATGAAATAACACATATGGAATCATGTAGTAACCAAAAAAGTGTTAAACAAATCCAATTATATTTTATATTTGAGATTCTTCAAAGTAGCCACCCTTTGCCTTGATGACAGCTTTGTACACTCTTGGCATTCTCTCAACCAGCTTCAACTGGAATGCTTTTCCAACCGTCTTGAAGGAGTTCCCACATATGCTGAGCACTTGTTGGCTGCTTTTCCTTCACTCTGCGGTCCAACTCATCCCAAACCATCTCAATTGGGTTGAGGTTGGGTGGTTGTGGAGGCTAGGTCATCTGATGCAGCACTCCATCACTCTCCTTCTTGGTCAAATAGCCCTTACACAGCCTGGAGGTGTGTTGGGTCATTGTCCTGTTGAAAAACAAATGGCCCAAGCATGTCTCTTCTTCTTATTGGTGTCCTTTAGTAGTGGTTTCTTTGCAGCAATTCGTCCATGAAAGCCTGATTAACACAGTCTCCTCTGAACAGTTGATGTTGAGAAGTATTTATTTAGGCTGCAATTTGAGGTGCAGTTAACTCTAATGAACGTATCCTCTGCAGCAGAGGTAACTCTGGGTCTTCCTTTCCTGCGGCGGTCCTCATGAGAGCCAGTTTCATCATAGTGCTTGATGGTTTTTGCAACTGCATTTGAAGAAACTTTGAAAGTTCTTGAAATGTTCCATATTGACTGACCTTCATGTCTTAAAGTAATGATGGACTGTCGTTTCTCTTTGCTTATTTGAGCTGTTCTTGCCATAATATGGACTTGGTATTTTACCAAATAGAGCTATCTTCTGTATACCCCCCCCTACCTCATCACAACACAACTGATTGTCTCGAAATTCCACAAATTAACTTTTAAGAAGGCACACCTGTTAATTGAAATGCATTCCAGATGACTAGCTCATGAAGCTGGTTGAGAGAATGCCAAGAGTGTGCAAAGCTGTCATCAAGGCAAAGGGTGGCTACTTTGAAGAATCTCATATATACAATATTTTGATTTGTTTAACACTTTTTTGGTTACTACATGATTCCATATGTGTTATTTCATAGTTTTGATGGATTCACTATTATTGTACAATATAGAAAATAGTAAAAATAAAGAAAAAACCCTGGAATGAGTAGTTGTGTCCAAACTTTTGACTGATACTGTATATGAAATGGGTAGTAGTTTTATTTCTCACATTCACATTTATCTCACTGTCTTTCTTTTTTCATTATATATTGATGTGCAGTTTGTTCACATCAACAACTTGAAGTTGATCTGTCGGGCACATCAGCTAGTCCATGAGGGTTACAAGTTCATGTTTGATGAGAAGCTGGTCACAGTCTGGTCGGCTCCTAACTACTGCTATCGCTGCGGCAACATTGCCTCCATCATGGTCTTCAAAGACGCCAATACGAGGGAGCCCAAGCTGTTCCGGGCGGTGCCCGACTCAGAGAGAGTCATTCCACCCAGAACAACGACACCATATTTCCTGTAAACACTGCACTAACTATCATCAGCTTTGGCCGCACTGTTCTCATCCACCACATTTGTAATGCATCACATAAGGAGGAGTGACAACAACTCCTGTTGAAGTGACACCACTGATTATGTAATTCCTATTTTATTATAGTGTGTACCTTATATATGTACTGCATGTTTTTGTGTCTGCTGTAGCTCTGTGTGCCAACACACATGCATTGACACCATATCAAGTAATACCACTACGTTTTAGGTGATAGCAGTGTCAATATTTTATGTTTTTATCTAACGCATGGCATGTTAGATTACATTAATCATGGTAGTTCACAATAAGAACACATGAAGTGAAACAGGATCACTACAGGAATAAGTCCGTTTCAGTTTGACTTGGGTCTATTTGCAACCTATTAGGCCTATAGAATGTTATTTCTCAGATGTTTGATTTTATTTTTGTAATGTACACTACCGTTCAAAAGTTTGGGGTCACTTAGACATTTCCTGAAAACATGAAATGAGTTTGAATAGGAAATATAGCAAAATGCATAGGAAATGTAGTCATTGACAAGGTTAGAAAAAATGATTTTTTTATTGAAATAATAATTGTGTCCTTCAAACTTAGCTTTCGTCAAAGAATCCTCCATTTGCAGCTATTACAGTCTTGCAGACCTTTGGCATTCTAGTTGTCAATTTGTTGAGGTAATCTGAAGAGATTTCACCCCATGCTTCCTGAAGCCCCTCCCACAAGTTGGATTGGCTTGATGGGCACTTCTTACGTACCATACGGTCAAGCTGCTCCCACAACAGCTCAATAGGGTTGAGATCCGGTGACTGTGCTGGCCACTCCATTATAGACAGAATACCAGCTGACTGCTTCTTCCCTAAATAGTTCTTGCATAGTTTGGAGCTGTGCTTTGGGTCATTGTCCTGTTGTAGGAGGAAATTAGCTCCAATCAAGCGCCGTCCACAGGGTATGGCATGGCATTGTAAAATGGAGTGATAGCCTTCCTTCTTCAAGATCCCTTTTACCCTGTACAAATCTCCCACGTTGACACCACCCAAAGCACTCCCAGACCAACACATTGCCTCCACCATGCTTGACAGATGGCATCAAGCACCCCTCCAGCATCTTTTCATTTGGTCTGCGTCTCACAAATGTTCTTCTTTGTGATCCGAACACCTCAAACTTCGATTCTTCTGTCCATAACACTTTTTTCCAATCTTCCTCTGTCCAGTGTCTGTGTTCTTTTGCCAATCTTAATCTTTTCTTTTTAGTGGCCAGTCTGAAATATGGCTTTTTCTTTGCAACTCTGCCTAGAAGGTCACCATCCCGGAGTCGCCTCTTCACTGTTGAGACTGGTGTTTTGCAGCTACTATTTAATGAAGCTGCCAGTTGAGGACCTGTGAGGCGTCTGTTTCTCAAACTAGACACTCTAATGTATTTATCCTCTTGCTCAGTTGTGCACCGGGGCCTCCCACTACTCTTTCTAAGAATATAATAATAAGCCATTTAGCAGACTCTTTTATCCAAAGCGACTTACAGTCATGTGTGCATACATTTTTACGTATGGGTGGTCCCGGGGATCGAACCCACTACCCTGGCATTACAAGCGCCATGCTCTACCAATTGAGCTACAGAGGTTAGAGCCAGTTTGCGCTGTTCTGTGATGGGAGTAATACACAGCGTTGTACGAGATCTTCAGTTTCTTGGCAATTTCTCGCATGGAATAGCCTTCATTTCTCAGAACAAGAATAGACTGACAAGTTTCAGAAGAAAGTTCTTTGTTTCTGGCCATTTTGAGCCTGTAATCGAACCCACAATTGCTGATGCTCCAGATACTCAACTAGTCTCAAGAAGGCCAGTTTTATTGCTTCTTTAATCAGCACACCAGTTTTCAGCTGTGCTAACATAATTGCAAAAGGGTTTTCTAATGATCAATTAGCCTTTTAAAATGATAAACTTGGATTAGCAAACACAACGTGCTATTGGAACACAGGACTGATGGTTGCTGATAATGGGCCTCTGTACGCCTATGTAGATATTCCATAAACAATCAACAGTTTCCAGCTACAATAGCCATTTACAACATTAACAATGTCTACACTGTATTTCTGATCAATTTGATGTTCTTTTAATGGACAAAAAAATTGCTTTTCTTTCAAAAACAGGGACATTTCTAAGCGACCCCAAACTTTTGAACGGTAGTGTATATTTATTTAATTTTGTGTATCGTGTAGATATATATATATAAAGCACTCAAATCAGAAACAGCACATATGAGCAATACTATTTTTGTTCAGAAATATGTTGAGAATTTATTCATGCACTTGACTTAGTTGTCTCTTGTAATCTAGTCTTATAATAAAGCTATAAGCCTGATAATTGAGGTAAGCTCATTTTAAGATGAAGATCACTGATCTAAAGATGGGCAGTCCTATGAGAGCAGTAAGCCTAGCTGTGGTTATTTGTGTGAACTTACTGTGATACAGGATGAGCTAGTTAATATGGCAATTATCAAAATTAGAGATGCTGCTATTACTGTTAATGTCACGTTCGTTTATAGACGGGATGGACCAAGGCGCAGCGTGATATGCATACATGTTTATTATAATGAATAAACACAACGACAAAACAACAAACTAAATGAAACGTGAAGTCCAAGGTACAACAAACAACATACCTCACACGGAACAAGATCCCACAACTAACTAGTGCCAAAAGGCTGCCTAAGTATGGTCCCCAATCAGAGACAACGAGCGACAGCTGCTTCTGATTGGGAACCACACCGGCCAACATAGAAATACACCTACTAGAAAACCAACATAGAAATACACAACATAGAATATACACACCCTGACTCAACATATAAGCGTCCTCTGCGTCAGGGCGTGACAGTACCCCCCCCCAAAGGTGCGGACTCCGACCACACAGCATACACATAACAGGGTAGGGACCGGGTGGTCATTCCGCCTCGGAGGCGGATCCGGCTCAGGGCATGACGACCTCTCACTCTTCGCCTCCCTGTTGTGCCCCTGGTCTGGTCTAGACCTCGGCGCGTTGCTTTCCCTCTCCTTCCTCCCACTATACTCCAAGCCCTGTCTGGACCCTGGTGTGGGAGATCCCGAACCTGGAGAGGGGCTGACGTCTGGGTCTGGACTGGAGCCGCTGACCGGAGCTGGACCGGGCACCGGTGGAGCGGACTGCTCAGGCTCCAGAGTGGAGCAGGTGACCTGAGCTGGATCAGGCACCGGTGGAGCGGACTGCTCTGGCTCCGGAGTGGAGCCGCTGACCGGAGCTGGACTGGACCCCGGTGAAGCGGATTGCTCTGGCTCCGGAGTGGAGCAGCTGACCGGAGCTGAACTGGGCACCGGTGGAGCGGACTGCTCTGGCTCCGGAGTGGAGCAGCTGACCGGTGCCGGACCAGGCACCGGTGGAACAGGCACGGGCCGTGCCGGACTGGACACACGCACCACTGGCTTGGTGCGAGGAGCAGGAACAGGCCGGACCGGGCTGGCGATGCGCACCAATGGCTTGATGCGAGGGACAGGAACAGGCCGGACCGGGCTGGCGACGCGCACCACTGGCTTGGTGCGATGGACAGGAACAGGCCGGGCCGGGCTGGCGACGCGCACCACTGGCTTGATGCAAGGGACAGGAACAGGCCGGACCGGGCTGGCGACGCGCACCACTGGCTTGGTGCGAGGGACAGGAACAGGCCGGACCGGGCTGGTGATGCGCACCACTGGCTTGGTGCGAGGTGCAGGAACAGGCCGGGCCGGGATGGCGACGCGCACCACTGGCTTGGTGCGAGGGTCAGGAACAGGCCGGGCCGGGCTGGCGACGCGCACCACTGGCTTGGTGCGAGGGAGCGGAAACAGGCCATACCGGACTGGCGACGCGCACCACTGGCTTGGTGCGAGGGGCAGTAACGGGTCGGGCCGTACTGGGAACACGCACCACTGGCTTAGTGCGGGAAGCAGGAACGGGCCGGACCGGACTGGCGACACGCACCACTTGCTTGGTGCGAGGAGCGGGACTGGGTTCCTTTATTAACCCCCGCTGCCTAACCTGGGCTGGCGACGCTTCACTGGCTTGGTGCGAGGGACAGGAACAGGCCGGACCGGGCTGGTGACGCGCACCACTGGCTTGGTGCGAGGTGCAGGAACAGGCCGGGCCGGGCTGGCGACGCGCACCACTGGCTTGGTGCGAGGGGCAGGAACAGGCCGGGCCGGGCTGGCGACGCGCACCACTGGCTTGGTGCGAGGGAGCGGAAACAGGCCATACCGGACTGGCGACGCGCACCACTTGCTTGGTGCGAGGAGCGGGACTGGGTTCCTTTATTAACCCCCGCTGCCTAACCAGCTCCTCTCGCCGTGCCTCTACACTTTCCTTATCCCTTATAGCCTCCTGTAGCTCCTCCCTCTGACCGAATAACTCCTGCTCCCTCTGAACCAATAGCCCCTGTAACATGGTGGCCTCCTAACCTGCAGATCTCCAGCCTCCTGCTGTCTCGTCGTCCACACCGTGTGCCCCCCCCCAAAATGTTCTTGGGGTTGACTCTCGGGTCTCCGTCGTCGGCACTCCTCTTCCCGTGAGGACTCCTCCGGGAGCCCCCACGAGTTAGGGAACAGAAACTTGTCGTCGTCGTCATCCTCCGACTCCTCAGTATAATACTGTTCCCACTCCTCTTCCCAAGGTTGTAGGGACCCAAACTGAAAACCAACCGGGTGCAGTGGTCGGGGCTCTTCTCTCACGCTCCCCGACCACCCCTTTAGCCCCCCCAAAAATGTTTATTGGGGCTGCTTCTCGGGCCTCCTCCTCGGCCGGCTTCCGTGTTGCCGTTGCTCCTCTCCTGCCTGGGCATCTACCTTCGCCCATGGCCCTTTCCCCGCGAATATCTCTTCCCATGACCACAATTTGCCCATCTGTGACATGGCAATTCGCTCTTCCTGGGCACGCTGCTTGGTCCTCGTTTGGTGGGATCTTCTGTCACGTTCGTTTATAGACGGGACGGACCAAGGCGCAGCGTGATATGCATACATGTTTATTATAATGAATAAACACAACGACAAAACAACAAACTAAACGAACCGTGAAGTCCAAGGTACAACGTACAACATACCTCACACGGAACAAGATCCCACAACTAACTAGTGCCAAAAGGCTGCCTAAGTATGGTCCCCAATCAGAGACAACGAGCGACAGCTGCCTCTGATTGGGAACCACACCGGCCAACATAGAAATACACCTACTAGAAAACCAACATAGAAATACACAACATAGAATATACACACCCTGACTCAACATATAAGCGTCCTCTGTGTCAGGGCGTGACAGTTAATCAGTAAATACAAGGAAATACACTACATGGCCAAAAGTATGTGGACACCTGCTCGTCGAACATCTCATTCCAAAATCATGGGCATTAATATGGAGTTGGTCCCTCCTTTGCTGCTATAACTGCCTCCACTCTTCTGGTAAGGCTTTCCACTAGATGTTTGAACATTCAGCCACAAGAGCATTACTGAGGTCGGGCACTGATGTTGGGCGATTAGGCCTGGCTCGCAGTCAGCCTTCCAATTCATCCCAAAGGTGTGCGATGGGGTTGAGATCAGGACTCTGTGCAGGCCAGTCAAGTTCTTCCACACCGATCTCGACAAACCAGTTCTGTATGGACCTCACTTTGTGCATGGGGGCGTTGTCATGCTGAAACAGGAAAGGGCCTTCCCCAAACTGTTGCCACAAAATTGGAAGCACAGAATCGTCCTATAATGTCATTGTATGCTGTAGTGTTAATATTTCCCTTCACTGGAACTAAGAAGCCTAGCCCGAACCATAAAAAACAGCCCAACCCATTATTCCTCCTCCTTTACAGTTGGCACTAGCATTCGGGCTGGTAGCGTCCTCCTGACATCCGCCTCAACACTTGGCGGTCCCGTTCTGTAAGCTTGTGTGACTTACCACTTCGCGGCTGAGCCGTTGTTGCTCCTAGACGTTTCCACTTCACAAAACAGCACTTAGAGTTGACCGGGGCAGCTCTAGCAGTGCAAAAATTTGACGAGCTGACTTTATTGGAAAGGTGGCATTCTATGACGGTACCACGTTGAAAGTCACTGAGCTCTTCATTACGGGCTGTTCTACTCCAATGTTTGTCTATGGAGATTGCATGGCGGTGTGCTCAATTTTATACACCTGTCAGCAAGGGGTGTGGCTGAAATAGCCGAATCCACTAATTTGAAGAGGTGTCCACATACTTTTGGCCATGCAGTGTACAATCAACGCATTGTATGTCCTCCAGGTTCCGTCGTACTGTTTTTGTTGACTGACATGAAGTAGAGCGAATCCCTTTCCACACCCTTTTAGATTTGTCCAATGAACACGGACGCAGTGTACTGGCATATTACGTGTTGATGTAAGCGAGCTAGCCAAAGAAACAGTCCAGACATAGTAATAAATTTGTCGTAAAGCAGTATATTTGTAGTTATTACATTGGGAAACGGTAGAGTTGCTATTCATTGCAGAGAATACGTTAAACACAATGGGCTTCACTGGGAATGTGTTACTTTGTCGGAGTTCATACGGTAAGAGATTCCCTTGATTAGCTGGCTAACTTCGCTAGCTAGGCTAACAATAACAGCGACAGCGTTTGTAAAACTGGCTAGGTAGCTAGCTGATAGGCATCATTTGTTGAAATCTTCTGTCTCTTCCTGGAATTGACATGATCAAACAGCCGTGAACAGTTAGCTGGTGCCGACAGATTTCTTAAATCTCGAAATGTTGGGTTTTTTACAGAATGGTAACGAACTATTCGGAAACTGCTAATGAAAGCTAGCAAGAGAGCAGCCATCCTTGCCAAGACTGAGTAGCTAGTTAGCTACATTGTCGTGTCATCCAGCTGAAATATCATTAGCCTCTTCATATGTATGTCTTCGCAAACCTGCTAACTAAACCTGCTGTCACGTACGTGTCAACTGATCTGGTGACATCACAAATCATAAGGCCAAAACGACTTATCAGCTAGCTACAGTCAGTAGCATATCCTCATTCAGCATTTCTAATAGTTTTTATGCTGATTGCCATGACTCACTCTGTTGTCTATTTCAGATTGAAAGAGGAATGACAATGACAGTTTCCCTTTCTGTGAGAGGAGGCTACACTGGAATACAGCTGTTCTGGGACCCAGAACGACCACAGCCCGAGTGACAGAGGACTTGCATTGTGGAGCTTTTGGGGAGAGAACTAGTAGCAGGCAGTACACTTGGGTAAAGAAACACTAAGGCAAGGTGGAGATGTTTGCCAAACTGAAAAAGAAGATTGCTGAGGAGGCTGCCACTGCCCCCCGGACCGGAGTCCGCATGCCTCGCTCCTGCAGCAAAGAGTCCATTACGTCAGTGGGGGCAGACTCCGGGGATGATTTTGTAAGTACAAGTATTGTTACCTCACTGTCCATGCCAGTCATCCTTTGAACCCACTAAGAGTAATAATAATAATAATATGCCATTTAGCAGACGCTTTTATCCAAAGCGACTTACAGTCATGCGTGCATACATTTTTTGTGTATGGGTGGTCCCGGGGATCGAACCCACTACCTTGGAGTTACAAGCGCCGTGCTCTACCAGCTGAGCTACAGAGGACCACAGTTGGTCACATGACACGAAACAAGGTTTCCCAGGCTATTCTACAAGGAAGACATCATGGAAGAAAAGCTGGGAGGTTTCTTTGAAAGGATGGCTTGTGGCCTCTAATTTCAGTAGGCTTAAGTTTTGCACATATGAAATGCAAACAAAGGTCATTTATATCGTTTACACTCTTTCAATTCAACATAACTGATCTATAACATGATAGGCTTTCTCAGTGTTTTGAGAGATTCTGCCTACCTGACAGGAATGGCCCAGGCCCTCCATCAGTGTTTCTCCTGTGTAATGGAGCCCCAGGGACTGTCATGATGATGTAAATCACTACCATTTACATGCAACATATCAGATCGCCCTTGCACTGTGGTGTAAACAGTGCTGCATTCGCACTTTGAGATGGATATCTAATATTGGCTTTATGAATATCAGCGAAATAGTAGACCTAATGTACAAGACTTACAGTATGCAGAGCCAGGGAAAGAGCAGTGAAGCGATTTGCTGCGTTTTGAAGTATGGTGTAATTGTCTTTTTATATACATTACCAGTCAAAAGTTTGGACACACCTACTCATTCAAGGGTTTTTCTTTGTAGAATAATAGTGAAGACATTAAAATTATGAAACAACACATATGGAATCATGTAGTAACCAAAAAAGTGTTAAACAAATCAAAATATATTTTATATTTGAAATTCTTCAAATAGCCACCCTTTGCCTTGATGACAGCTTTGCACACTCTTGGCATTCTCTCAACCAGCTTGACCTGGAATGCTTTTCCAACAGTCTTGAAGGAGTTCCTACATATGCTGAGCACTTGTTGGCTGCTTTTCCTTCACTATGCCGTCCGACTCATCCCAAACCATCTCAATTGGGTTGAGGTCGGGGGATTGTGGAGGCCAGTTAATCTGATGCAGCACTCCATCACTCTCCTTCTTGGTAAAATAGCCCTTACACAGCCTGGAGGTGTGTTGGGTCATTGTCCTGTTGAAGAACAAATTATAGTCCCACTGAGCCCAAAAAGGATGGCATGGCGTATCGCTGCAGAATGCTGTGGTAGCCATGCTGGTTAAGTGTGCCTTGAATTCTAAATAAATCACAGACAGTGTCACCAGCAAAGCACCCCCACACCATAACACCTCCTCCTCCATGCTTTACAGATGGAACTAAATATGCGGCGATCATCCGTTCACCCACACCGCGTCTCACAAAGACACAGCGGTTGGAACCAAAAATCTTCAATTTGGACTCCAGACCAAAGGACACATTTCCACCGGTCTAATGTCGATTGCTCATGTTTCTTGGCCCAAGCAGGTCTCTTCTTATTATTGGTGTCCTTTAGTAGTGGTTTATTTGCAGCAATTCGACCATGAAGGCCTGATTCACACAGTCCTCTCTGAACAGTTGATGTTGAGATGTGTCTGTGACTTGAACTCTGTGAAGCATTTATTTGGGCTGCAATTTCTGAGACTGGTAACTCTACTGAACTTATCCTCTGCAGCAGAGGTAACTCTGGGTCTTCCATTCCTGTGGCGGTCCTCATGAGAGCCAGTTTCATCATAGCGCTTGATGGTTTTTGCGACTGCACTTGAAGAAACTTTCTAAATTCTTGACATTTTCCGTATTGACTGACCTTCATGTCTTAAAGTAATGATGGACTGTCGTTTCTCTTTGCTTATTTGAGCTGTTCTTGCCATAATATGGACTTGGTCTTTTACCAAATAGGGATATATTCTGTATACCCCCCCCTACCTTGTCACAACACAACTGATTGGCTCAAAAGCATTAAGAAGGAAAGAAATTCCACAAATTAACTTTTAAGAAGACACACCTGTTAATTGAAATGCATTCCAGGTCAACATCAAGCTGGTTGAGAGAATGCCAAGAGTGTGCAAAGCTGTCATCAAGGCACTTTTTTGGTTACTACATGATTCCATATGTGTTATTTCATAGTTTTGATGTCTTCACTATTATTCTACAATATAGAAAATAGTAAAAATAAAGAAAAACCCTTGAATGAGTAGGTGTGTCCAAACTTTTGACTGGTACTGTACAAGTAGGCTGCCTATATTCTGTTGACATTGCCTCTTGGTTTATGATTTGGGTCTGTGAGTCAGCTATCCTGTTGTTATATGGTTAGGTGTGTCTGGAGATTGGCATCCAGAAGCCAGTGGATTCCATGGTCAAGTGTGTAAATGTACGAGTGTGATACCACCACTCTTTTGTCAATGATGACATGAATTCAGAAATATTCCCCATCATAGAGCAGGATAAAGGGATAGTTAAGGATTTCGACAATGAGGCCCTTTCTGTACTTACCCTTTCAATGAGGCCCTTTCTTTACTTATGTCTCTGCATGCAGTTTGAAGGAAGTTGCTAACTAGCGTTAGCGCAATTGCTAACTAGTGTTAGCGTAATGACTGGAAGTCTATGGGAACAGCAAGTATGCTACCTGTTCCTGGCTAGCTGTTCCTGTAGACTTCGTCATTGCGCTAACACTAGTTAGCATTGGCTTGCGAAACTCCATACATTTCTTCATACTGGATGCAGATACATAAAAATGGTATCCACGAGTTCATCTGACTCTGGGGAAGTCATTGCCAAAATCCCGAACTATCCCTTTAATGCATTGTTGAGTCTTAAGGTGCAAACCTGTGTAATATGAAGCCCTGCTCGGGTGTCAGATCTGCCCTGCTCTGTTCACTTGACCACACATGACTTGTAGGCACTAGAACACACACTGTTCCTTTTCTCTTTTGGAGAAGGTAGCTTAACATACTGTATGTAGAGACAATTCCGCTTAAATCTTTGAGGCTAATCAGTAGACAATGTGATGGTGTTATTCCACATTGCACTGTTGTGTTAGATATTATATTACTTTCAGAATATCATAAGATACAGAATTTTTGTTGATGTTATTGGAAAGCGTCAGAAGTGTTAATCAGTTCAGTTGTGATTTTACCCCCCCCCCCCCAGCCTACGGTTGACAATATGAATGGAGTGGCTCTTCTTACAGTGTTACTCAGATCCAGTGTCTTGGGGCTGATGCGTCTTTCCTTTGTCATTTGCACTATTTTGAATTATTTAAGTAATTGACTGGTAATAAGATCCAATCACCTGGTAGGCTATCCCTCATTAAATTTGTAGTAAAGTAAAATCACGCACAAACCGTCATTCTGTTACCAAACTTTGCATCTGCACTGTTCTTCAAGTTTTTGTAAAATGTTCAGTGTAAATTGTTAAAAGTAGTCCTTGTGCATAGAGTTGCATGGTTTGTTTAAATTTGAAATCATTGTTTTTTGTTTGACATACATTTTAAAGTGAAAGATCATTCTGTGACCATGGAATTGCCCTAAACACGCTCATAGACATGAGTTGGGTACCTCTGATATGAAATATCATTAATATAGATCTTGTCAGTGGGATATTTCATAGATTCTACAACATCCACAACATACAGTGGGGAGAACAAGTATTTGATACACTGCCGATTTTGCAGGTTTTCCTACTTACAAAGCATGTAGAGGTCTGTAATTTTTTATCATAGGTACACTTCAACTGTGAGAGACGGAATCTAAAACAAAAATCCAGTAAATCACATTGTATGATTTTTAAGTAATTAATTTGCATTTTATTGCATGACATAAGTATTTGATCACCTACCAACCAGTAAGAATTCCGGCTCTCACAGACCTGTTAGTTTTTCTTTACCTGTATTAACTGCACCTGTTTGAACTCGTTACCTGTATAAAAGACACCTGTCCACACACTCAATCAAACAGACTCCAATCTCTCCACAATGGTCAAGACCAGAGAGCTGTGTAAGGACATCAGGGATAAAATTGTAGACCTGCACAAGGCTGGGATGGGCTACAGGACAATAGGCAAGCAGCTTGGTGATAAGGCAACAACTGTTGGCGCAATTATTAGAAAATGGAAGAAGTTCAAGATGACGGTCAATCATGCAAGATCTCACCTCGTGGGGCATCAATGATCATGAGGAAGGTGAGGGATCAGCCCAGAACTACGCGGCAGGACCTGGTCAATGACCTGAAGAGAGCTGGGACCACAGTCTCAAAGAAAACCATTAGTAACACATTACGCTGTCATGGATTAAAATCCTGCAGTGCACGCAAGGTCCCCCCGCTCAAGCCAGCGCATGTCCAGGCCCGTCTGAAGTTTGCCAATGACCATCTGGATGATCCAGAGGAGGAATGGGAGAAGGTCATGTGGTCTGATGAGACAAAAATATAGCTTTTTGGTCTAAACTCCACTCGCTGTGTTTGGAGGAAGAAGAAGGATGAGTACAACCCCAAGAACACCATCCCAACCGTGAAGCATGGAGGTTGAAACATCATTCTTTGGGGATCTTTTTCTGCAAAGGGGACAGGACGACTGCACCGTATTGAGGGGAGGATGGATGGGGCCATGTATCGCGAGATCTTGGCCAACAACCTCCTTCCCTCAGTAAGAGCATTGAAGATGGGTCGTGGCTGGGTCTTCCAGCATGACAACGACCCGAAACACACAGCCAGGGCAACTAAGGAGTGGCTCCGTAAGAAGCATCTCAAGGTCCTGGAGTGGCCTAGCCAGTCTCCAGACCTGAACCCAATAGAAAATCTTTGGAGGGAGCTGAAAGTCCGTATTGCCCAGTGACAGCCCCGAAACCTGAAGGATCTGGAGAAGGTCTGTATGGAGGAGTGGGCCAAAATCCCTGCTGCAGTGTGTGTTAAACCTGGTCAAGACCTACAGGAAACGTATGATCTCTGTAATTGCAAACAAAGGTTTCTGTACCAAATATTAAGTTCTGCTTTTCTGATGTATCAAATACTTATGTCATGCAATAAAATGCAAATTAATTACTTAAAAATCATACAATGTGATTTTCTGGATTTTTGTTTTAGATTCCACCTCTCACAGTTGAAGTGTACCTATGATAAAAATTACAGACCTCTACATGCTTTGTAAGTAGGACAACCTGCAAAATCGGCAGTGTATCAAATACTTGTTCTCCCCACTGTATATGTTTCTAGTACCTGCTGCGCCATAACCATGGAAGCTCCAGTATGACCTGCTGTGCTGATGAGGATCCCTCTATTCTGTGTGTTTGTGTTGACCTCCAGGCTTCTGATGGCAGTAGCTCCAGGGACGACCTCTCCTCCCAGATCCTCAGAAGGAATGATCAGATTCGCAAGCTGGAGGCCAAACTATCAGGTAAGACATGTCTGTATGGAGCCAGTTTAATCAGAGTAGGATGATGTGGTTGCGCCTAGGCCTAGACACTGATCTAAGGTTAGTTTTGCATTTCCCCCAACCATAATTAAGGTTAGGTTTGGTCTGATCTGTGTCTATTGTGCTTAGAGACAACTTTTACCAAGAGCAGTATACTCAGGTCAAAGGTCACATAACCAACGGGTAATGTCTGGCTTCTGTCTCGACCTCATGGCTTTTGTTAACACCGGCCCTCACAAAAGGTATGATAGGGTATCTTTTACAATTTTTCTTTATTCTTTACCAAATTCCCATCTGGTGAACGTTAAGAGCAAATGCCATGGCTTTTAGTCTACCTTTTAGGTTCTGTGTGTCTTTTCTCCCAGATTAGTGTGATAGCTACTCCTCCCTTAGAGGTGGTGTGTCTGACCCCTTAGAAAAGGTTAAAAGTCGCACATCTTCACGCAGCCTCTTAACCAGGATGGTTTTCTCATCTAAGAAAATCATTGTTTTTTCCTTCCATTTTTTCTCAATCATGTTTTATTTTATTTTATATGCCTCTCCATTTATTTTATTCCTCCTCCTCCCCGTGGCTTGTACTCTCATCCCCCTGTCCCCCTTTCCTGTGTGTGTGTACATGTGTGTTTTATGTGCTGTTGGTATTCCATCACCCCACCTCCTGCCACTAGGCTACGCTGAGCAACTCCAACTTATGCAGAAGACCAAGGACAAGCTTGAAATTGCATTAGAAAAACATCAGGATTGTACGTACTTTTATTCTCCAATCTCCTCTCATTTTGCTTTCTTTCTTTCTTTCTTTCTCTCATTTGTTTGTCTGCTGGCTGTGGTAATGGTCACCCAAAGCACCATCACTCGCTCAAGGAGGGGCTCAGAATCATATGCTGTCACTTCTATAGGTTTCCATATTTAAAAAATCTATTGTTGAAACAAGGGACTTGCATGCTTCTTGACATCATTGTTTTGAAATGTTTTTGGCACTGTTGTAAGTAGGTAAGTATTTCTGCTATGACAATTATATGAGACAATATAAAACAGTGGATGTTTTATCAGTATGTAAATGTCTATTACTTCCCTTTTTTGGTAATAATCAATGTTATAACAAACACCAATGTACTAACGTAACCAATAACAATAAAACATCTATAAAAATAAGTCCATTTGGGATGTCTGTGTTGGCCATGCTTAGATGCACTGCTTGCCTTTGCTTCTTGGAAACACCTAGCTTGGCTTACTGGACACATTCTATGGTCAATATTACTCTCACCCTTTTAAAGCTTTCAAAGCTAGCAGCTACCAACCACTGACAAATCTACAACCTGCTGTTTCAATTGATCCATCTTTGGCTAGCCAGTTGTATTGCTAATTATTTCTCTCTCGTTCTCTCGCTTTCTTTTACTACCCAGCCTCCATGAGGAAACTGCAGGACCAGAATGAGACTCACCAGACCAATAGAGCCAAAATGGCCGAAGGCATGGCTTTGGCCCTGGACAAGAAAGATCAGGTGAGCATCATATCCTTTGCACCACGAGGCATACGCTTGTGTGTGTTTATAGTTAGATTAAGTCCTGTCTTTGTCTGTAGGAATGGATGGAAAGGATGGCTACGCTAGATCAGGTACGCTAACATCTAACTAACATTCTAACATCTAACTAGCATTCTATGTTCTCATTCAGCCAGTCAGTCATCGTCTGTGTAGATGAGAGATCTATTCTGTCTGTGCCCCTCAGGAGAAGGCAGCTCTGTCTGTGCGGCTAGATGAGATGATGGAGCAGAGCCTCACTCTGTTCCAGAAGAGAGATGACCTGGATGAGCTGGAGGGCTTCCAGCAGCAGGAGCTCGCCAAAGTCAAACACATGGTACGCACTATGGACAACAAGGTCCCACTGTCTAACACTAACCCACCACATGGCATGTAGGAGGCAATTCAAACATACACATGTCGTTTTGTGCTTTATCTGTCTGTCTATTCTGATCCAAGCTGTAGCTATGTCGGTAATGATCCACCTTGGTAAAACAACGCTTTGGTGGGATCAAAAGTTTTTCTATTACCCTAGACAATAATGGTAGTTAAACATTTGTTTTAGTGAAGTCTTTTCTGTGGTGTGTCCTGTTTCGTTATGGTAGTTACTGAGGAAGGAGGAGCAGCTGGGACAGCGGGAGCGAGAGCTCCAGCAGAAGGAGGCCGAGCTGCAGACGGCCAAGAAGGGTTTGGCCGAAGCCCAGGAGAAGCTGCGGGCTCTGGGAGAGGAGCATCAGGAAAGTTGTAGGCTCAACACCGAGCTGGAGATCGAAAGGTTAGGACAGGACACAGAGATTGCCATGAATTCAGTAGTTGGAGATGCTTATCATCATGACTGAAAATAATGACCTTACTGATAAGGGAGAGTTTGTGTGCTAAATCTCTTGATGAAGTCTGCCTGTTTTCTTCTGGGTTTTCTGAGGTTTTGGTTGTTGTCTAACAGTACAGGGTTGTGTGTGTGTGGTCTCATTAAGAGAGGAGCTGCTGGAGGTCAGGGAGGAGGCTGAGAAGAAGATCGCTGAGCTGGAGGGCAGAGGCCAGAACCTGCAGAAGGTCATCCAACAGGTGTCTGAGGACTTCCAGAAGGTTAGCCCTCTAACCTATAGATGCTTCCTTGAAAAATCCTTTCACTGTATTGAAATGGTACATATCTGTAATGACAGCATATGAATACAGTTAGATAAATGTGATGATAACAGTTTATAACATTTTTCAGAATGTAGCAATCTAATTGTGTGTGTGTGTGTTCTCAGTCGCGGAGCGCGGAAGCAGCTGTAGAGAAGTCTCTCCATACCTTACAAACAGAGCACAATGCCCTGAAGCTGCAGCAACACAAGGTAAGACCAGACCACCATGTAACTCCTTATATGGGCAATTCCATATTTCTGTTACCAAATCTGCAGTTTTTCCAGTGAAAGTTTTACTGTGTAAATTGTTCAAAGTAGTCATTGTGCATAGAGTTGTATGGTTTGTAAAACTTTGAAATTAATTGTTTTAGTTTGGCATAAACGAAAAATCGGAGTCTCAGTGTATTTCCATTACCGTGGAATTGCCAGTATCTAACCCCTCCTCCTCCTCATTCAGTATGCTCTATAATTGCCCCATCCCTCTCTCTCCCTGTTGTGGTCCCCAGGCAGCAGTGACTGATGAGGACAAGGAGCGTGTGCTGCTGGACCTGCAGGAGAAGGTCTCCTCTCTGGAGAGACGTCTGCAGGGTAACCTGAGTGAAGACGAGCTCCTCCAGGAGCTGCTCAAAGAGGTAACTACAACAGCTAATCCTAAAGACAGAGGACTCCTGTGGAATTGGTATAAGGAAAATACCTTAAAGAACCATAAGTAAGTATTTCACTGTTAGTCCACATCTGTTATTTACGAAGCATGTGACAAATACAATTTGATTTGAATGGTGATGCATTTCAAGTCAAGCTTATTTGTCATATGCACAGAAACACATGGTGTACACAGTACAATGAAATGCTTACTTGCAGGTTCACCTCTAAACAGTACAATAACTATAACAAAGAATTAATACAAATCATTTAGAAGCTTAACCCTTGGCCTATATGGAAAGGGCTAAATTGAAACGTTTCTTACAGAAGAAATATGAAATGCATATGCATAAGCATGGTAGCAATTGAAAAAGAACAGTTTGAAGATTATGGGAAAATTATTAGACCAAAGTTGAGGACACAATAGTTCACCTGACACAACACTGAATCCAAACATTACACTTTTATGTGCATTTGACAATTTCTGTACTTTTTGCCACATTTGTTGATAACGAAATTTGAAAATACTCTTGATACATTCAGTAACATAAGATTTTTCATGGAAAATGTGGGGTAGGTGCAACATAAGACAAGAAAATGACAAGGGTTTGAGTGAGAGGACTAACTGGTGTCTCCAAGTGGCCACACACCTCTCCGAAGTGTGCACAGTTCCTAAGTAACTTCAATGCACTTTAATGACTCAAAGAAGAGTCTTCATCTATAAGGTGCATTTTAGAGCTCTCCTAGCTGTGCTGTTGAGGAACTAGAGCAAGCACACTAGTAGTTGTTTTGTTTGGAACACAACCCTGCATCCCCGTCATCACACAATTACTGTTGTTGTTTACGCAATCCAAAAACCTTCCATTATAAATCCTATTCTGGGTCAGGTGGGCATCATTTGAAAGCTTGTTCTATTGCCAACATGACTAGCTAAGTTATAAAATATGATCTTACAGTTAGGCTTTCACAAGGCAATTCAGAGAAACAGATCGTCATTTTGGTGCGCATAGAAAGGAATCATGAGTGCATTCAGGTGCGTGTCCTGCGGCCAATATCTTCCAGTTGCCCAATTAGTGGAAGGGATGGGGGCAACTTCTTGTCGTGTGGTGCTCAAGTTCAGAACGTCTGTCAGTCAAAACCCATACAGCGCTCTGAAGCGGAGAGCCTGAGCTTTGATGTCATGTATAGCATGTTACTGTACAGCCACTGCGTTCCAATTTAGGCGCTTATCTGTGTCCAAATCTGCCATTTCCAACCTGTATACGGGTACGAGTGTAAAGGGTTCATGGAATAACAACAGAATAAACATTTAGCAGAAGTATAAATACAAGGAAGGCACTCAAACAAATGTACAGTATAATATTTACACGTGTGCCGGGGAAGGGGGATATGGAGAGGAAAGGGTTTTGTGCGATATTTTTAGCAATAATAAATAAAGTCCAATAGCAGCAGTCGTGGTGTGTATGTAGCGTGAGTGTGTGTGTGTGTATGTGTTTGTGCATATGGGTGTGTGAGTGCATGTGTGCTAAGGTGCGGAGAGTCAGTGCAAATGGTCAGTTCAAGTGTTCAGCAGTCTTTGTTTTTTCCCCTGTGTGTTAATGTGTAGAAGTCCACTCTGGAGCGGAGGCTGGAGGACATGAGAGTGGAGCTGCTGCAGGCACGCACCAACCATGCAGACACGGTTAGCTCACTGGAGACTCAGGTAAACAGCCCTCTCTCTACCTCTTCATCAGAGTTCTATAGTTCTTCACATGCAACTGGCTTAGATGCTCCATTAGTTAACAGCAACATATGAACAATTGTATGAACACATCTGGTAAGCATATTCTATCTCTCCCAGATATCCAGAATCAACAACAATGTAACTGAACTACAGAACCTGCTACGACACAAAGACGACTCTTCCAAGAACTACAGAGAGAGAACGGACGCACAGGTAAGCGATCAGGCACACTGGTGGGAGAGAACAATGTAAGCATTTCAGACCTGTGCTCTCTCTTCGTTCTTTCTCCTTGTGCGCTCTACCTTCAGTCTCTCACACACAGCCCCATGTCGCTCTCTGTCTTACAGATAGCAGGTCTGGAACAGCAGGTGCAGGAGAGCAACGAGAGGCTCAAGAACACTGAGCAGCAGATCACCGACAAGCAAGCACGCCTGGACGAACTGGTAAATGTTTGTCCGAGTACGGTGAAAGATGCTCTACCACCACTGTAAATAAAGTTGAAGCTGAGGCTGGAGCAAATGCAGTTGAACCTTTTATTCCTTGATTAGACTTCTTCATGTATCTTATGGGAGCCAGAGACACAGTTAATGTAAGTATGTGTGATGCTGAGACTGCCCTTTCCCCTGTGGTCACCCCCAGCATGCAGAGTGGAGTGTGGAGAGGGACAGTCTGCAGCAGCAGGTGTCTGCAGAGCGGCAGCAGGGCCAGGAGAGGGCAGGCTGGATGGAGGAGCAGCTCTCTGCACTGCAGACAGAGAAAGACACAGAGCACACCTCTGCCCAAGCTAGGATTGTGAGTTACAGTTCTCAGCTCTCACTTGCTCTGTAGATGTTGACATTTTTGTTCACTAAACTGTTCTCAGTGACATACCTGTTAAGGTACATTTTTACTTTGGTATTTGATAGTTTCGATGCAGATTTTGATCAGCTTATCCATTGGTCTCGGTGGATTGGTAATTGCACATTATCGGGACTCTCAAACAAGGCCATAAAATATGTATCTATCGTTATTAGACTGTGATCCTACGCCCTCTAATTTCTGCTTTTCTTTCGCTAACATCCCTTTATCTATTTTTCTCTGTCCCTATCCCACATCTCTCTCCCTCACCCACCTCTCCCCCCACCCATTTCTGTTTTGTGTTTCCCAGAGTGAGTTGGAGGAGGCGAGAGGAGCTCTGCTGAGAGGGAGGGATGAAGCTGACGTGGCTTTGAGGAGACGGGCAGAGGAGCTGGAGCAGGCCAGGGTCAGACACACTTCCTGCTTTATATTAGGCAGTCAGTTGAAAACAGGATGTCACAGATTTCATGATAAATTCAATTGTATTCTTGGGTCACTCCAGATTTTTTTGCATGCTGTGCCACACCCATTTCTATGAGAATAGCTACTGCATTACAACTCCAAGAAATGGTCCTGTTGCCCGTACACATGGGGTAATGATGCAGCGGTCTAAGGCACTACATCTCAGTGCATCTCAGTGGTAGAGGCGTCACTACAGACCCTGGATCGATTACAGGCTGTATCACAATCCGGCCGTGATTGGGAGCCCATAGGGCGTCGCACAATTGGCCCAGCGTCGTCCGGGTTTGGCAGGGGTAGGCCTTCATTGTAAATAAGAATGTGTTCTTAACTGACTTGCCTAGTTAAATAAAGGTTAAATACCATTTTAAAAATGATGTCCCTGTATGTGACCCCAGTCGGAGCTGAGCAGTAGGCAGACAGTGAGTGTGGAGATAGCGATGGCTCTGGAGGACACCAGGAGACAGAAGGAGGAGCTCCAACTACAGGTCTGGAGAGACATCATACTCACTATCACATCATACATTTTTTCTGTACTCTTTTAAATAACAAACAACATTCTCTACACTGTGTTGGAACAAGGTTTTAAAAAATTGCCAATGCTATTGACTTAATCATACTCGGGCAGCGAGTGATCTGTTACAAATTCATGAATTCAGCTTGTGTCGATTGTGCTCCTAAATAAATTATACGTTTACTGTCTCCTTTTCCAGGTAGGACAGATGACGACGTCACTTCAAACAACATCGCAGGAACTGGCCCACGTCACTGAGCAGTTGAAGCAGAGAGAGGAGGAACTCCAAACACTTCGCAATGGTAAACACTTAATTTCTCTGTCAGGTGCACTTTTCCTCTGTCTCCCTTGCTATGTGAATTTGGAAGTTGTAGTGTTGACTTAATACTGTGTAGTGTCTGATGCTCCCTTCCACTGTGTTTGTGTTGCAGAGTTGCAGAGGGCTCAGAGCTCCCTGTCCCAGCTGCAGGACGAGGGGGAGAGGCTGCGGGCATGGGCCCAGAAGAGGGAGGAGGAGAAGGACAGCCAGCTGGTCAGCCTGAGACAGGAGCTCCTCACCCAGACCGAGCATCTGGATTCCTGCCAGTCACGGGTCCGAACACACACAGCGGGCACAGCCATTACGCCACTTTAACCCTGTTTTTAATGTCCTCCTTAGCTTCCATACTGTACATAACTCAAGTCTGTCATTACAGATTAGACTTTTTGCATGTGTTGTCTGACTGTGCCTCTGTGTGTGTGTGTGTGTGTCTCAGGTATCTGAGCTGGAGGTGGAGGTGGAGACCCTGACGTTGCAGCTGCAGACTCCAGAGGTGTGTGAACCGGACCAGAATGGGACCGTGACCGTGGACGACCTGGACCACATGCAGAAGGCCAACAGAGACCTGGAGCAGCAGCTTAGTGACAAGAACAAGGTCAGTACTGGGCCAACCAAAAACCGTGATCACCACACAGGCATGTTCGGATAATTACTCCTTGTCTGAAATATCTGGAACAGGTCCATTTCAGTGTTTGTGTGCTGTTATTGATTGGATGCCTGTTGCTTTACAGACCATTAAGCAGCTACAGCAGAGGCTAGCTGAGCTGAAGAGGACATTGCAGAAGGAGCTGGTGTGACATTTAGATACCTTTTAGTATGAGCATCCAATCTAAATCCAATATTTCTTCCATTGATTGAATATGGTCCATGTGCTGAGTTTTGTGTGTGATGGTTTGTGCCTGTGTGTTCCTGTTGCAGAAGCTGAAACCTGAAACGGAGTTAGAGGGGAAGGAAAGGGCCCAGGAAGGGAGAGGAGAGCGGCAGGAGAGGCCAGACAGAACCTTCACTGAGCCCACTCCAGCCCCAGCCCCTGGCCCAAACACCACTGTCACCAACACTTCTGACCTCAATGACTCACGAGAGATCAACTTTGAGTACCTCAAACACGTGGTGCTAAAATTTATGTCGTCCAGAGAGGCTGAGGTGAGAGCCACCCACCTGGTCCCTGTTATCGTAGCTAGACCCATCAGTTTTGGATGTCTATGGTCATGGCTGAAGTCTAAATCTCTCCCTGTCCCCATGTCGCTCTGTCTCATAGGCCTATCAGCTGATCAGAGCGGTGTCTGTGTTGCTGAACTTCACTGGTGAGGAAGAGGACATGTTAAAGGAGACACTGGAGTACAAGGTGACTTTCTCCTTTCAGACATCTGTTCCCTGAAACTCCTCTGTCAAATGAATGGGCGTTATGGCCATACCACAGCCAGTGTACAGTGGGGGAAAAAAGTATTTAGTCAGCCACCGATTGTGCAAGTTCTCCCACTTAAAAAGATGAGAGAGGCCTGTAATTTTCATCATAGGTACACGTCAACTATGACAGACAAAATGAGGAGAAAAAAATCCAGAAAATCACATTGTAGGATTTTTAATGAATTTATTTGCAAATTATGGTGGAAAATAAGTATTTGGTCAATAACAAAAGTTTCTCAATACTTTGTCATATACCCTTTGTTGGCAATGACACAGGTCAAACGTTTTCTGTAAGTCTTCACAAGGTTTTCACACACTGTTGCTGGTATTTTGGCCCATTCCTCCATGCAGATCTCCTCTAGAGCAGTGATGTTTTGGGGCTGTCGCTGGGCAACACGGACTTTCAACTCCCTCCAAAGATTTTCTATGGGGTTGAGATCTGGAGACTGGCTAGGCCACTCCAGGACCTTGAAATGCTTCTTACGAAGCCACTCCTTCGTTGCCCGGGCGGTGTGTTTGGGATCATTGTCATGCTGAAAGACCCAGCCACGTTTCATCTTCAATGCCCTTGCTGATGGAAGGAGGTTTTCACTCAAAATCTCACGATACATGGCCCCATTCATTCTTTCCTTTACACGGATCAGTCGTTCTGGTCCCTTTGCAGAAAAACAGCCCCAAAGCATGATGTTTCCACCCCCATGCTTCACAGTAGGTATGGTGTTCTTTGGATGCAACTCAGCATTCTTTGTCCTCCAAACACGATGAGTTGAGTTTTTACCAAAAAGTTCTATTTTGGTTTCATCTGACCATAAGACATTCTCCCAATCCTCTTCTGGATCATCCAAATGCACTCTAGCAAACTTCAGACGGGCCTGGACATGTACTAGCTTAAGCAGGGGGACACGTCTTGCACTGCAGGATTTGAGTCCCTGGCGGCGTAGTGTGTTACTGATGGTAGGCTTTGTTACTTTGGTCCCAGCTCTCTGCAGGTCATTCACTAGGTCCCCCGTGTGGTTCTGGGATTTTTGCTCACCGTTCTTGTGATCATTTTGACCCCACGAGGTGAGATCTTGCGTGGAGCCCCAGATCCAGGGAGATTATCAGTGGTCTGAGGACAGAGGAGCCTCTTAAAGAAGAAGTTACAGGTCTGTGAGAGCCAGAAATCTTGCTTGTTTGTAGGTGACCAAATACTTATTTTCCACCATAATTTGCAAATAAATGCATTAAAAATCCTACAATGTGATTTTCTGGATCTTTTTTTCTCAATTTGTCTGTCATAGTTGACGTGTACCTATGATGAAAATGACAGGCCTCTCTCATCTTTTTAAGTGGGAGAACTTGCACAATTGGTGGCTGACTAAATACTTTGTTTCCCCACTGTATATCAAATGAAATAGGCCATGACACTGTTTTGTCCTCAATTGGCCTCATTTCTTAAATGTACTTGCTATCTGTTGTTTATTTTGGAATACCTAAGCTACATCCGGAGGGAAAATGTTATTTTAAAGAGGCTAGAAAGCCAGTATGAGGGTTTGCGCACAGGCTAGAATGAAAGGCGGCCGGTGCGTGGGAGAGAAAATATCTGTAGAGTTCCAAAAGTACTCGCACTCAAAACCATGAAAAGGAATAACACAAGGAGGCCGAGATGCAAAAAATAATATAATGATTTTAATCCATGCTCAAAAGAATACAAAAAGTGAAAGTGCAAAGTGCTAATAAAAAATGTACAGAGCATATGTATCGGCCTTCATCAGTGCTGTACAAACAAATTAAGAAGGCACTGTGCGTAACAGGCGCAACAGGTGCAAGCAGATAGTTAATTAGAGACTGGTGAATAGGGAGTCGATGCGAATATATAGAAGAGTATAAAAAATGGACAATTCATATGTCACATATAATTAGAAAGAGACAACAGTCTGGGCTACCATAGCTTTCAAGCACACATCACATATACAGTTGAGACGGGCACAGAGTCAAGCTGCAGTGCAGCACCCCTAGATGGAGAGCAAGTTGTGGGGTTAAGGGCCTTGCTCAAGGGCCCAACGGTAGGGGAATGTCTTCAGGATGTGAACCCAGCAGCCCTCCAGTTGCCAGATGAATTCCCTCCTATTTTTCCAGCGCCCGACCCTTCCACAGTTGTAACTATAGTTCTAATAGTCCAGTGATACATGTATTTCATTTGATATAATCGTAACATCGCTGTGTTTTTCAGATGTCCTGGTTTGGATCCAAGCCTTCTCCAAAGGGTATTGTTCGGCCGTCAGTTTCAGGGGCACCTGCTCACTGGAGCTGAGAGGACAGCGAGAGGAAGAGATGTGGAGAGGACAGAGACACACATGACTTTTATCATGTCCTTGCATGATGTCTCCCATCACTGTGGTAACCAACTGAACATTGTGAAGAGGACACTACCTAAGCTTTAAAACGGTTTCTGACGTGACACAGATTCCTATATAGCTCTTCAATCTCCTTAAATGACTTTTTTTCTTGCTCTTCAAGAGGACAGAGAAGGGCTCCACAATGACTTGGAGAGGCTGTCTTGTTTTATGGTCTGTAAAAAAAAAATTGGGGTGTGATTTTATTTACAAGTAAAATGGTTAAAGCAGACATGGGATTGCTGCGTTGATAAATGTTAACCTTAAAGGGATACTTCAGGATTTTGGCATTTATCTACTTCCCCAGAGGCAGATGAACTCATGGGATACAATTTCTATGTCTCTGCATCCAGTGTGAAGGAAGTTAGAGGTACTGTAGTTTTGTGATCCAATGCTAACTAGCGTTGAACAATGACTGGAAGTCTATGGTATTTACTAGCATGCTAGCAGTTACCATAAACTTCCAGTCATTGCGCAAACGTTAGTTAGCAACTGCGCTAACGCTAGGTACCCCTTTTAAGAGTAACCCTTCTCCCTCTTGGAATTAAGTTAATATGAGATCTTTGATGCAAACAGTACAAGTATGTCTTACGGAATTCAGCAGGTGTTAACAGAGTGGGATGGGTCAGGCCTACCAGACTGTCACGACTCTGTTTGACAGAGAATTTTATTTATTATCTCTGTGCTCCAATGTCTCTGTTTTTTCTTTAATTTAGATGTAGAAAATGGTACTTGCTGCCTAATAACTACCTATGGTCTATGGCTGGGAAAGGGATCTTGTTGGATTGCGAGTGCATGATAATAATAACCTTGTAAATGCTACCACCCCAATCAACCACTCTTCAGTTGAATGGATCCCACCAAGATTTCTGAAGGACCCTTCACAACAGTATTTCATTTGGTTCTTTCCTACAACAATATTAATTCTGGGGGCTTGTGTAGAAAAATGTCATGTTAGAATGAGAAGGTTTGCTGTTCTCTGAAGGGGAGGTGAGAGCCATACATCAATGGTGTTGATATCAATGGGAAAAAATGTATGTTATGTAAAGAGGAGAGGAGTGACTCTTAATATAATGTTGATTAAGTAAATAATTATTGAAAGATATCTAAATAAGAATTATTGGAGGATGTGCTCTACCTTTACCTGCCTTGTGTTTGTGTAAATGACATTCCATATGTCTATTTATATATGAAAACTGTACATATGCATTGAGAACTTTATAAATCACTGGATGTAAATTATTTTTGTTTCACCTCTTGCAGCATTTTACACCATCTGTCTGTCCATGTTGCCAGTCTTGGCTTGATGCTCTGTCTCACTTGCATCCTGCAAGAAGTGACCCTTTTTATGAGCTTACAATGTGAGGGCATTAACATTGTACTGGAGGAAAGCCCATTGAGTACAGTATGAATGCCTTATACCAGAATGCTTTGGATCTCTGTAGAGGAAAACCTGTCTCCCTACATTCTAAATAGAATGTGAACCAGGTGTGAAATCTCCATGTGTCTGGTGACGTTACAATACTGTAGCATTTGTTGTCACATTCATCAGGTTTCTGTGGTCAGTCAACCCTAGGGCTTTAAACTTTCTTAAAATGGACATGATCTACATTCAATTATAAAACACCACACTTCATTAACAGTGACCTGTTATTGAATAATACCGGGTATCACACAAGTTTAGAATTCTGTATGGACTCCAGTAAGGGCTTGAAAGCAATCTGCCTGAAGTAGTTATATATAACTACAACATTAATATCACAGCACAGGTGACTATGACTCCACTGATCAATTTACTGCAAGGTCACTATCAAAAACCTGATGCTCTTTTGAACCTTCTGTTTGATTCCGCTATGTGTTCAACTCTGGTTTTTAACAAATAAATAAAAGAAATCACTACAGATTCTCTTCATTTGCATTTTAACAAGTGCTACCACAACAAATTATTTAGTTTTGTCTTAATTTATATTGTGAACATAAAGGTTTGTTTTCATACATTTTCTCCGGTACAGTGTACAATCCTCATGATTCTAAGTAAAGCAGAGATGCAGCAAAACAAAGTGGGCAACAGTAATTCTCAGTTGAATCCATTCAGTGGCGCTGTAGGCATTTCACCCATGCGCAACAAAAGGAACGCCTCCGACCGGAAGATAGCTGATGCACGAACACGTTTTCGGTCTTTCTTTTCCTGTGGCAGCATCGACGAACATGGTGAGAGGCTCGCGGCTTTCGTTCAATTCAGTAAAATTGTCCTGTCTATTCCACATAAAACGACCACAGTTGATAACATCCATGAGCATGATAATCTTATCTTGCCACATATGTTTGTGGTAGTTCGAGAATGGTCCTTCATTTTTCGCTTGTCACCATAACCGAACGCGAGCTAGCTAAACGCTAACGTTAGCAAGTTTGCTAGTTACTAACGCTTACTAGCGTTAACTAACCAGTTACGTTGGCTACATTTTAGTCATTTAGCAGATGCTCTTATCCAGAGCGACTTACAGTTAGTGAGTGCATACATTTTCATACTGGCCCCCCGTGGGAAACGAACCCACAACCCTGGCGTTGCAAGCGCCATGCTCTACCGACTGAGCTACAGGGGACTATAGCTAGCTGTCAAACATGTCTCATAACTACTTCCAAATGGAATGGTTGTTAGCTTACTACCTAGCTATGGCGGTTAGCTACCAACTATTTCACTACTTATCAACTTAATTATTTCGATATGTGTGTTGCCAATTAGAATACCTAGGAGATTCATTAGCTGTCAGCCCACGTTGACTGTATGTGTTAATTTCGCGAACTAACGTTACATGGGTAACGTTAGCTAGTTCGCTAACTGTTAGCCAAATCGATTTTCAAAGCTTGTGTCCCCGTTTTTTGTAAATCTTAACAGGGCAAGATCAAGGCTAGAGACCTGCGGGGCAAGAAGAAGGAGGAGCTGCTCAAGCAGCTGGATGACCTGAAGGTTGAGTTGTCCCAGCTCCGTGTAGCCAAGGTTACTGGTGGAGCTGCCTCCAAGCTCTCCAAGATGTGAGTATTATTTGGACTGCAGAAATGATGCAGTGTCAGCTTGTCCAGAGTTGGCTGTCACTGTTTATGGTGAAGGAAAAAGTGGCTTCTCCGTTGTTATCTCGCAGTGAGGTGATGGTTATATGACTATGGTATACAGTGTTAAGATGCAGTAGGGCAGTCAAAATGGCCATATATTTCTGCTAAAATCGTGAATTGTACTAAACCCTTATATTTGGATCTGTTTCCTTTCAAGCTGTGTCGTCCGCAAATCCATCGCCCGTGTTCTGACTGTCATCAACCAGACTCAGAAGGAGAACCTGAGGAAGTTCTACAAGGTAAGAGCAATGCCCTCCATACCCACATCTATTCAACATTTTAGTTAAACAAACCTGATGAATGGTTAAAAACCAGCGGGCGGCTCTGACCACAGAGTATCTGCGAACATTTTCTGTTTATTTCCTGATTTTACGTGTTGACATGCCACCGTTCGTCAACACCCAACAGGTGATCTGCTGCACATGGTGTGGGTTATGGCTTTTCTTAAATGTCAACCTTGACCACAATTAAACATGCTGCAGATTAGTTTAAGTGACCTGTGTAACCTAAAAATTTCAGAACTAGGTTGAGTGCCAACCCTGACTATCAGACCTTGAATTTCCCGGCTGCACATGGCTGTCAATTTCCCCCTCTGTGGCCGTAATGCCCCTTAAAAAATCCATGCCTTGTGGCCGTTGTGCCCTGAATATAATAATTATAATTCCCTTCTCCCGGCTGCCTATCACCGTGCTCCGAAGCACCTCTCACACGCATGGCTCTCTCAGATATCTCAATTCTTATTAACCAATGCCCGTCACATGATCAGGTCCTTCTCACAGGCATTGCAGCTCCAAAGTAAGGTATAAGTGAAAACCGACATATTGGAGATGCAACAGCACGCGTTAGTCCATATTTACTTTGTCAGCCAACAATATGAGTAACCAACCACAGCCTATGTCAATCTACTATCCCCCATAGTACAAAAGTTTACCTATTCTATTGGTCAGCTTGTCCTTCTGTGCGAGAAATAAATATTCCAAACATACTCTGGGACAGTTGTGGGACGCGATAGATCCCAAATTAATGACAACTGTACATCAAAAAAAACTTTTGAAAGCAATGAGGCTGATTCAACAGATCAGAATGTTTAGCTTAAAATGTTGATAAACTATTAGGCTATTTCTTCAAGTAAGTGCAGCCTCTCAGATATCAAGGTGGGTGACGTTACAGTGCGCAACAGGCACTGGCCTTTCTCTATCTGAACGAACAGTGCCTCAATTATGTAGACAGAATCAAACCTTTAGATATTAATAATGATCCTACATATGTGTCACATATTTTCAGGCGTGTCCCTCATGTCAGCATCAGTCTGGACATAACCAAGGCGCATTGGCTGCAGCCTGTTGTCACCTACACTTCGACATATAGGCTATTTATGTACATTTACACATGTTTTTTTTACAGAATAGCTTCTGTTTAAAAATTAAAAATTAAAATAAATTTAATTGCCTATTTTGGTTAATGTCCTTGGTGCCCTGGCAGATTGGGCACCTCTTGGCCAAATGGCCTTGCCCCTAAAATCACAATTCCAGGCCTGCTGACTATACAGCCCAGTTTAATGCTGAAGGCCAGTTTATACGACCAGAATTGAAGAACAATGCAATAGCAGCAGTCCTAATCTGAGTTTTGTTCTGGTTATTTTTAGTACATATCGCATATAGTGCCAATGTAGTGTTTATTGTAATTTGACTGTGAATGTCATGTTTCAGGGTAAGAAATATAAGCCCTTGGACCTGAGACCCAGGAAGACCCGTGCCATCCGCAGGAGACTCAACAAGCATGAGGAGACTCTCAGAACCAAGAAGATGCAGAGAAAGGATCGCCTGTATTCAATTCGCAAATTTGCTGTCAAGGCTTAGGGTCGTTTATCTTGTACAAATAAATTGACTAAAAAGAGGAAGTATGTTGTCTTCTGTAAAGGGATGTCACTCAAAATGGTGTATGTGAGCGGGTGGAGTGTTGATTGCGAATATCTTCAGGGTAATTATTTGGTGAGACATTTTGCATCAGCTTTGCAATCTTAATATGCACTGATAATGGATATTATGCTGAGGATCCTGCTGTGTTTAGAAAAAAACGCTCTTAGTTGGAATTGGGACAACCTCAATGCCTTTGCTAAAATACTGATCTGAAGAATGTGGTCAAAAGTTTTGAGAATGACAGGTATTGGTCTTCACAAAGTTCGCTGCTTCAGTGTTATGAGATTTTTGTCAGATGTTACTATGGTATACTGAAGTATAATTACAAGTGTTCCGTAAGTGTCAAAGGCTTTTATTGACAGTTACATTACGTTTATGCAAAGAGTCAATATTTGCAGTGTTGACCCTTCTTTTTCAAGACCTCTGCAATCCGCCCTGGCATGCTGTCAATTAACTTCTGGGCCACATCCTGACTGATGGCAGCCCATTCTTGCAAAATCAATGCTTGGAGTTTGTCAGAATTTGTGGGTTTTTGTTTCTCCACCCGCCTCTTGAGGATCGACCACAAGTTCTCAATGGGATTACGGTCTGTGGAGTTTCCTGGCCATGGACCCAAAATGTCGCTGTTTTGTTCCCCGAGCCACTTAGTTATCACTTTTGCCTTATGGCAAGGTGCTCCATCGTGCTGGAAAAGGCATTGGTCGTCACCAAACTGTTCTTGGATGGTTGGGAGAAGTTGCGCTCGGAAGATGTTGGTACCATTCTTTATTCATGGCTGTGTTCTTAGGCAAAAATGTGAGTCAGCCCACTCCCTTAGCTGAGAAGCAAAGAACCGTGGCGTGACCCTGGACAACACCGTTCTCCGCTAACATCAAAGCGGTGACCCGATCCTGCAGGTTCATGCTCTACAACATTCGCAGAGTGCGACCCTACCTTACACAAAGCGGCACAGGTCCTAATCCAGGCACTTGTCATCTCCCGTCTGGATTACTGCAACTCGCTGTTGGCTGAGCTCCCTGCCTGTGCCATTAAACCCCTACAACTTATCCAGAATGCTGCAGCCTGTCTGGTGTTCAAACTTCCCACGTTCTCATGTCACCCCGCTCCTCCGCACACTCCACTGGCTTCCAGTTGATGCTCGCATCTACTACAAAACCATGGCGCTTACCTACGGAGCTGTGAGGGAAACAGCACCTCCTTACCTTCAGGCTCTGATCAGACCCTACACCCAAATGAGGGCACTACGATCATCCACCTCTGGCCTGCTAGCCCCCCTACCTCTATGGAAGCACAGTTCCCGCTCAGCCCAGTCAAAGCTATTCGCTGCTCTGGCACCCCAATGGTGGAACAAGCTTCCCCACGACGCCAGGACAGCGGAGTCACTGACCACATTCCGGAGACACTTGAAACCCTACCTCTTTAAGGAATACCTGGAATAGTCTAACAGTAATCTTTCTACACCCCCCCCTCCCCAAGTGGTGGTTGTCCCACCGGCTATCCTAAGTTGGATGCACCTATTTGTAAGTCGCTCTGGATAAGAGCATCTGCTAAATGACTTAAATGTAAGCAACCCCACACGTGAATGGTCTCAGGATGCTTTACTGTTGGCATGACACAGGACTGATGGTAGCGCTCACCTTGTCTTCTCCGGACAAGGTGTTTTCTGTATTCCCCAAACAATCAGAAAGGGGATTCGTCAGAGAAAATGACTTTACCCCAGTCCTCAGCAGTCCAATCCCTGTACCCTTTGCAGAATATCAGTCTGTCCCTGATGTTTTTCCTGGAGAGAAGTGGATTCTTTGCTGCCCTTCTTGACACCAGGCCATCCTCCAAAAGTATTTGCCTCACTGTGCGTGCAGATGCACTCACACCTGCCTGCTGCCATTCCTGAGCAAGCTCTGCACTGGTGGTGCCCCGATCCTGCAGCTGAATCAACTTTAGGAGACGGTCCTGGCGCTTGCTGGACTTTCTTGGGCGCCCTGACGCCTTCACAACAATTTAACCTCTCCTTTAAGTTCTTGATGATCCGATAAATGGTTGATTTAGGTGCAATCTTACTAGCAGCACTATCCTTGCCTGTGAAGCCCTTTTTGTGCAAAGCAATGATGCCGGCACGTGTTTCCTTGCAGGTAACCATGGTTAACAGAGGAAGAACAATGATTTCAAGCACCACCCTCCTTTTAAAGCTTCCAGTCTGTTATTCTAACTCAATCAGCATGACAGAGTGATCTCCAGCCTTGTCCTCGTCAACACTCTCACCTGTGTTAACGAGATAATCACTGACATGATGGCAGCTGGTCCTTTTGTGGCAGGGCTGAAATGCAGTGGAAATGTATGCAATTTGCAAATTGCCATCATCAACTGAGGCAGCAGACTTTGTGAAAATTAGTATTTGTGTCATTCTCAAAACTTTTGACCACGACTGTAGTATTTCATAGCAGGAATGTAATAACCAGTAATGACCTGTGGGGTGTACTCATACTGAATGTCTTGACTCTGGGTACAAAGTGATGATGAAATTAACAATCATAAGGTTATATAAACAAGCATTGTACTTCCTATCATATGCATAATTTATCTGTATTGTATTTGTGAAATATCCGCATAATACTCAGGAACGGTAGTAGGAAAAACACCTATGAACTCAGTAATGTAAAACGAGAAGCTCAAACAATTGATGTCAAAATTAGTAATGGGAACTAAATTCCCTTGAATTCCCCCTCAAACCCACCCCTAACACTCGGCCAATGTTTTTTTTTTCAAGTGTTTAATTGAAATCTGGCTGCTACAACCAATGATGTCATACGATGGATATGAATACCATTGATCCATGCTATTGATCAACAGCAGTGCTGAAATGGTATGGCTCCAGTGGAAGATGCACTATGACTATAGGAGGCATTTTTCCACCACAAGGGGGCAAAATGTATCCAAATCAAATGTTTATTCGTCATATGCTTTGTAAACAACCGGTGTAGACTAACAGTGAAATGCTTACTTACAGGCCCTTCCCAACAATGCAGAATGATTACAAAATATCCCATAACCTACTGTAAGGTATTAACCGAAGTAAGGTCATGTTATTTGTGCCAGTTTGACATTTGGTTTTTGGTAATGTGGCCAAATGATGAGTTGGTCAGAATGGTTTTGATTTGATAAAGTAATGGGACTGTAAAGGGAAGCTGAAGTACGGGGTCCTCTGGATAGGCATCACTCAGTCAGTAGCCTAACTAGAATTCTCCACTGCTCTGCTTATGACTGGGTAATATCTCAGCTGCTGACCATTGGGACTGAACACAATACAATGTAATTCCCCATCCACTTGCTGTTTTCCATGGCATGCATTTGTATTTTCCCACGTCTCGTTTCAGTTCTTTATTCACTGCACCATTAGTGTAATGTTATTTCTATTATGTCTGTAAGGATCTGGACAATTTGAAGAACCCAGTCATGACATGAACACAAAGCTGATCTGTTTGTGTACTTTGATATCTCATATAAGGTATTTTTTAGCCCAGTGTAATATACATGCATGTTTACATGCTTTTTCATCAGGGAACCACATTCTCTATACAAATATTTGCCTTTTCTGAACTGGAAGCAAGATCACAATATCATCTTTGCCTCTGGCATTTCCTTGGATCAGGTTATGTCAGATAGTGTTTTTACAATCACAGCTCCCCCTGTAAGGTCTAATCTTTTAGCTGACTATTTCTTATGGTTGGATATGAATCAGTTGGGTCTCACTGGCAGGTAAGATATTCCAACAAACCCAAGATATGGGATTCAATGTGAATGGCAGGATGAATGCTCTTATGTCTGATTTGTTGTGTATCTGCCAATATGCCTCTGCAGAACAAACACACTCTTAATCTCCTGGGGTCCAGAAAGACCCCACACAAAGGTCTTGGTGGTTTTTATTTTGGGGAGTCTGTTCACATGCTGCCTTAAAGATGTAGGGGCCCTCCCTTGAACAGCTGCCGGCATTATCTGGAGAGGGATGCATTCCTGTTTCTGTTCCATGTCATGTCCATGAGCTCTCTGCTTTGGAACCACAAGGCCATTTGTTCTGTAATGTGTTATCCCCTGGAACCTGGGATTGTCAGTGGGCTCCATAGAGCTGATGATGTCCTCTGAGGGGCCCTGTAGACTGGGGTTTAATGTAGGGGCCTCCTGTATTTGGACGGTTTCTTTATGATCCTGTTGTAGACCAGTATTATTGGTAGGGTTCAGCATTGTGACATTTTCTGAAGGGGTCGGTGTTCTGATCATTTCTGTGGTGTCTTCTAGGCCGTTGTTTTCTACTGTAGGCCTGTGATAAATAGATGTATATGATTAGAAAGGAAATGGATGACAAATGTTAAATTTAGCCTCACTATGTTAAAATGTACTGCTATATTTCACACCATATGTGTTTCTCTGCCATAATTTGATCAGTGGCTATTGTATTTCTACACCAGATTCCATGGGAGACATGATAAATTCTCCTGAATTCCTACTGAGAGCATCTGGGCAAACTTGTTCATGTGGTGGTCACTGCATGTTTCTGTCAGAAGCTTTTTTGTCTTCTCACCCACAATGACATCCTATTTCAGGGCTCTGTTATGATTTCTGGATGGAGGGCAATAAAAAACGGAAATATCACATTTACTAAAGCATTCAGACCCTTTACTCAGTACTTTGTTGAACCATCTTTGGCAGCGATTACAGCCTTGAGCCTTCTTGGGTATGACGCTACAAGCTTGGCACACCTGTATTTAGGGAGTTTCTCCCATTCTTCTCTGCAGATCCTCTCAAGCTCTGTCTGGTTGGGTGAGGAGCGTCGCTGCACAGCCATTTTCAGGTCTCTCCAGGGATGTTAGATCGGGTTCAAGTCCGGGCTCAGGCTGGGCCACTCAAGGACATTCAGAGACTTGTCCCGAAGCCACTCCTGTGTTGTCTTGGCTGTGTGCTTAGGGTCGTTGTCCTGTTGGAAGGTGAACCTTCGCCCCAGTCTAAGGTCCTGAGCGCTCTGGAGCAGGTTTTCATCAAGGAACTCTCTGTACTTTGCTCCGTTCATCTTTCCCTCAATCCTGACTAGTCTCCCAGTCCCTGCCGCTGAAAATCATCCCCGCAGCATGATTATGCCACCACCATGCTTCACCGCAGGGATGGTGCTAGATTTCCTCCAGACGTGACTCTTGGCATTCATGCCAAAGAGTTCATTCTTGGTTTCATCAGACCAGAGAATCTTGTGTCTCATGGTCTGAGAGTCCTTTAGGAGCCTTTTGGCAAACTCCAAGCGGGCTGTCGTGCCTTTTACTGAGGATTGGCTTCCGTCTGGCCGCTCTACCATAAAGGCCTGATAGGTGGAGTGCTGCAGAGATGGTTGTCCTTCTGGAATGTTCTCCCAGCTCACACATGCTTTTTAAGTTATGCCCACAAATGTTCTATAGGATTGAGGTCAGGGCTTTGTGATGGCCACTCCAATACCTTGACTTTGTTGTCCTTAAGCCATTTTGCCACAACGTTGGAAGTATGCTTGGGGTCATTGTCCATTTGGAAGACCCATTTGCGACCAAGCTTTAACTTCCTGACTGATGTCTTGAGATGTTGCTTCAATATATCCACGTAATTTTCCTTCCTCATGATGCCATCTATTTTGTGAAGTGCACCAGTCCCTCCTGCAGCAAAGCACGGCCACAGCATGATGCTGCCACCCCCATGCTTCATGGTTGGGATGGTGTTCTTTGGCTTGCAAGTCCCCCCTTTTTCCTCCAAACATAACGATGGTCATTATGGCCAAACAGTTCTATTTTTGTTTCATCAGACCAGAGGACATTTCTCCAAAAAGTACGATCTTTGTCCCCATGTGCAGTTGAAAACCGTAGTCTGGCTTTTTTATGGCGGTTTTGGAGCAGTGGCTTCTTCCTTGCTGAGCGGCCTTTCAGGTTATGTCGATATAGGACTAATTTTACTGTGGATATAGATACTTTTGTACCTGTTTCCTCCCGCATCTTCACAAGGTCCTTTGCTGTTGTTCTGGGATTGATTTGCACTTTTCGCACCAAAGTACGTTCATCTCTAGGAGACAGAACACGTCTCCTTCCTGAGCGGTATGTCGGCTGCGTGGTCCCATGGTGTTTATACTTGCCTACTATTGTTTGTACAGATGAACGTGGTACCTTCAGGCGTTTGGAAATTGCTCCCAAGGATGAACCAGACTTGTGGAGGTCTACCATTTTTTTTTCTGAGGTCTTGGCTGATTTCTTTTGATTTTCCCATGATGTCAAGGAAAGAGGCACTGCGTTTTAAGGTAGGCCTTGAAATACATCCACAGGTACACCTCCAATTGACTCAAATTATGTAAATTAGCCTATCAGAAGCTTCTAAAGCCATGACAACATTTTCTGGAATTTTCCAAGCTGTTTAAAGGCACATTTAACTTAGCGTATGTAAACTTCTGACCCACTGGAATTGTGATACAGTGAATTATAAATGAAATAATCTGTCTGTAAACAATTGTTGGAAAAATTCCTTGTGTCATGCACAAAGTAGATGTCCTAACCGACTTGCCAAAACTATAGTTTGTTAACAAGACATTTGTGGAGTGGTTGAACAATGAGTTTTAATGACTTCAACCTAAGTGTATGTAAACTTCTGACTTCAACTGTATATAGACAGGTGTATGTCTTTCCAAATCATGTCCAATCAATTGAATTTACCACAGGTTGACTCCAATCAAGTTGTAGAAACATCTCAAGGATGATCAATGGAAACAGGATGCACCTGAGCTCAATTTCGAGTCTCATAACAAAGGGTATGAATACTTATGTAAATAAGGTATTTCTGTTTTTAAATTGTATAAATGTGCAAACATTTCTAAAAACCTGTTTTCGCTTTGTCATTATGAGGTATTGTGTGCAGATTGATGAGGAAAAAATGTGATTTTATCAATTTTAGAATAAGGCTGTAACGTAACAAAATGTGGAAAAAGTCAAGGGGTCCGAATACTTTCACGAATGCACTGTATATATACTGTATGTATGACATTATGACACCCATATAACACCCATAAATGAAACCATACCTCACATCCTCCTTCTCTATCTCTATATCCATCTCCTGCTCTTCATCCTCATAGTACGATGAAGAGGGCAGATAAAGATGCAGTGTGGATAATGTTGAGAAAGGCCTCCTCCCCCTCCACGTGTCCTGCTGCTGTCCATGTGTGTTGTCATATTTGGCGTTGCAGGGCACTCTGGGACATTCTTACAAGAAATGTGTTATAAAGTCAGTCAGTCAATGTGAGGGATATGGTTTTGGAGTGTCAACAGCTACCCTCTGAAACTACGGCTGCAGATGTTTGATGATATTCAGTCTTGGCTAATGTCCCAAATACAATATCTTGAAATTAACATGGTCAGTGTATGAGAGATTGAGCACAACTTTATTTAAAGCAGTGTTAAGACTGTGTGTGTGTGACCATTATCGATAGAGGATTTCAAAGGTAAAAAACAAAAGCTGCAGCTCAAAAACACATACCACCCTACAGCTAACACACAGATAGGAAATTTCATGTGAGCGGGTAATAAAATTGGTTGATTATTTGTTTGGGCAACCAAAAATAAACCACAGCTGTTTAGCCTGAAGTCAGAATGGGAAAAGATTAGTTTATCCATGTTGTTTGGATATGTTTATGGGAATTTGTGAGGTTGATGGAAGCCTGTGTGTATAGCTCTAGTGTTGGCTCATAAGAGAGCACTCCGATCAATGGGCATTTTCAATGGTTAGCACTAAGGGTAAACAGCATCCTCAGTCACATTATGGCAGCGATGAGTACACTTTAGCTCCAGATGCTGCAGCACAAGTCAGGTTAGCCACTTAAGCAGTAGTAATTGGGCTTTTGATTTGTGTTTGATTTGTTACACGCAAAGCTAGTGCTCCTTACAAGTTAGCTTTGTGGATTAAGGGACTGTGTAAGCAAGCGAAATAGAAACAAGAGATAAAAAATGAGATCAAGAAAGAAAGAATTTGACAGATGGAATATATTAGATATTTTCCACTAAGATAAGGGTGTTTACCTGTCCTGTCCCTGACTTGAGCTCCAGGTCTCTGGCCCGGGTCTCTGCGCCTTCCTCCTCCCCCTGGGTGCAGTAACTGGTCTGCTCATGGCTCTGGTTCCCCTCCCTGGGCTGTTCTCCAGTCTACCCAGAGCACTGCTCACTGGCCTCCCTCCCACTCCTCTGGCATTGCTATTGGGAGTCAACCTGGCACTGCTGCAGCTGGGCCTCTGCTGCAGAGTACAACGGAAGCCCTGGGCTGAGAGAACGCAGGTAGAGAACAGGATCTTCAAATGAAAGTAACAGCAATAGAGTTTTGATATTGCTTTAATGCACCATACTAATTTCCAACCCACCCCTGCATGATTATTTAATCAGAATGAATGGATTGTTTTGATTATGTTGCTGTGGATATGAAGGTATTGCTAGAGTATCACCGTAAAGGCAACTGGTGTAGACATCATCTGAAGAGGTGGGGTCTGCTGATGCTCTGAGGGATCGCCTCTGGAAACAGGATGTTGGTCTTTGTAACCAGGATGTTGGCCTTGGTAACCATGCAGAGTGCACTCGATCCATGCTGAGGCCTCTGGACTGAAACATCCCTATTGATTTATAGAAACAGGCTTTGGACTCTGAACTAAATGCAACTTTTCTCTTGGGCTCTTTTAATGAAAAATCCTTATTAAAATGAAATGCATACAGTTAGAGTGCAGCTGGCTGTGACTCACAGGACAGTAGGTAAAGCAGCACAATCCTTAAACCTAAATCACCAAAACATCTGCAAAAGAAGAGGAAACTTCATTATGGAGCGTTAGACACAAGCATGTTCGAATACAAATGCAGATGTTTGAGTGCTGTGATGTTTGAACATGTCTGTTAGGACTCTATCAACACATACAGAGACTGAACATTAAAGCTACAATATGTAACTTTTTGGGCGACCCGACCAAATTCACATAGAAATGTATGTTATAGATCTGTCATTCTTATTGAACGCAAGTCTAAGAAGTGGTAAATCTGTTCAATGTGCACTATTTCTATGCTTCCTGTTCTTAAGTTTATTTTTTTGCATCTTTTACTTTCGGTTTTGTACACCAGCTTCAAACAGCTGGAAATACAATATTTTTGGTTATGGAAAATATATTTCACAGCGGTTTAGATGGTACAATGATTCTCTACACTTTACTTCCTTGTTTTATCACATAAACTAACATTTGGCAAACTATTCGAATTTTAGCAACCAGGAAATGAGTGATTTCTGTTAATACTGTGTATCGGACAATGTCACAAAAACGATCTGTGTGCTTCCATGGGGCAGAAGTCAGCGTGTTGTTGTGATTCTGGATAGCCAGATTGCTAGCAAGAGTGACAAGAAACTGCAATGTGGGGAATCATAAGTGGCTCGTTTCAGATCGTTTCATCTTGTTCTTGATACCATGTCTTGTTTTGAGGTGTTTTGACTGATTTCATGTCAATGCTAATATGGCTAAAGTCCACTAGCGAGCTAACCAACAACTGTATGGATGTATTTGAGAGGAAACAACAAGTGCTCATTGTGCAAATGTATAGCTTACATGTTGTCAGCAATCTAAGCCAACGTAATAAACTGACCTTCTGCACCTCCTTCCTGACTACCGGCGTATACGTAACAGAATACGTATGGAGGAGATCCTCCACATTCTCCACCTCCTTGACACCACCAGAGAAGATCTTCATACCACTATCAGAGGGCCTCATACCACAGGTCGTCACAGTGAGTCAGTCCCCCAGCCTACCCAGCAGTCCGCCCAGGTCAGCGATGCCCGACTGTCCCTTCCGGAGAAGTATGACGGTACTCCATCGAAATGTCGTGGCTTCCTACTCCAGTGCTCCCTCTATTTCGTCCATCAGACGGGAGCCCCCACCACCGAGAGGTCCATTATCACACACTGTCATTTCCCTGCTGACCGGGCGGCCGTTGGAATGGGCTACGGCAGTCTGAAAGAGAGGAGAGGAGGATCTGGGTTCCTACGAGAGGTTCATTGCTCTGTTCAGGGCGGTGTTCGACCATCCTCCAGAGGGCAGAGAGGGAGGTGAGCGACTTCTCCAACTCCATCAGGGTGCTCAGACCACTGCGGAATACGCATTCACCTTTCGGACTGTGTCAGCCTCCAACGGATGGAATGAGCCGGCGCTCCGCACCCTATTCTGGATAGGACTGCGCGAAAAGGTACAAATTGAGTTGGCGTGTCGGGATGACAACCTTTCCTTGGACGCAGTCATCACGATGGCCATCCGTCTGGATAACCATCTTTGGAGTGCCGGTGCTTACCTCGCCTCCCTCCTTTGGCCGTCCTGAGGCAGAGCCTGAACCCATGGAGATAGGGTCCACAAACCTCCCCGCAGCAGAGCGGCGTCGCCAGAGGCTCTGCGTCTATTGCGGTCAGGAGGGGCACCAGCTTCAGCGATGTCCGGTGCGTCCCAACCCAGGATCCATGAGAGCAGAGGGGCGGCCCTGTGATCATCCGTTTCCCTGGAAAGGCTTGAGTACTACATCATCTTCGTTAAGTACCGCTACCCTCTCCCGTTGGTACTGAGACGCCTCCTGGATAACCGCCTTTATGTTAAAGCGGAGAAGTGCCAGTTCCATCAGGTCGACGTCTCCTTCTTGAGATATCGGATCAGCCCACGGGGTTGTGGATGAAAGGAAGGTCGAAGCAGTTAGGTCATGGCCAGTCCCAACCACCATAAAGGGGCTCCAACGGTTTCTGGGGTTTGCCAACTTCTACCACCACTTCATTAAGAACTTCAGCTCCGTCGTCTCTCACCTCTCTCCTCAAGGGTGGTCCTCGTAAGTTGGTGTGGAGTCCTGCAGCCGATGAGGCCTTCTGCCTACTGAAGGGGTGTTTCACCTCCGCCCGTTGCTGCCACCACCATGCTTCACCGTAGGGATGGTATTGGTGATAAGCGGTGCCTGGTTTACTCCAGATGTGACACTTGGCATTCAGGCCAAAGAGTTCAATCTTGGTTTCATCAGACCAGAGAATCTTGTTTTTTGGCAAACTCCAAGTGGGCTTCCGCCTGGCCACTCTACCATAAAGGCCTGATTGGTGGAGTGATGCAGAGATGGTTGTCCTTCTGGAAGGTTGTCCCATCTCCACAGAGGAACTCTGGAGCTCTGTCAGAGTGACAATTGGGTTCTTGGTCACATTTAAAATGTAAATGTCAATGTTACCTAGGTTATCCCTATGGCTCACAGCAAAAACTTCACCTTTTTCAAACGTTATTTTCTTGTTGTCTGCTTGTTTTAGTCAATTACAAAATTACATTTAAGAAAAGTACAACATGTCTAAAGATTACTTTTCAACATTGCCTGCTCCCGAGCGCTATCGCTACTTAGAAAAATGTAATGTTGTAGGGCTTCCCTCATGCCCCTGTTGTGGAAATTCTAATCAATAATGAGGAGAGACAAGGTCAATCTCCAATCAGGATATTACTTTATTCAAAACTTATTAATAAGGCAGCAGGTCACAACACATAGAGTGAGTGCTCTACAATATTGAGGCTGGTCGACCCAACACTCTTGAGTGTTGGGCCAAGAGCTCTGACATACAAAGAATACAAATATATTTTATAGCGAAGATACACCCTCTTAGTCTACATGTCAAACAAAAGATGTGTGGAATTGGTCAAAAGGTTGGGATTTGTATGAAATAAATGAATAATTCACAGCAGACAGTATCTGCTGTGAAGACTGTTCTTATTGTATGAAACCCAGAGTTTGGCCCCTAAGACAAGGTTCTTATCAACTATTCATAATAGATCACGTCCCTACCTTACACACACAGACACCAATTCAGTCTATGAAAATGCAGGCTCAGTCAGACCGGAGACATCTCCCTCTCACACACCATTAATCATGAAATGGAATGTGGCTGTTAGTTTTATCACTTAGCAATCCTTAAATCAATTGTCAGCTCCAGACACCCCTATCTCGAGTAAAATCCATGTCCTTGACCACATACCTAGACTAGCTGCAGGGAGCTGGAGTAGAAACCTCCCTTTACAAAAACACAGCATTAGTAGAACCGTATATCTTTGTTAACTATTAATATTAAACAAAGCAGGTAAACAGGTTTAATTTTTCTCTCAAACCCCTTTTCATGAAGGTGCTAGCAGCCATGTGAGTACTAGCTAGCTACCGACCGGAACATTAAGCTAGCCAAGACCAACAACCCAAACAGACGGACTATACAGTGGCTTGCAAAAGTATTCACCCCCCTTGGCATTTTTCCTATTTTGTTGCCTTACAATCTGGAATTAAAATTGATTTTTTGGGGGTTTGTTTCATTTGATTTACACAACATGCCTACCACCTTGAAGATGCAAAATATTTTTTATTGTGAAACAAACAAGAAATAAGACAAAAAACAGAAAACTTGAGCATGCATAACTATTCACCCCCCCAAAGTCAATACTTTATAGAGCCACCTTTTGCAGCAATTACAGCTGCAAGTCCCTTGGGGTATGTCTCTATAAGCTTGGCACATCTAGCCACTGGGATTTTTGCCCATTCTTCAAGGCAAAACTGCTCCAGCTCCTTCAAGTTGGATGGGTTCTGCTGGTGTACAGCAATCTTTAAGTCATACCACAGATTCTCAATTGGATTGAGGTCTGGGCTTTGACTAGGCCATTCCAAGACATTTAAATGTTTCCCCTTAAACCACTTGAGTGTTGCTTTAGCAGTATGCTTAGGGTTATTGTCCTGCTGGAAGGTGAACCTCCGTCCCAGTCTCAAATCTCTGGAAGACTGAAACAGGTTTCCATCAAGAATTTCACTGTATTTAGCGCCATCCATCATTCCTTCAATTCTGACCAGTTTCCCAGTCCCTGCCGATGAAAAACATCCCCACAGCATGATGCTGCCACCACCATGCTTCACTGTGGGGATGGTGTTCTCGGGGTGATGAGAGGTGTTGGGTTTGCGCCAGACATAGCGTTTTCCTTGATGGCGAAAAAGCTCAATTTAGTCTAATCTGACCAGAGTACCTTCTTCCATATGTTTGGGGAGTCTCCCACATGCCTTTTGGCGAACACCAAACGTGTTTGCTTATTTTTTTCTTTAAGCAATGGCTTTTTTCTGGCCACTCTTCCGTAAAGCCCAGCTCTGTGGAGTGTACGGCTTAAATTGGTCCAATGGACAGATACTCCAATCTCCGCTGTGGAGCTTTGCAGCTCCTTCAGGGTTATCTTTGGTCTCTGTTGCCTCTCTGATTAATGCCCTCCTTGCCTGGTCTGTGAGTTTTGATGGGCGGCCCTCTCTTGGCAGGTTTTCTTGTGGTGCCATATTCTTTAAATTTTTAAATAATGGATTTAATGGTGCTCCGTGGGATGTTCAATGTTTCTGATATTTTTTTATAACCCAACCCTGATCTGTACTTCTCCACAACGTTGCTCTGACATGTTTGGAGAGCTCCTTGGTCTTCATGGTGCTGCTTGCTTGGTGGTGCCCCTTGCTTAGTGGTGTTGCAGACTCTGGGGCCTTTCAGAACAGGTGTATATATACTGAGATCATGAGACAGATCATGTGACACTTA